TGAATCGGAGGATCGAAATTAGTATGGATCCTACGAAAATGCGATCATGAGCTAAGTAATTGATACTTATAAATACGAGTACCTTGATATTATATCATTTAGGGATAGCCAATCATGTAGAATAGAATAAAGAAAAAATACGTGTGGCACTTGGGGACTGCCGCGGTAAAGCTATTGCATAGCATAATTTATGAACTTATTATTTTATTTATGCAGTATTTTTTTTTCTTTGATTTTATTCAAGTTTTTTCTTTGATATTAATAAATGGCGAGGCAGGCCTTATGATATTTTATTTAAATAAACAAATGCAAAAATTTAACACACTGCACCGTTTCGATCGATACTGGAAAGGCGAAAATTATGTTCATATGCACTGTTGTCAGGTTATTTTCGTTACGGAATTTCTGAATTCAGTCGCCGCGCTCAAAGCCCGCGATAAAATCTATGTAATTGCTTAAAAAAATACTAAAGGACGGAGTGGTTGATCCCAAACAAGGAGCCCACGTCGTCGTCACCGGCATAGTAGGATAATTATTATGAAATTCGTGAAAATAATTTTCTTGATACTTTGCAACCCAGACTTTGATAATTAACGTTTTGCGTTGTGAACCATTCGGGAGTTTCTTCTGTCATGTAGAACTGAAAAAGGACCTTTTTGTTTTCAGAAACATGCCTGCTGTAAAAGTCACATATTTTCCCGTGAAGGCCTTGGGGGAGAGCACCCGGCTGCTCCTAGCTTACGGAGGTCAAGAGTTCGAAGACTTTCGGATCAATCCGGAAACCTGGCCGGAATTAAAGCCAAGTAAGTAACTAATAGGGAGTCGGGACGAACGGTTGGGTAAATTAAACGAACTTCTATTTAGTAGATTATCAAAAAATAATGGACACTATAGTCGCGGCACACTATGATGGCCGTTTTGACACATTACAATAGTGAGGGTAAGAGGCCTATTTGTTATCGAAATAATTCAAACATAATCCAAAGAAAATCACAGCTGGGTATTATATTTATGGAATTTTGATATTAAATTAAAAGATAAAGTATATGTTAACTTACTAAGAGCGATCCGATATGCAGTGATCGCATTGACTTAATATTTTTTACATTTCTAATATCGAAAATAAAAAATGCTGAGTTCGAGTTATGTAGTGAACAAGGACATTATAATTTCAAAGATTAAGGATAAATAGTTCTTAATTATACTTATAATAATAGAATCAAATTAATTATTTTATTAAATCATTTACAGATTCTGTCAAATAGCGGGGTTTGTATGTTAATAATTACATACGTATATGTGAAATGATAAGTTTCCGGAACTATATTCTATAATAAGACCGTAATTTAATATTAAATGTAAAATTTTAATTCAACGCCTCCAAATTACCGATTCGATAAATTTTATGACAAACTGCACGTCTCTAATTCCAATCAAAAACAATAATTACTTGTTTTAAGTTTAGAATATAACTAATTTTGAATTTGTGTTGAATGCAATGCAAGTCGGCCAATTACCTGACTTTCTTATTGCCAAACTAGAAGCGTATATGATGTATCAAACATTACAAACATCATAGGTATTGGGGAATAGTTTAGCGTAGATCTTGAGTCGCGTGTTGTTTTGCAGTTGTCGCCCGGGCCGCGTTAATGGAAATTGGTATATGATATCACAATAAATAGGGCGGTTTCAGACTAGCGTTTTATACGCGAGTATAAGCTCGTTTTTGAAAGCGCATGTTATCGCGTATAGGGACATCTTTTGCCACACACCCAACTCGTATGAGCGTTGACGCGCTACCGGTTGGAGCTTAGTGGAAATAAGGTTATTGTTATAGAATTCTCACAAAGCTCGCGTCACCGGGCCCCATTATTATGTTTGATAAGGATTGACCGCCATGCGTTGGTTTTGTTTACATTCTACTACTACTTCTACATACTTGTGCGTAGTCTTAACTTTTGTTTAATTCTTTGTTTTCGAGATTGTGTTAGGGGCCTAGCATGTATTTTATTCATTCCTATTTGTAATACTGGTGACTGAACACGTTACTTGAATATAACCGGATTTTAATTTCGCCACCCTGACCCAACTTCTGTTACATTATATAATTACTTTTGTTAATCAACCAAAAATGGCAAAGATAACACTCGTCAAAGTGAGTGGAGCAAGGCGTGGCGTTATGCGATTTTGCTCCATGTATGCGAACCAGCGTGCTACAATTCGAGTTGAAGGAACAGACTCCAAAGAGCTAGATATCCAAAGAGGAGTTAAACAATAAATCAGTTAATCTTTACTCAGAGGCTATTATGGCTGAAGCGCTTGAGAATATCAACTGTGCTATTAAAATCAATGGACGCATAATCAATAACCTTCGTTATGCCGATGACACAGTACTTATAGCCTTAGATTAAAACAAAAAGGGTAGATACGGCACGCTCATACTTGCATCAAACAAAAACTGATCCCACGGCAGCGCGAACGGGACGGCGAGATCCGCGTCACTGCATTACCGACCCGAACGAAACAGCACTGTAAGTTTCAACGGCAGCGCGAACGAGACGGCGAGATCCGCGTCACTGCACTACCGACCAATCACGCGACCAGTACTCGACGTCACTACCGAATAAGATTCAAATCAAACAATTTTTATGAAAAAATATTTACGAATGAAAAGTGATGCCGTGGGTTTTATTTTTAATTCTTGAGCAATTTGAGCACTTTTTAAAAACAAACAGGCATTGTTTTGTCATATAAACACAAAATATTAGCAATATTTCTTTTTGGCGTTCACATGTACGTCGTTTACATGTCAAGTTGTGACTAAAGCGATTAGGGTCGTGGACCACAATTGGTGCGGATCACTTTTGTGAGGCTAGTGCCGTATCTACCCTTTTTGTTTTAATCTAAGCTTATAGCTCCATCGGTGACAGAGTTACAGAGGATTGTCGAACGCGTGAATGGGTTGAGTTAGAAAGCTGGCTTGAAGATGAAAATCAACAAAACCAAGCTAATGGTTGTGTCCCGTGATGTCGACCTGAATACTACGGTTAAAATAGCGGGTCAGCAGATAGAAAGAGTCACCAAGTACAAATATTTAGGCACCTGGCTGACTGAAGGATTGTGACACTGAAATAAAAACCCGCAATAAAGTCGCCGGTAGTGCCTTTAATAGTATGAAAAAAGTGCTTACTAACCGTGGTCTTCACATTAGACTCCGTACTCGGCTCCTGCATTGCTATATCTGGCCAATACTTCTATACGGATGCGAGTCTTGGTATATTTAAATAAAGCTCAGAAAATGTATAGAAGCATTTGGAATGTGGGCTTACACACGAATGTTGAAAGTTATTTGGACTGAAATGGTAACAAATGATGAAATCCTGCGATGTGTTGGCACAAAACGCGAACTTTGGGATACCATCATAGTGAGGAAGATTGCGTATCTAGGGCACGTGATGCGACACGAAAGGTACGCCGTTTTACAATTAATAATGATGGGCAAAGTTGCTGGAAAACGAGGCGTCGGTCCCAGGAAGAAGTCTTGGTTGAGGAACCTACGAGAATGGACTGGAATCTCGAGCGCCGCTGAATTATTCCATCTCGCTAAGGATAAGGAGACGTGTGCTAAGCTGACTGCCAACCTTCGCTGTTCGGAGAGGCACTAGAAGAAGAAGATGCGACATTTCATATCAATACATATCTGTAATGTTTTCATTATGTAAAAAAATAAAAAATACGTGTCTTATACTTTACATACTACTTGATAGATGAAGAAAAAATCTGTCATCATCAGTCTTGTATTGGTCAACCCTCTTTACCCGATTACGCAAAAACCACAAAGAAAATCTTGCTTAAGTGGAATAGCCAACCGCAGGAAAGGTAAAGTAATATTTAAACAGTTTTTTGGATGTTCTGCGGTGGCGGTTATACAAATAACTATCTTCACGTCTTTGCTTAGGTATGATATAGATTTACTTGTCATTTATTTATTTATTAAAGTTACACATGCCAGCTTACTGAAAAATCCAAAGTGCTGGCAAGTCATACATAAAAACATTAACATATTATATAGAAGGTACTCATTCAATTAAATTAAATAAAGAAAAACAGAAAAGGAGATAATAAATAAAACAGATAAGTCAAATAGATAAAGTGCATAGAAACAAAGTCAAATCGCCAGATAAAGTACATAGTAACAAAGTCAAATCGCCCATTGTGATGAAGATTTAGATAATTTTTACGATAAAGCCGTACAGGTGGACTGAATTTTGGCAGTTTAAGTAAATGTTATAAAATAATCAGTTTTAATAAAAAGATTTTGTGACTTCTTTGATAAGATATCTCGGATCTAATTGGATCGTCCATTTCCACAGTACTGCTGGTTATACCGCGTGAATTGATATGATGCTATCAGTTTCACTTGTTGCGATTGTATCTTTTTTGTTCATAGAATCGCTATAGAAACGATGTTACGATAACATTACGTAGGTGTGGCGTGATATTCTTGTTTTGGTTATCGACTTCCCTTCCCTCGTATAGAGTAGGCACTAGTAAAACAATCATTCAATTCAAAGAAAATTCTGAACGCATTAATGTTCCATGATTCTAATGCGAGTGCTTGTTCTTCACATGGCTATTCACTGTTCTTCGATAGGTACTATCTAAGGCCCGTATTTACGGGTACCATTAAATAAAAGTTTAATTCTGACGACGTAGCCTGTAAAGGCTACGAAACGTCAATAAATAAATAAAGTTTCGTGCATTAACCCGTAAAAACTAGTTTTATTTAATGAGTGATGTGCGTGAAAACCTAAGAAACAACTAAGTGTTGATCTTTACTTGAGTACAGTTAGAAAGGGATGTCGCTATGTGCTATATATAGCGGACATCTCTTTCTAACTATGATCAACACAAGATCAATCACTGAGAATTTTTCTATAATACGGGCCTTAGTCTTAAGGCGCTGTCCCACGATCTGTGTTATCACGGGCGAGGCCGCGATGCGCAAGGTTGCCAAACATATGAAAATTCTAACTTTCGAGATTCAGCAGTATCTATACATGATACGAGGTAAACAGATATCACATACACTAATAGCATAACACGTTATAGCGAATGTTCCGACTATACGGCGGATGCATCAATCGTACGTTGCTTTTATAACTGTTAATACTCAGAAAAGATAGGTATTATTTTCCAATAATCGGAAGCGTGAATAAGTAGTACAACCACAATCCAAAAACGCTTAACCACAACGCAAAAACTCTCATCTCAAATACAGCTAGGGTTGTCACCCGTACTTTATTATAAAGTATTGTACGTTATCTCGGGTAATTGTACTCTATACTTTATGCCAACAATAAAGTACGCGAAAATACTTTTTAATGTGATTTGATTACTCGTGGATTAATTTTACACAAAATATACAAAAAGAGGTTGATAGGAAGATTTTTTGCGTAAAACGGACAGAAAGTATAAATATGTTGCCCTTAGCTAATTCCTGCAATATTTTCGTGGCTGTCTGCCTTTGTATCATGACCTTTCCCATTGCGGAAAAAAGTACAGTAGCCGCAAAATATTTATTAAAAGTTGCTAGTAGCAACGTAAAATATATTTTTAAGCTTACTAATACAGAGGAATAAAAAGTACTTTATTTTGGACACAATGTACTTTTTTTTCACCTTTAATATCCAATGTACTTTATTTCGACAAAAAAAGGTGGCAACCCTAAATAGAGCTCTTATTGTAAAGAGATAAATACGCGGTCAAATGCGTAACCTTGGCCTATACCAATAGGCTGACTAAATTGTACACTGTGTGAGCTGGTAACAGTGATGATATTGTTGTTGTAAAAATAGTCCCAGAGCATTTTATTGATTAGCCTATAAGGCCCCATTGTGATGACAGCTAACAGCTATATAAAAGTACCTACTATAGTAATGAACGAAGTAAAGCTTTCCTTATCTACCAATATGAAATATGGTTGTTAAACTGAATGAATGATGATATCGAAATTTGGAATGTACGTACCTAACCTACCTACCGATTTATTCAAACCTTTCCGCGAGTACCTTGTTTTAGCGAGTCTCCGATATTTATATTTTGCCAATGTTGCTTGCAACATCCCGTAAATAACATAAATTGCCATAATATTAGTAACCATGATAGTTTAAACTATCAGATTTATAATATCAGTAGGATTGATGTCACGAATTCTTTTTTTGATTGCAGAGACTCCATTGGGTCAGCTGCCGGTATTAGAGATTGATGGCAAGCAGTACGCGCAGAGTTTGGCCATCGGCCGCTACCTCGGCCGTAAGTACGGGCTCTCAGGCGCCGATATCGAGGAGGACTTCGAGATCGACCAGAACGTAGACTTTGTCAACGATATTAGAGCCAGTAAGTTGCAGATACCTTACTTCATACTCATTACCATAATGTCCTCGCCTTAGAATAATAGTTCTAAGATCTTCGCATAAAATCCCTAGTAGTAAAATGAACAGATACTAATATCAAGCACGGTCTTGCGGGCGCCGACATCGAGGAGGACTTCCAGATCGACCAGAACTTAGAATTCGTCAACGACATTAGAGCCAGTGACTTGCAGATATCTTACTTCATTCTCATTAGTATAATGTCCTCGCCTTAGAATAATGATTCTAAGGTCCTCGCATAAAAACCCTAGCAGTAAATCGAATAGGTACAAGTATAAAATACGGGCTCGTGGGTACCGATATATAGGAGATACCTGTGTATCATTCTCTTTAGCAATGGACTCGCATAAAAACCCTAGCTTAAAACGAATAGATACCAAGTACGGGCTCGCGGGCATCGATATCGAGGAAGATTTCCAGATCGACCAGAACGTAGACTTGGTCATCATAATGTCCAGTGGCAGTGGCACAGGCAGTGCCGTCTTTGATCTATTGGAGGCCCTGGGCATATTAGGATATCGAGGAAGATTTCCAGATCGACCAGAACGTAGACTTCGATTTCGTAGGTGGTTAGTGTGTTCGGCTTGCAATCGTGGAGGTTGAGAAACCTTCCCAATAGTTAATCACTGGATGGATGACCAAAAACTTATTATCTCGAGGTTCTCCGTGCTTCGTAAGACACGTTAAGCAGATGCGGCCGTTAGCAGGCACCAAACCCAAAACGAACTGTGCTGGCGTGGTGGCTTATGCTTCAATCTCCCTATTCCATCAAAGGGAATGCCTGTGCCCAGACCCGCCTTTCCCAGTGGGCACTTTGGGCAAGTGCCCAGGGCCCCGCGATCGATAGGGGCCCCCCTCAGATCAAATATAAAGTCCCTAGTTCCTGTTAAATCACCAAACATAAGTCATAGGGGCCCCATTATCCTAATATGCCCAGGGCCTCCAATAGGTCAAAGACGGCACTGCCTGTGCCACTGCAGTGGCACATTCCCTATTGATGGAATAGGGATATTGGAGCATAATAAGCCACCACGCCAGCTCAGTTCGTTTTGGGTTTGATGAGTGCTAACGGCCGCATCTGCTTAACGTGTCTTGCGAAGCACGGAGGACCTCGAGATAATAAGATTTGCGAAAAACTTTTTTGTACTTACACTGAACATTATTTAATGTACAGTAGCCTCGGACCACGGCAATACACGTGATATATTTCTGCACCCCTCTTCCCTTGTGAATTTTCGTGATTTTTTTATGGACCCCTTTCCCCCTTTCGAGCCTCACGTGATTAATGGACAACCCCTTAGCACAAAATAGAGAGTATTTTGAGCCCTTAGGGCGCGGCAGACCGGCAATAAAAACTTGTGACCGTAACGCGACTGAGTTTGTTTCAGTTACAAAAAACATCTTCAAATCACAATGGCGTCTTTTACCGTTCTGAAGGATCACAATAAATATAATTTATCTTGGTTCTTATAACGTATATCCCACTTTGAAAAAACCTTTTTAACTGTTATTGGAAAAACCTACCGTAAATGTAACGCACCAATATAACGTACCATAATAAATAAATATTTCCAACACTCACACCAATTAGCCTAGCCCCAAAATAAGGACTGTAAGGCTTGTGTTATGGGATACTAGGGTAACGGATAGAATACATATACTGTACATACATAAGTATATATATATAGAAATACATATTAAACATCCATGACTGGAGTACAAATGCTCGTTTTCATCACACAAACATCTGCCCCCACCGAGATTCGAACCCGAGACCTCTCGAATCGGCGACACCATGAAACTCGGCGTACAAACCACTCGACCACGGAGGTCATCATCATCATCATCAACAGCCTATTAATGTCCCCACTGCTGGGGCACAGGCTTTCCCTATGGATGAAATAGGGAGATTGGGCCATGACCCACCACGCGGGCCCAGTGCGGATTGGTGGGTGCTAACGACTGCAGATGCAGCCGGGACCAACAGCTTAACGTGCCTTCCGAAGCACGGAGGAGCTCGAGATAGTAAATTTTCGGTCACCCATCCAATGACCGACCACTGGGAAAGTTGCTTAAATTCAACGATCGCAGCGGAACGCGCTAACCACTTGCGCCATCGAGCTCCTCACGGACGGAGGTCGTCAATGTAAAACTCGCACTTGAATTAAAACTTAAAAAATACGCATAATTATATAATAGATTCAAAGCGCGCACATCATAAAATGTTAAAAAATGCCTTTTAATTTTTTCAATATCGTAATAAGCTTGATTGCTTCCATGTACGTTGTTTTTTGTACCATCAGTCTCCGATACATACGAGACCTCTCGAATCGGCGACACCATGAAACCCGGCGTACAAACTACTCGACCACGGAGGTCTTCAATGTAAAACTCGCACTTGAATTAAAACTTAAAAAATATGCATGTATAAAAATAGATTCAAGCACGCACATCAGAAAAGGTTAAAAAATGGCTTTTAATTTTTTTCAATATCGTAATAAGCTTGATTGCTTCCATGTACGTTGTTTTTTGTACCACCAGTCTCCGATACATACTGATGGCCAATGAGCACGGCTTGAAACCGGTTTCGAAAATACCGATAATTAAAGGTTAATACCGGTTTTTAGTGAAGGTTTCGTTCGAAGCGCGTCCGAAATGAAAGCGGTACCTAAAACCTTAATAAACCGGTTTAATCCAGAGCGACACGTGCACGCGTCGGCATCGCTTGAAGTTTGTTTTGTTTGAACTAATCAAGTCACAACTTGTTAATGCTCAGATTGATGCATTTATTGACACGTTTGCTAGCGTCTAGTGAGTCAAATTATTCATTTATTATCGATGCCGTCAGTAAGAGCGAAATAAAACCCTTTAAAAACCGCTAAATTGATTCTAAACCTATTTGATTTCGCGTTTTAAGAAAACCGGTTTTTTAAGGTTATGGTAGAGCCAAACCTAAATAAAACACTCCTAATGTACTTGACACTGATTTAGGTTTTAAAAATTAACCGGTAAACAAACCCTGCCAACGAGCAAATATAGGTGTCAATCCCACTAATTACTATAACCCTTAGTGTTCATGAAAGTTTAACAAAATATATTATATTCTACTTGTTCAGGGGCCGCACTGGTTCATTATGAAACCGACGAAGTGCTCAAAGAGAAGAAGCACGAAGATTTCTCCAAGAACATGTACCCAGCGATGCTGAAGAAACTGAACGAAATCATCACCAAGAACAACGGACACCTCGCCGCTGGAAAGGTACTAACGATTATTCACATCTATACATATAATAAAATGGTAGGAAAGTCAAAATTGTACATTAAATATTTTTTTAAAGAATACTTGGGGTGTGATCTACAATCGATACCGAAGCCAAAAATATAGTTTTTAGAATTTTTTACTGTTTGTCTGTATGTATGTCCGGGGTAAACTCAAAAAGTACTTCATGGATTTACTTTAAATTTGGCACGAATATTATTAAGAAGTCGGGTCAATAGGCTACATATTATAATAAATTAAAAATGTGAAATAACAGACGGAAAAACAACACCATCAGAAGGTAGTCTTTCGGTGGTGCCCCAGGGCTTGTCGTGTTTCTGTCGGTTCCAGAACCGACAGAAACACGACAAGCCCTGGGGCTCCACGGGGTATTGGGTCGGGGTAGGCAACGAAAGCGTCAATATAGCCTATCACCCAAAGACGACAATGTCCTGAAAAAACCACCAAAGTAAAAGTGCATCAAGCCCCTCGACAGATCTTTATAATAGCAATAATATAACCGCATTGAAATCGGTATTTCTTTAGAAATTACGATGCCGCATACAACTCTGTCCTCTTTACGTTGAGGGCTAAACAAACTTTCTGCTCCATTTTAACTTCCTAATGCAAAATATCCAAATAACCCTGTCACGGTCAGCATTATTCTGTAGCGAGATTTGCTTCGAATCAGGGTGTTTTGGAAAATTTACGTCCCCAGTATTAACCGAACGAGCTGTTAAATTGATGCATAGACTAAGGGTGTATTCCAAATCAAACACCAGTACGCTGGCCAGTGGTAATGACGTCATCATAACGACGTCATATTGACAACACTACTGCCTACACCAGTGCAATATGGCGTCGAAAACATGACGTCATTACCGCTGGCCAGCGTGCTGGTTTATATTTCCGAATACACCATATGTAGACATATGCGATTTGACGGATGAGTGGACCTTTCGTCTCAGTGCTGCCACTTGGTGGCCCTCATTGATAATAATAATATCATTGAAAAATTACAACTGGAAAAAGAAAACACTCAGCCTTACCCCCCGGCAAGGCTCGGAACCGGTTTCAAAAATAGCGGTAAATAAAGTTATTTACCGGTTTTCCAAAACGTTTTCGTCCAAAGACAAACCAATAATAATTTAGTTCTGGAACCTAAATAAACCGGTTTAAACGTAAAAGTGTAGGTATCTACAAATGGGACCTGCTGCACAGATTACTTAATGGGACCCCCCATCTATTAAATGGAATGTATTTGATGCTTTGGCAACAAAAAAATGGATATATAAATTTGCCATTTGCTAATCAATCTCTTATCTATTAGACAAGTCCGTCCGTCCGTCCGTCTGTCTGTGGTGCTGTTTCAGCGGCCAAACCGTAAGAGATAGATAAAGAGAATATTTAAGTTATAAGTGAAGAATAGTCTGATAAGACTACAAACCGGATTTGAGTAACGTAGCACTTCCGGTTTTCGAGAAATCACGAATTTTAAACGAAACCACACAAAATCTCCGAAGTTCTCAATTAATTAAATACATTTTTTTTTAAATCAGGTTTTCCAAAAGGTTTTCGTCCAAAGACAAACCAATAATAATTTAGTTCTGTAACCTAAATAAACCGGTTTAAAACAACAAATGGGACCTGCTGCACAGATTACTTAATGGGGGGTGCTCCATGCTTAATAGTTACGGGTCTACTCTATTACTCTGAAATGAATTCTTGTTATCGAACGAAGTTCAAACGAAATTTCATTTCGTCAATATGAGGTGAGAATTTGAACGATAAACTATCATTTTTTTTAAGAGTATGTAAACCTTAATCTATTTTCGGGACAACGAATATCATTATAATTAGTAACGAATAAAAAACATAGGAAGAAATTTGCAAAGATTTGACTGAGAGGAGATGGTTCAAAAGTGGTAGTCGGTTTCCGGCAGCGACGAAACATACATCATTTGAAACCTTGTTTTATATTACTATAACGTGTACAGATACTTTAAAATTTTAATTCATCCCCGATTAATTTTGAATCGTGTTTAAAATTTTAACAATTTTCTAAGGATGCTGGCCACCTCTCTCATAAGTAACATCATATTTTTTAGTGCGTGGAAGCTTATTACGTACACTTAATCACTATAGCAAAAGTCAATCAGTCCAGTCTTACATGATATTCGTAAAATCGTGGTGAACTTATCATACCAATAGGGTATTTGACAGTATTAAAAATAAAGTGCTAATTGTTAGCATCTGTATTTATAATGAATATTGGCAGGAGTTTTTACTATTATTATAGAAAAAATATTCATAATTTTACTAAAAACCCACAAAAAAGATAATAGTTGTCATATCTATTGTCACGTGATTGAAAACGCCTGGGATTGGCGGAGCCTAAAATGACGTCACACACTAGTAAACTTCCGGTCAAAGTGACATTACTTATCATTTGACGTTTTAATGACAGTCGTGTGAAGTCACACCAGTGAGACGTCACACACCGGTGAGACGGCATATTGCCCAGAGAAACGTTTTCGCGGCAACTTTTAAAATTTAGTTTTTGATTTAGTTATTTTTACAAACCGGATTTGAGTAACGTAGCACTTCCGGTTTTCGAGAAATCACGTGATTTCATTGTCATATCTATTGTCACGTGATTGAAAACGCCTGGGATTGGCGGAGCCTAAAATGACGTCACACACTAGTAAACTTCCGGTCAAAGTGACATTACTTATCATTTGACGATTTAATGACAGTCGTGTGACGTCACACACCAGTGAGACGGCATATTGCCCAGAGAAACGTTTTCGCGGCAACTTTTAAAATTTAGTTTTTGATTTAGTTATTTTTACTGAAATATACAAGAGAATGAAGAATATCCATCTTTTTATGGACTCCATAAACATCAGTAAGTAACGTGAGATCGTTTACCGAAACTTGTCAAATACCCTATTTATGATTCTTCTTAAAATGAAGTACCCATAAAATACCTAATAATGAATGATGAACAGAATGATTATCAGTGGTTTAGTTATCTATTAAATGGAATGTATTTGATGCTTTGGCAACAAAAAAATGGATATATAAATTTGCCATTTGCTAATCAATCTCTTATCTATTAGACAAGTCCGTCCGTCCGTCCGTCTATCTGTGGTGCTGTTTCAGCGGCCAAACCGTAAGAGATAGATAAAGAGAATATTTAAGTTATAAGTGAAGAATAGTCTGATAAGACTACAAACCGGATTTGAGTAACGTAGCACTTCCGGTTTTCGAGAAATCACGAATTTTAAACGAAACCACACAAAATCTCCGAAGTTCTCAATTAATTAAATACATTTTTTTTTAAAATCAGGTTTTCCAAAAGGTTTTCGTCCAAAGACAAACCAATAATAATTTAGTTCTGTAACCTAAATAAACCGGTTTAAAACAACAAATGGGACCTGCTGCACAGATTACTTAATGGGGGGTGCTCCATGCTTAATAGTTACGGGTCTACTCTATTACTCTGAAATGAATTCTTGTTATCGAACGAAGTTCAAACGAAATTTCATTTCGTCAATATGAGGTGAGAATTTGAACGATAAACTATCATTTTTTTTAAGAGTATGTAAACCTTAATCTATTTTCGGGACAACGAATATCATTATAATTAGTAACGAATAAAAAACATAGGAATAAATTTGCAAAGATTTGACTGAGAGGAGATGGTTCAAAAGTGGTAGTCGGTTTCCGGCAGCGACGAAACATACATCATTTGAAACCTTGTTTTATATTACTATAACGTGTACAGATACTTTAAAATTTTAATTTATCCCCGATTAATTTTGAATCGTGTTTAAAATTTTAACAATTTTCTAAGGATGCTGGCCACCTCTCTCATAAGTAACATCATATTTTTTAGTGCGTGGAAGCTTATTACGTACACTTAATCACTATAGCAAAAGTCAATCAGTCCAGTCTTACATGATATTCGTAAAATCGTGGTGAACTTATCATACCAATAGGGTATTTGACAGTATTAAAAATAAAGTGCTAATTGTTAGCATCTGTATTTATAATGAATATTGGCAGGACTTTTTACTATTATTACAGAAAAAATATTCACAATTTTACTAAAAAAACCCACGAAAAAGATAATAGTTTTCATTTGTCACGTGATTGAAAACGCCTGGGACTGGCGGAGCCTAAAATGACGTCACACACTAGTAAACTTCCGGTCAAAGTGATATTACTTATCATTTGACGTTTTAATGACAGTCGTGTGACGTCACACACCAGTGAGACGGCATATTATGATCAACAATTAAGTGAAATTAATGTATTTAATGTTAAGCTCAAGTTTGTTGCAACACCCCAACGGGGTCATGTACTCTCTCACTCACTATTAAGTATGTGAGACCTTATAATAAATAATGTACATGAGCAATGTGATACAAATAAATATTGCCCAGAGAAATGTTTTCGCGGCAACTTGTAAAATTGAGTTTTTGATTTAGTAATTTTTACTGAAATATACAAGAGAATGAAGAATATCCATTTTTTTATGGACTCCATAAACATCAGTAAGTAACGTGAGATCGTTTACCAAAACTTGTCAAATACCCTATTTATGATTGATTCTTCTTAAAATAAAGTACCCATAAAATACCTAATAATGTAATGAATCATGAACAGAATGATTTATCAGTGGTTTAGTTATCTATTGAATGGAATGTATTTGATGCTTTGGCAACAAAAAATTGGATAAATAAAGTTGCCATTTGCTAATCAATAATTATATAAGTTATATTAATATTAAAAAAACGGGGATACAATACATATAAAGAAAATATTACTAGAAAAAATTCCATGCGGTCCAGGCAGCAGACGAGACTCAAAGCCGCACCCGTCGCTATCCGGGCGAATGCACTGACATCCATGCATAATCAGGAATGTTGGTGAGGCCCACTCGACTTGTGAACGTAACTAGCAAGCATCAGTTCCCGTCGAACCGCCTGCTGGGTGATGGGGATCTCTGGCATAGAATTTCCACAATGGGGGTTTTTTGGAGTCGTAGCTAGAAAGCTACGCCTCTGACGATGAGGACATCGCCCAAGGTCGAGTAGGAGGCAAAGATTTAACAGAAGGTCAGGCTTTTCCTTCGCACTGAGAGCCTAAGCGGAATCAGGTGAAATGGAAACCCGATGCTCTTTCGTTTTGTTTCTCTTATCTTATCAAATATGCCTCTAACTATAATAAATATCAGCTATCTTCGCGTTTGGACTTTATCACTACTTAACATCAGGCGCGGTAGAGTCATTTAAATAAAATCTAAAAATAAATTGTATGAAACCAATGTGCTCTGGCGCGTCAGGACACGCCTCGATACGTAAATATTTCTCTAACCATAATAGATGTATGAAACCGATGTGCTTCTGGTGCATCACTACACGCCACGTTAATATGTTTCTTCCTTTATTTTCGTTCAGTTGACTTGGGGCGATTTCGTGCTGGCGGGAATGTTCGACTACCTGAAGACGATGTTGCGACAGCCGCAGCTCGAGCAGCAGTACCCCAGCTTCAAGAAGCTCGTCGACGGGGTGTACGCACTCCCGCAGCTCGCCAAATACCTTGCACAAGCGCCTAAGACCGAAATATAAGCTTTTTTAAAAATCTATTTAGTCCTTTATTTGTCCTTTCCTATCATAGCGCAACACTTAGCAATTCAAAGCATTCTGCACTCGCACTGTATCGCAGCAGTATCACGGGTAAATACATACAACTTTTATTATCCAAGTATCATGATAATATTGAAATCTACCTACTCTGTTGTAACCATGGAACTAGGTTGTAGGTGAATCTACTAGGTTTTTGTGGTTATTTTTCCATAATCGCCATGGTCTCCTCGGATAAATTGTCATGTTTCACCATGGGGGGGTCATGGGGGTCATGACCCCCGCCCCCTGGGCTGGGTCCATCTGCACCCACTTCACAATCTGTACCCACTGTGACTTACCACGACTATATGACCTCCCCCTGGCGCCAAGCTGGAGCCGCCCCTGTGTTTCACACAGCACAAACATTTTTAATACACAGTCTTGTGTAAAATAAATGTGAAATAATGTATTTATCGGCAATATTTTGTTTATTACACATTACTTTGCGTTAAACTGTGAAATTGTGAGATGAGAGCAATGACAACCGTGGAAAAATAAACCACAAACGAAAATAAATGTTATGTTCTAAGACAGCAGCTACCTACGACTTTAATTTTAGCTTTCTTTACTTCATCTGCTAAAGAGGTCTTTCGAAACATGATATCGATCTGAAAATAAAGCACATGAATTAGCGATGGGCGTTATTAACGATAGATAGTTAATTTAACCTATTATGAAAATAAGGATCTCTTCGTGTTGTCAAGCAACGTATTGATGCGTGGAGTGATCAAGAGACTTACCAACTTCTAAGGTTATCTTAACATGAGCAGCGAAAAGTAAGTTAAGTGTGTTGTGGAAATCACTAGTTATCAAAAAAAGGTTATTTATTATCATTATTCAGTAAGATTTTTCGTATCAGAAATAGGTGCAATACTGTGATAAGGGATGCTCAAAGACGCTATATTCACAGATCTGTCGAAAATGAAGATCCTGCAAAAGTTTGGAAATTCTTAAAATCTCTAGGGATCGGCAAGTCCCGTAATTCTATTTCTACTAATAATTTAGAAATTGACAAACTTAATAGTTACTTCTCTACTTCTATGCCGCTTGATGCATCCCGCAAAGTTGAAACATTGTAATTTCTTTCTAATTTGCCGACTCAAGATTCTTCTTTTTTCTTACATCAGTTTGCCGACTGTGATGTTAAGAGCATCACAATGCAGTTGGTTGTGATTATATTAGCCGGAAAATGATTCTTCCCATCCTTGAAATTTTAACTCCCATTATTACCCACATCCTAAATACTTCTATTTTGACCGGAGCTTTTCCTGCATCTTGGAAGGATGCAAACGTTATCCCAATTCCTAAAAAAAAACAATCCTGCCTCTTTTTCTGAATATCGTCCCATTCCCATCCTTCCCTTTCTTTCCAAAGTTCTGGAGAAGTTAGTTTATCGGCAACTTACAAGTTTTCTTAACCAAAACCAACTTCTAAACCCCTTCCAGTCCGGTTTTCCTACCGGTCACAGCACTACTACTGCATTGATTAAGATCTCGGATGACATTCGATGTGGCATGGAGAATCGACAATTTACACTGATGACGTTGCTTGACTTGAGCAACGCCTTCAACTCTGTTGATTGTGATATTCTTCTTGCTGTTCTACGTTCTCTTAACATATCTCCAGCGGCTATTGATTGGTTTCAAAGTTACCTGCTAGGACGCCGGCAGCGCATCTGCATCGAAGGCAACTTCTCTGCGTGGTGCACTAACAATGCCGGAGTTTCTCAGGGTGGCGTCTTATCTCCTCTTCTCTTTTCTCTCTTTATAAATTCGATCTCACAAACGCTTTCTAGTTCCTATCACCTTTACGGTGATGACCTACAGATCTACACTCGAGCATCGCTATCTGATAATTCTTTTTTTAAATTCGAATTTTATTTCTTTTTTATTTTAAGAATAATAATGGCATCCGAACAAAAATAATTACTTTTAATTGATGAGGTGAATAAACTTATTTTAATATTTTGTCGATTTATGACGTCAGTGCACTGGCCAATATACATATTTCAGAACCATTCACCAGTATAGCGTTGATTCATGACGTTATTAGCACTGGTCAGTATATTGGTATATATTACGGAATACACCATTTGCTTGCGATAGTCTGTCTCTTTCATACTTTGTATAAACCTGTATAGGCTATCCTGCTTTTGTTATGGTGTGAACTTCAAGACAATACAGGGAATTCCCGCGTCCATAGACAACCAAGAATTTGTATTTATAGGGTGGCAATCAATAAAAAAAATTAAATCTACTAAATGTCAATGCCAGATTCTGACCCACCATTTACAGTAATATTAAATTAAAGAAAAAATATCTACGACTTTTTTTGTCGTACTGATTTAATTATTACTTTGCAAAATTTGCGGATACGAAATAAATATTAAAATAATGTGTACCTACTGTTTCCATTAGGATAGGAGAAGAACGAAAACAAGGCATATGCGTTTTGTTGCACGCCAAACATTAAAAATCAATCAAGTTTTCTAAAAATATCCTTCACTTTTTCAACATTATGGATCTAATACGCATTTCGGTTATAAATATAATTAATTTATGTTTATAAAAAAAGTTTAACCGTTCTAGTACATTTTTTTTTGCGCATACACATTAATAAGTAGTAGTATAGTACTATGTGAAGCCATTCTGGATTGATATCCTTTTGTTTGACATTTCCTTTTCCTACAAGTGTGGTGCGGTGCGACAAAGAGAATGAAACGAAATGAAGACATATCGGGTGTTTTGTAAAATAATGACGACTTTTGCTTTTTCAATACAGGTTTGATCACGCCTTTTATACGACCTTGTACTTTGGCTTTGTTTTTATTTTTAGGATTCTGATTCATCATCATCATTATTATCATCATCAGTCTACCGATCACTGCAAACGTATTATATAAGTATATAATATATAAAATATATATATAAGTAGCTTAAGTTCAACGATTGCAGCCGAACGCGCTTACCACTTGTGATATCAAGCTCCTCGATTAATTGTTTGTAATTACATTTATATTTCATATTCGTTAATATTACAATTATTTACACTATTAAGAGTACCATTTTTAATTTTGCCTGTAATAAATTCAGAAACCCTTACAGACTAATAACAATCGAAAAACAGACGAATATGTACCTAGAAACTCCCTATTCCTATTCATGAAAATTATGAAAGCGCCTAGTTAATAATTTATCGAAATTCCAATTTTTTGCTCAATTGCAGGTCGAAAAATAGTATGATAATAAAATTGTACTCTTTGATAGTAAATTATTAAAAAACGCAACCTTTAGAGAATTCAAAACTTTACGATTTTGTTAATTGTTATTATACAGCTATCAAATGTCTTATCGCATTCATGTAAACCAATTTTATCGGGTAGGTCAAACCTCTGCAGAACTTGTGGCATTGCCTTTTACTAGCTCAATTCTGAAATCTATCAAAAAATACTGATTACTTTTTCCTACTGATGAAAGGTCATAATCTACCAAAAAAGTAGAAATCTACTACTGCATATGGTCACTCTGATAAGTAGACATGTAAAATTCTTTCTATTTTGTCCGTGATAGTGTCAAAAGTTTTTTATTCATTAAACTTCTTTCGTTTTATTGATAGGTATTGTTAAATAATATTGCGTTAAGAAAAGACGTTTATGTTTGTTTTTGCCCAATTAATTTAGTGACCATTTTCAACTGTGCTAGTACTCACCATCTACGCAGGTAAGTTCTTTCACCAATGTTATTGTCATAAAACTTGAAGAAGGTTCATTAGGAACAGAACCTGAAAAGTTTCCTATCATGAAAAGATGCTCTCCTCGGTGCGTTAATTAATGTACTTACCCACATAATAATATTATTCATAGAGAAAGGTAAATATACCAAAAGGAAATATTAATTTAGCAGTAAGTACCTACTTTTAATTAAGTGGCCAAACTGTACTTGTTTGGTCAGCTCGGAACGCCTACTCTAATTCAACTATGAACAAAATATCTATTCTACTTCGCACGTTTCTTACTCGGAGATTCGCATTCATTAGTAGTGTCTAATTATAATATTATTCATTCGCCCGAAAAAAGATTGAGAAGCCTTCTTAACGAAAAATTGAATATGATAGATTAATATCGGCGTTATTATTTTAAGGATTTAGGTATCATTCTAATTAAATATAACCTCAAATTGACTACATGAAATTTCTTTCGTACATCATTACCGAAAGTTCGTTTCTGAGAAAGAGAATAGACCACCAGGAGTCGACACTATTATCAATCACTAGGTTATTAGATAAGATAGCGATGTGGTGTGATTGTGATAACGTGAGTCGAGCGAGCAAAACTAGCGTGCCGTGCAGCGGCCGGCGAAGCGGCAAATAGGTATATTTTTGTGAAATAAAAAATATGAATAACTGTAGTTACTTATATATATATATTAAATACCCGTCCCGACACAGAGAAATTACGTTACCAAGAATTTCACGATATCCTTAGGTCCTTAGGGATACCACGAAATCACGGTAGAAGTCGAATATATTTGTTTATGACGTGTTCTTACTTAAACATTTTGTTGGTACGCCAAATCGCCTGTGGCCTTGCCGTGGCACCCAGACCCATAGTCCCAGGAGTGGCCGCCGGGACCCCACGCCCCGGTCACTCACAGACAGGCACGTCCGTCCATTGTGGCATTATGGTTCGCGCACATTATGCCGGGGCGGAGCGGGCCGCAGCGCGGCGGAGCGGCCCGCAGCGCATCGTAAAAATGCTTAGTTGTAACATTAGTGTCGAGCCGAGTGGCAGCGCTTTGACCGATTATGGGTACAGTGTACTACCAGACGTCCGTGCATCTGTATGCACTTCAATTCGCTTGCGTAGCAAACTGTGTCGCGGTCTCGCGGCGCAGCGGGGTCTACCGCATTATTATGCGATTCAAATAAGAATAGGAAAACCAATGACCTCTATCTGTCAAATGTCGCTTGAAAAGTACGGTTTGCAAAAAAAACATGTAACCCTTTTTTAGCACTGCGCTAATTCAAGAATAAAAACCAAACATTTGTAAACAAACAATAACAAATAGTGTTAATTAATATCGGTTGATATTTTTTTTCACTTATTGAGCTTTGGCCATGAATGGTTGATAACCTAAATCGTCAACCAAATGTCACTTTAAGTTGTATTCAGAAACTCGATTTCAAACTTTCGTTTACATAAAGGATGCATGTTCGTATGTGACCTAGTAATAGTGCATGATTATTCATAGAAGAGCTAGATTCTGATTAATGTTTCTTCTCACAGTCTTAGAACCCTTTCACATTTATTGCAAAAAAATCGTAACTTTTGAGCGCCTCGTTTACCCCCTTAGAATAGATTTTGACTCTTTCCAATAGAAGTAAACAGTAGATTTATTCTTCCTATTGGAAGTTAAAGTAGAATATTTGCAAATACTTTTTTCCTTTTTTTGTACTGATCATTCTACTGCAGCTAGTTTACGGAAAAAACGATAATAAAAACGACGAATGCACAACTGCAAACGCCTGAATCTCTAAATAATGTTCAATAAATAAGATCAAATTAATTACTAAGACATCAGAAATATGTTTTTGTTGTAACATAATGTATTAGAATTTTGATTTTCCATCTCATTAGTTATCAAAAAAAAAACATCTAACCTCCGTGAGTTTTCCTAAAAAACTATGCAGGTTTACCCGTATTTTGATATTAAAATAAATAAAATTACTATCAAAAACTTTCATAAAACTAATCTACCATTATTGAACTACTAAAATATTTTTATAATTAGTTCATTAATAATTATTTTATAAGACTCGCAACATCACCCGTATAATGCAATATTACTTACTAGTGCAAATCCATGAAAAACTAGTTTTATTTAATAAGTGATGTGCGTGAAAACCTAAGAAACAAATAGTGCAAATCTACGTACGCGCCGATCAGTACGGCAGCGGCGCAATTTATAAAAAAGGCTCTTAATAAATAAATACACGTCTGGACACATCGAAACCAAAACTCTAAGGTGGGCACCTTAGAGTTTTGGTTTCGATGGCCCCTACCGAAATATGATTGCTAGATTGAACAAAAACTGTTGATGCAGTTTTAAACCTGCTACATTTCACCATCTTTCTCGATCGTATTGTTTTAAATTTGAATTCAGAATACCATACGACATGGAGCTACACCTAACAAGTCGGATATGCGCCTTGTTAAAGGCAATTGATTTTTGAATAAAAAACATGTTTTATCAAATAAAGGTTTCATTTAATAACGCGTGTTGCCTCCATGGGCATCGACCACAGCTCTCATACGATTAGGCATAGAGTTTATCAACCGCTCTATGAAATTTTGAGGGATCATCTCCCATTCCTCTTCTATGGCAGTTTTCAACTCCTGCATCGTCTGGGCAACTGGCTGACGAGCCCTAACACGTCTTTTTAGCTCGGCCCACATAGTCCGCGTATGGTATCACGTGAGGTTCTAAGCACTCACGAATGTACCTTTCAGCATTTAATGTTGGCAGCCGTGGTCCTGTAACAACCTCAAGTTGAGTTTTGCCGCTCGCGGATATAGACAGTCAGTCCATGAGCCACCGCCATAAGCAACCCTCTCTTCAAAGCAGCATTGTGCGAAACGCTCTCCCTTACGTCGGTAGACCTTCTTCCTTCCATCATTGCCATCTAACACAATTTTAGACACATCAGAAAAGAGTACACGGCTCCAATCTTGCTGTGTCCAATTTAAATGACTGCGTGCGCAATGAAGGCGCGCTGTTCGGTGGGCTCACGTTAGTTTGGGCCCATTAGCTGGCTTGTGTGGTACCATATCGCGTTCTTTTTACCTTCTCCGAACAGTTCGAGCGCTCACAGATACTCCGTGGAAGTCGCGAAGTTGGTTTTGTATCTGAATGGAGGTAAGGTGACGATTTCTCAAGCTGGTCGTCACGATGAATCGATCCTGCCTTTCAGTTGTGACCCGAGATCGTGGCCTTCCTTGGCGACGAACAAAGCCGCCAGTCACTAGGTACCTCCGATAAACATTTCGGACCGCAGATCGACTTAAATTAAGTTGAGCACTCACGTTTCTTTGGCTCTTTTGTCCGGCCTGAATAAGTGCCACAGCTTGGGCGGCGACTTCAGGTGAAGTATTCATAGATTATTGATAGAACCTCACCTTAATGTTAAGAATAAGTAATGTTTGTTGCAAAACCAAAGATATCAATCACTTTTTCAAGAATTAAATCCAAGTAAACCAATAAAACCAAGTTTTCTTAGTATTCGATTGTTTGATATCAACAAACAGGCTCCAAATTGTCTTTTGTTTCTTTAAATTCTGTGTTCGAAATTCAAAAAAAGACTTGAATGAAATTGTGAATGTGCCAGGTTCAAAACTGCATAAAAACTTTTTGCTCGCCTAATATAAAATTTTATCTAGGACCAAACGAAACTGAAAATACAAGGTGGACCAATAGATGTGTCCAGAAGTGTATTATTAAAAAGCGGTGTTTTTTTTTCTCAATCTTAGTAAATAAATGTTATTAAAAAAATCTGATGCTTTTTCTCAGTTAATCTTAGTAAATAAGTTTTATTAAATTAAAAAATCTTTTTTCTCACTCTACCTATTTGGTTTGAATTGACAGCTATGACATCACAATATGGCGCCCAGTCGGTCTTATTCTTAGTTGAATCGCATTATACACGCAACTAAAATATGCGGCCCGCTGGGGCCCGACATAAAGTGCGCGATCCTTTATGGGGCAGCCTCTGTACTGTGCCACGGGCAGCCAGCGGGATAGCCGACGGCTCTCCCTGTCTGAAGGGTCGATACAGTCCTCTCGGCATCGGTTCGACGGATGCCTCCCTGGGACCTCTCATTATGAATATTCCACGGACTTGAAAAAAAGGTTTACAGGTCCGTAGAATATTCATTGTGTTTTCTCAATATCGCACCAATCGGTGTTAAATATTTTCGTTACATCAAAATACGGACTGTAACTTTCTTTACTCATGTGATTAAAATGGTGTGGGGAGATAATCGGAACCAAATTATATGATTTGTACATATATAAGTATATTTATATAGAAATATACACATATTAAACATCCATGACTGGAGTACAAATGCTCATATTCATCATACTAACATCTGCCCCCACCGGGATTCGAACCCGGGACCTCTCGAGTCGGCGACACCATTAAACCCGGCGTACAAACCACTGGACCATGGAAGTCGTCAATTTAAAGTATACATATTATTGATTTATAGAAGAATCTGCGTAGGGGTTAGCATAGCGCGTGTTGACGTTCGAGCATCCACCGTCAACTACAGCTTTAATGCTCGTTGACTTTTCCGGAAGCTCATAAGATGGAAGCCACGAAAATAGTGCTTTGTGTAATTAATGTTTCCCCCTTAATCACGAAGTCTCGATCACCTTTACCCAACGATGCGTCAGGTTTACTAGAAGATCAATAGCCGAACGACTCCGCCTGAAACCGTATTGGTGGTCAGTGCCGTCTTTGACCTATTGGAGGCCCTGGGCATATTAGGATAATGGGGCCCCTATGACCCCCGTTTGGTGATCTAACAGGAACCAGGGATTATGTATTTGATCTGAGGTGGGCCCCTATCGATCGCGTGGCCCTGGGCAATTGCCCAAAGTGCCCACTGGGAAAGAGGGGTCTGCTTGTGGTCACTGATCAGCTCGTGGCTCTCAAGGCACCGCAGTAGCTGGCAGTTGATAAGTAATGGATTCCCCTATATTGGAGAACAAGGAGGTGATAATTCCAAGCTTACAGTTAGGAAGTGAGCGGTCATTTTTTTTAGGAATCAGGTGCACTCTATATTTTTCGTGAAGTCTTCTTACACCTTTCATTTATCTCTGCATGCAGTTTGCCTACAATTGTATTTGTATTTAGTAAGCTTACTTTTTAGGGAAATATATTGAATGCATATATATTTATACATAATCAATAAACTTAATTTGGTTTGTTTTTCAGAATGGCGCTGCAGATGCCGTTAGTATTCCTGCAAGATAAACGAATATATAATGCAATCGAAAATGACGATTTATCTGAAGTGGTGATAGTCATCATGAACCTATTCAAAGAAAACAACATATTATTTCAAGCTTCAGAGCAAAAAAGTGAAGTTACGTCTAATCATCATCGCAGTGCAGGTAATGCAGCTTACTTAAAAGCTGACTATCGGGCAACACTAGAACATTACAACAAAGCCTTACTATGTGCACCCAAAGGATCCTCGGCCTTAGCATTAGCTTATAGCAACCGATCAGCACTTTTACTAACTTTAAAGTTATATCAAGAATGTCTCACAGATATTGAAAGGTGCTTGGACTTAGATTGCCCCCCTGGTGTAGTTGCTAAGTTGATGAAGAGGAAAAGGGACGCAGAGGCAAATATTAATTTGAACGATAATTTTACAGAACACGTTATGTGAGTAAATTTTTAGGTCTTATCACCTATCAATAGCAATAACAAGTAGCTGACCCGTTAAAATTCGTACTGCCATTTGTATTTTGTATTTTTTTTCTTCTTTTTTATAGATAGGTCCGACAAATGACTAAACCCCACCTGATGTTAAGTGACGGTGAAGTCCAGACGCGAAGATAGCTGATACAGCAGTTCTACCTACCACACCAGCCATCCTCACCCTGCCGGCTTGCATGTTGCAAATTGTGTTCGATTTTTTTCAAATTTTCTTATATGCCTCGTCCTGACAGTAAATCGTTTTTCGATTTGGTGTACAAGGTGTGTGAAGTTATGCGCGTAAATATATTTCGGTGATTCATTTTTATACTAAAAGGATTATATCGGTTTCATTATTAGGCCGGGACTCCACCAAAGCAGAGATGTGTGCGGTGTGCTGTCTGCTGTGCGAGAAGAGATGTTTTTCAGCTCGGGGGACTCCACCAAAGCGGAGATGTGTGCTATGCGAAGTTTTTCAGCTCGGGTGCGAGGCGTTGAGTGCTCAGTACGCATTCTGACACGAAAAGTAGAAAATAAGGGGGAGGGTGACACCGCTCACTGCACGCCGCCCACATCTCTCGTCTCCACTGTGCGTTGTCTGCTGCGCACAGATCACATCTCCACTTCCATCGCGCCATACAAATATTACACATCTCCGCACAGCGATCTCCACTGAAGCTGAGCGGAGAGGAGATGTGTCAATAACACAGTTCTATTTGTTGTTTAAAAAACATCTCCTCTCCGCTCGTCTCGTCTCCGCTTTGGTGGAGTCCCGGCCTTATACAAAAAGGATTATATCTATCTTGCTTGGCTAGTTTCTTCAGCCTAGCGAGATTTTTATTTTCATGTGGACTTGTATTAACTACAAGCCCACCTAAATTTTAATATAATAATATGGTTAAGCAAGATCCGTCTATTCTCAAACTCGCTTTTCGTAACCTTACCTAATCTAACCTATATTGACCTATTAATATGTTGCTGTTGAATATTCTAACTTATTTCACAGAGTTAAGAAGAAGGGGTGCCGGGTATTAAAAATATTTTTGAATTTTATCTCACCATCTCGCAACCCAGCAGGATGTCGATTCTGATAAATATGTAAATATCGTGTAATGTTTCGACCAGGGCCGGATTTACAGGTGTGGGGACTGTGGGGCAACAACGGAGTCATCATCATCAGTAGCCTATTAATGTCATGGATGCAGCCGGGACCAACGGCTTAACGTGCCTTACGAAGCAAGGAGGAGCACGAGATAGTAATTTTTTTTTGTCAACCATCCAATAACCGACCACTGCGAAAGTTGCTGAAATTCACAGCCGGACCAAAACAAGGCTACGATTTGCCCCCCCCCCCCCCCCCCCGGTGTAGACGAAGTTTGTTTTTTAACTCTGCTGTGGAAGACAAAGCCGCGACTGCCTTAAATTCGGCCCTGGGTTCAATTCAGTGATTCAATTGAATAATATCGCATTTTCACACAGCTTTTGCTATTAAAACATAAAATAACAACAAATACATTAACATAACAATAGAAAATATTAGTAACAAAAATCAAACCTTATGAAACACCATTGGATGCATTGGACGGATGGATTATTACATTAATTTATCAGAATCGATAACCAGGTAACGCTCAAAACACTAGTAATAATTGATTTTTGAGCATCCTAATTTAAATTACAAAGCGCAAAGCTTGCATGCAATAAGTAACATTTGATCTAGTATCTGAATCTGATGATTTTGGAGGGTTGAGTGTTGCATGCTTTCGTGCTGTTAAATGTTCAGTATAATATGTCGTTATCTATATTGGGAAAAATATGCATTTTTTTCTAGTTTACTTATGATAACCTGCAATTTTAGGACCAAACTGTGCACAGAACTGCTTGCCTTAAAATCTCCGAGGAATCCCGATATACCGTGTGCCAGTACTGATATAAATGTTGTCGTCGACTCTGGCATGCCCAAAGTGGTAACAACTAAAGCTGTAACAATAGGAACTGTACTTGCGATAGAACAGGCGTACATAAGCACTGAAAATGCGGCCTACAAGCTCATATCTTGCCACTACTGCCAAAATGTGAATACAAATATGATTCCCTGTGATAATTGTTGTACAGCCTTGTTTTGCAATGATACTTGCAAAAAAAAGTGCATTGCCGAGTACCATAGTGTTGTCTGTAAATTAAGTATGGCGATTGAGACTAGTCCTGAGGAGATGTTATCTTATGTTAAAGCCGCTATAAAACTGAGAAACTCATTCAACTCATGGGAAGAGTTTAACGAGGTTTCGCTCCTTTTAGGACCGGATAGAATCAAGATTAGTGAACCAAGTCAAATTTATAATGGAGAAATAAAATTTTCTATCCTGAATGTTAGTAAAGAGAGGCATTTTACCCACGGTCGTATTTATAACTGCGCTATGGCATTTGCACAAATCATCTGTTGTATTGTTCAGAAAGGTTCATTTTTTCCGGATAAATCGGACGATAAAATAAACGCTATCCGCAGTTTCAGTAGAGTACTTATGCACATAGGAATGAACGCTTCTGTCATAGATGTACTTTCATGTGTGTCTATTATGAGCCTTAAAGGGCGCGAGTTGGGACTCACTTGTAAGGGCATATATCCGTTGATTGGGAAACTGCGACATTCCTGTAATCCAAACGTGTTGGCCATCGGATTGAACAACCGCATCGCTTTATTGGCTTTACAACCAATGCCACAAGGAACGGAACTTAATATATCATATGCGTAAGTTTAGCTTTTATCATTTACATATTTATACTTACATAATTATATTTCAAAGCCTATAAAGCCTTGCAAACTTAACCCTCTTGATGATAATTTGTAATATAAAGTCGAACCACGTTAAGTCTGCAGTGGACTGACAGTAGCAAAAATTAAAACTTTGCACATGGCAGTACTGATTATAGTTAGATTAACTATCCCTGATACTTTTTACTTGTTGATGATATGATGTTGTCTTGATACTTGTTGTTTATATGGGCCGCTTTCGATGATCAAGTTTCAGGACTACGTACTCAAAGGGTAAAAAGGGAGCCCTATTGCTAACATTCTGTCGTCTGTCTGTCTGTCTGTCCGTATGCCACGGTTCTCTAGATCGTAAAAGGAGTTACAAAACGGAAATTTTGGCGTTTTATGTGGATGCTTGCCCAATGCTGAATTTTTAGTTCAAAAATTCAATTTCATTATTTTTAATGTGGGGTCTCATATACGTGATTCATCATTGTCTAGCGCTCGTTGAGCAGGATATGAATATTGTTACGTTTCGGGATGGGGTTTACGTTCATTGGCGTTCTTGATATTAAACTTCTCCTTCTACAATATCTCTCCCTTCATACTAAATCTCATTTCTTCCTCTTATATGGTCAAGAAATCAATTTTTCAATTAGTAGAATGCAATACGGTTGGTTAAGCAATTACTACTACAAATTTCAAATGCTTATAAACTTTTTTTTGATATTAAATAAATGCTATAAAACAAATGTTCGTCCACAAATAAAACAACAGTTTATTAGCTAACTGTATATGAATACAAAATTTTAGATATATAGAATGTAACTGTTGAAATGTAAATAAAAATAGCAATACAAAAACAAACTAGTATCAAGAAATTAATTGAAACTCACTCGTTAAGATTACTATTTCTTCATAACATTGCACTTTTTCATAAGAATCGACTCCATTTGTTCTTTTGCGGATTTGTAATGACTTGTTATTTTATAAATTACTTCTCTGACTCCAATTTTCACTCTTCTATTCACTCCGCAAACAAAAAAAATAATAAATAATTTTCATACGAAAGAGATCTTGCATGACATGACGTTTAAGACATTTTTAAAAGGGTTCCCAGATGAAGATTTTTTGGTGTGACTAGTAAATTGACTCCGCAAAGTTATCGTGATCCGACTGTAGTTGTAAAGTGCAGATTCGGTACAGAACCGAAAACGAAACGCGCCAGCACCCACCCGGCGAAGAAGGCGCCTCAGTGGTGGAAAAACATGGGCACCGCACCGGCACGGAAATATTATCTATACAGTATTGAGACTCGGCCCTGTCCTTGAAATAACTGCCTACGGCCGAGCGGGGCGTATCCACGCGGTAGGGCTGTGCCCGCCTACAGTATTTTAATTTCATCTACGTAATTGAGTTTCTTTCTAGGTTTGTGATTGTAAATGTTTTATTTCATATGTAAAAAAAATGTATTGAATGAATTAGGAAGTGTTACATAAAATACATATTATTTTAAGTGTAATATTTAATAAAAAAAATATAGATTTGAGACAGAAAAATATTTACGCCACGACTGAGACGAACGAAAAGCTTTATTATTAAATGTAATAGTATAATAAATACGCATTCGTATAAAAAGTTTAATTATTGAAGAGTTCAAGCAACCATAACCAGCACAATATCGACTATTGCTCTTTGCCATATTAAATTATGTAGGTATCTATTCAATAAAATATTCACAATACAAACGTTTAAGCACGGCTAACTGCTTAAAAACAATTGCAAGACATGTGTTAAGGGATAATATAAAAACATATGCTAATGCTTAAAGAAGTATATTTGTAAAGAAACATAACACGTACATACAACTCCGCCACAGAGATCGACAAAAGAAATAAATCTGCGGAGAGGAAAGCGTTTTTTTATCTTTTTGGCATCTTATCTTTTTAAGATAAAACAATGCCTTCGATGCTTTTATAAAGAACGCAAATAGTTCAAAATCAAATAACAAATGCCTCGGCATCACTTCTCATTCGTAAAACTGTAAAATCATTTTTTTCTCAAAAATCACTGTTTGTAGTGAATGTTATTTACGTAATCGCCATTTTGTTATCAAGAAAAGGACAACAATACAGCTCAGCCGTTCGCACCATAGAGGTACCTCTATGATTCGCACTCGGAAGCTGATTCGCCGATTCGCTCGCTGTGCGTGCAGTTGTCTCGCTCGCTCGATTGAATTTTATTAACTGACGTGTGCGTGTGTGAGAGTTGCGTAGTTGAGTAGGATCATTATTTATTTGATGCTGGTATGAGCGTACCGTATCTTCCCTTTTCGTTGATGATTTGATCTAAGCAAATAACTAACATCTTATTTGTTTTCGTTTCAGTGGTCACTGGCTTGATTATACCGTAAATTTCAGACAGGAAATGTTATTATTAAGGCACTTTATAATTTGCTCGTGTCATATTTGTAGAGGCATCACATTGACAAATCAGAAAAAGCCCAATGAAGCACAGATACAGATATACAACAAATTAAACCCAAAAGTAGCGGAGCGCGTTGTTAATTATAGAAATTTTTTAAAGATTTACAACGAGAGTGTTAATGCACTTACACAATTGAGCGATTTGCCATTTTCTGAAGAATATAAATCTATCTACGGTTTATTCAGGAACCTTGTTTTACATATCCAGCATTATGTTTGCCCAAATATTCGAATTTAGTTTCCGAATCCTTAGTCAGAGTTGTATTCAAGATAGGGCAGCGGTAATTTAAGATATTTATAAGCATAGGGGCATAAGCAGGGGCAGGGTGAGGAGCTCGATGGCGCAAGTGGTTAGTGGTTAGTTTCGCGGCGGTCGGTCATTCGATGGGTGACCAATTATTTACTATCTCGATCTCCTCCGTGCTTCGGAAGGCACGTCAAGCTGTTGGTCCCGGCTGCATCTGCAGTCGTTAGCTCCCACCAATTCGCACTGTCATGACGGTGGGTCATGGCCCAATCTCCCTATTCCATCCATAGGGAAGGTCTGTGCCCCAGCAGGGGGACATTAACAGGCTGATGATAATATTAAAGCTGGGGCGTGCGGCCCTTGGCAGCCTGCGCCTCGTTTGAAGGTAGGGCAATGGTATTTTGAGATAAGGATTTGCCCCTAGATGTATCATCCAATGACGCTCTTTTAGACTGCTGCAAGTGACTAGGTCATTGCCTTTATAGTATTTGAGCTAATCAGCCGTTACGGTATCCGGGGACGTATGGAATAGCGTCACCCCGGGATTAGGTCTGACAAATCAAAGAAGAAACAGACAGAAAACATATACCACATAAACCAGACCACTGTAATAAAGAGAAAAAATAAATATATGTAAAAAAAAACAGCCGTTACATTTTGAAATTATAATTATGTATGCTGGCTCGGGAGTTAATTGAGTAAGGGAAAACAATTAGCTAGGTTACGGAAAATAACATTGTGTAACAACCTAGTTTATAATGTTTCATAATGACTGAAAAACAATTTAAGGGGAATCCCCCCAAAAATGTGTCAAGATTAGGGATGCAAAGTCTTTTGAAATATCGATATTTATATCGATATTTATATCGAAGTCAGGCAAATATCGATATCCGATATATCGACCATTTTAACTCGATATTATCGATATATCGATATTTTTTTCTTTTTTTTGCTTTGTATTAAGTTTGCAAAGCAAAGTCCTAAAATTAAGGAAGCAAAGGTTTCCGAAATATCGATATTTATAATGTGGGCAGGTAAATATCGATATCCGATCAGATATGTCAGCCATTCCAACATTTCCAACACGATATTTACTTTATTTTTTATAGCGCTGTAAGAAGTATCAAATCAAAAGCAATTTCGAATCAAAGATATTTATTTTGTTTAAAATATTTGCACGCAGCCAAAATCAGAATAAATAATCATATGAAAAACAATTGCTATGAATTAGTAAAACCTACACATCAGGCTTCAGAATAGGGTAAGCCCAAAGCTTCCAAAATTACTATACCTATCTTACTTTCTTGACTTGGCGAGCTTAAAAAATTTACGATTTGTATAAGATTCTTAATTTTATTTTGAGTTATATTACAATGATATTAAATTTCAATTAATCAGTAGTTGACAATTATCTAGAAAGAGAGGCAAGGATTTTATTTAAGTGCATCAGTTACCTTTAGGTATACCATTATACCTATATACGTTGGTGTCGATTCTGGCATGATTATCTAAATTTAAAACTAAATTTAACATCGGTCTCTCCTTTTCATTCTGTATAGAGAATGACAAGGATACACTGTTGTCAAATTTAATTTTAGGTTTAGAGAAACATGCCAGAGTCCACACCAGTTTAGTATATTTCTTAGGGTTCAAGATTTTTTTAATACATCTATAAGCTCTTGCAATTTCAAAGCAATAGTTATTTCGATATTATTCAATTTAGATAGTCATAGCAGGTAAATTAATTGATATTATTGTGTTCAAATTAAGTCTACGAAATATCGATATTTTGGAATTTCCGATATCGATATTATCGATATCAGTGAATTTTAAATATCGATATAAATATCGATATTTTGGTCTCGATATTATCGATAATATCGATATTCCGATATATCGTTGCAACCCTAGTCAAGATTATTTCTGTGTGGAATCCTAGGGAGTTCATAGCTAATAAAGCGAGTTAATTTTTCATACTTATAGATGTTAAGTATTATTGTTTTTTTTATGGATAAAAGACACTCTTTTTTAAGTCTTTAATATAGGTACAGGAAAAATTCACGCTTCCTTTACTGGCGTTTTCACCATAGAAAACAAAAGGGGGAAACTGTTATAGACGTCTGCTCCTCGTGCAGTTTCAGATCATTTCATAGCGTTTCGAAGGGACGGGAGATCCGTCTCACTCAGCGCTGGGGCTAATCGCCTGGCGGAATTGCTATGGCTATCGCTATCGCTTACGCTTTCATTTTGTTATTTCTGACCGCTGAAGGTTTTCAAACGCCTCACGATCTTTTTATAATAACAATATTAAAGAAAATAAGCGTTCGGCATTTGACAACCTTCGGCGGGCAGAAATAATATAATGAAATCGCAAGCGATAGCGATGGCCATAGCTATCCCGTTAGGTGATTGACCCCCTTGCTCTATGAAATAACACGAAACAAAGACGCGGAGCGGACGACCGCTCCCGCTTAACGCAGCACAGGCCCTTAAGGTACTGTTTTATGTGCGTGCATTGATGTTCAAGATTTTTACTCCTTTTATTTTCTAGACAAACAATCACATTTATTATGAAATAATAAGTTAAGAAGGTATTTAATTTAAATACATGTGACTTTAATACTGCGCATTGTTGCCTTTCCTTTTTTTATTTTTAATCTTTGAAATCAGCTTGTTGTTTTTTATTATGTTTCGTTTAATAAATAAAGATTTTGTTTAAAAATGCATGTTGATTTATAATTGCGTATTTTTTTATTATTTAACCCACTTTATACTATCGTCGTTTTAAAACAACACATTAAAAAAATTGCAAAAACATAGACACCATAATTTTACTTAAATTTTATTTGCTGTAAGAGTGTTTTGTTGACTTAATCTGATGGTAAATCTTATTGATTATATTATTATTTACGATGTGTATATTTTATGGAAGTTAATTCAGATCCTTTTAACGATGACTTTATCAAAATAAGTAAACACAATAAGTTGCACAATTTATTGAGTTAATTTATACATATAACCATAATATTAATATTATTTGATAATAATCATAAGATTATAAGCTAAAAATTAAAATCAAATAAAAGTGATTCAGACGATTTGGCAAAAAGTTATGACAAAAAAGGTAGTGTTAGGTATAATTTTTATTATTTTACAGCATGTAACTGCTTGATGTTTAAATCTAAAGAAAATATAACTAGAAAAAATTCCACGCGGACCAGGCAGCATACAGGACTCGAACCCTCACCCTTCGCAATCCGGGCGAATGCACTAGCCAATTATGCTACCGCGGCCCTTGACGGCCGCGTCGAAATTTCTCTAGCTATTCGTAAGCTGCAAGGCAGCGCCATCTCTTCGTTGTAGGCAACCCACATATACATATATACTTATTATATTTCCATACAAAACTTGGACAAAAATTTGGGGTTCTTCAGATACTGAAAAAGATGATCTGCATAAAGCAGGGGATACACATGCCCGTAGCTTGCACACTAGCATATCAGCTCCTTGCACGTTTCAGCTACTGTCATGTGTATACGCTAACTGGCATGCCTGTAATACTGGCATACTGGCATGCATGCAGCTAGCACAACATTTGATTTACTTGCATGCCCGTTGAGGGAGGGGACGCGGGCGGCTGCTAACCTGGCACGTGTGAATAGACGCGACAGCTACAGGCATGCCAGTAGCCGACTCGTTGTGGCCGTAGGCGCTGGTGTTTTGTTTTGATTTCGGAGGTCTAGTTTTTCAATTTTTTTTTTTGGTTTTTGTATTCAACGGCACGATGGGGAGATGACAAAACTATACCACAGAACACACTTTCTGTGTTCTGTGAACTATACAGTTCATTCATTTGTACAGAGAATACGAATGTCTTTGGAAGCCGACTAGCTCGCTTTACAAAAACCAAATAGCAAGTGCCAATGCCTATAGCAAAATATAAGAAGAATTAAATGCTAGTAACAACACGATTTTGTTTAATTCACTGCGATTGTTATCCATATTAGGCGCGCAAGAATAGGTAGGTACAAGCGACTCTCACGAACTGTCCTGTGTATACGCGATGGTAATCATAGAGTATACTAGTATATGGTAATACTGGCATGCAAGGGCACAACTTGCATGCCAGTTTTACTTGCAAATGTATCCGCAGTGTGCCACTTACTCGCACATGCCAGTAACTTTCATGCCAGCTACTTTCCCGATTTACTGGCATGTGTATCCCCAGCATAATTGACAGTGGTAGTATCAACGGCATGTATAAGTCACGGCACGAAACTAGCGCTGACCGTTATTGCGCAAAAGTAAAAATTAAGATGTGTTAGGGAGAAACGAGGTGCGCGAGCGGGCGTGCGTAGCGCCGATTGTCTCTCCAGTCGTACCCATGCGCAGTACCCTTAGTACAAGTTTGTGCTCACAAAAACTATCATAGTTTTCGTAATTGTAAATTATGTTTCTATGTCCATTTTGGTGAAAACTAACCAAATGTACTTAAAATTTAAGAAGACGCAAATGATTTAATGATAGAATTTAAACACTGTTTATTTGTATTGAACCGAAAACAATAAAATCAGTACTCTTAATACGGTGCGAGCTCACTATCATAGTTTTCGTAATTGTAAAACTCGTACTAAGGGTACAGATATCCCCTCCGCGTTTTGTCCAGCGCTAGAATTACGTGCCGGGACCTAAGTAACATTTACACTTGATCAGATCAGCAAATCCAGATGTACGAGTATATTTTGGGTAAATGCTACTCTCCAGTAAAACTAAATGTGTTAAGTTTACTCTTCCTAATGTGAGGCAGGTTAATCACTCTTAATATTATAAAGGCGAAAGTTTGTGAGTATGTGAGTGTGTATGTTTGTTACTTCTTCACGTCTAAACGGCTGCAGCGATTTTAATAAAATTTAGTATGGAGTTAGCTGACACCCTAGATTAACACATAGGCTACTTTTATCCCGAAAAATGTTAGGTTTCAGAGGGATTAATACTAAATATAGAGTTAAGTATAAAATTTATTGTAATTATATATCTATATGCTAAATGATGTAATGGAAGGTAACCTCAGAAGTATCTATGAAGTCATTTTTCGACTTGACGACACTATATAACAATACAGGGAAAAAAAACAGCCGTTGCTGAGTTTCTTGCCGGTTCTTCTCAGTACAAGGTCTCCCGCCGTAGTTTTGCGAACCGATGGCGTAGCTTCTTGACCTTCATAAGTGCATGTAACAGCCTAGACTGAATAAATGAGTTTGAGTTTTTGGACTATGCCAACTGGTGCGAATTCTGTCAAGGACATTGTGACGAAGACTTGAGTCTTTACAGAAATGTCAGGTTGGGGCACAATGCTGATGATTTGCGGAAAATCAACACTGCATACTTCCATCTATTTTTTTTTGATAACTTTTTTCATCTAAACCACATATTGGACAACTGCGTCTAAGAAACTATAGAGCAGAGTTCCCCAAACTTTTTTGTGTTGTAGACCCTTGCCATGTTTTTCCGTGTTGGGTAGACCCCCTACTTACCTGATATTGATTTTATTTCGCTGACGTTGACCCCTTGCAGGTTGTCATAGACCCCTAGGGGTCGATATAGACCACTTTGGGAATCACTGCTATAGAGTAATTGATACTAGCGCAGAGACGAAGCGAACGTAATGCACATATTTTATTCCTTCTGAGCTGCGGATATTGCGCGCTTTCTGAGATAATAGTGAATTTACTTTGTGTCGTTTCTAAAATACACTTCTATTACTTCGATACGCTTCTACTCTGCGCTAGTATGAATTGAGCATGATATTAAAAATGCGAAATTTGTACGGATATTTGCTACTCTTTCAAGTTAAAACTGTTAATTGGAAATGGATGAAATTTGGCGCAGCATATCTACTTTTATCTTTGAAAATGTTGTGGGTATTCTCAAAAAACTACGGACGAAATCTCGGGTGGAACGTGTAGTTAATGTTGTAAATGCGTTGTACTTTCAATAGGTACACAATATCCGACGACCTCTGTGGCCGAATGGCATATACGGTTTCAAGTGTCGCCTACACGAGAGGTCCCGGGTTTGAGTCCCGGTGGGGACAAGGAATGTTAGGATAAGGAAAACGATCATTTGGACCTTGGTCATGGCTGTTTATATATATTTCTATATAAAATGTACAAATTTATGTAAAAGTATATGTATTCTATCCGTAACCCCAGTATCCCATAACAAACCTTAAAGCCTACGATGCCTTAAGCGGGGCATGGAGCGGGCATCAGCTCGGCATGCAGGTTTTATGTAATGTTATAGAGACCCGCGGCGCGGGAGACCCGCCTCACGCAGCGCTGCTCTTCTGAAATAACATGAAACAAAAACGCCGAGCGGACGCTCGCTCCGTGCCGCGCTTAACGCAGCGCACGCCTGTTGCAGTGCTTACTTTGGGGGTAGGCTAATTGATATGAGTGTAGGAAATATTTAGTATCCCATTAATTCACGACCGATCCTATTGCTTTGTTACATCCTGTGGAAAATGGTAAAATAGGGTATGGTCTATGGTTGTATTTAAAATATACCTGCAAACGTATAAAGGAAACGAAGTTTATTACAGTTGGACAAGCAAGACAATGAAAAACTACTCAGCTGCAGACGGAAACACATCGTCGTAAGGGTCGAATCGACAGTGAATGTAACAGACTTAGGCCCGTATTATAGAAAGATTCTCAATGATTGATCTAGTCTTGAGCATAGTTAGAAAGGGATGTCGTTATATATAGCCTATAGCGATATCCCTTTCTAACTGTACTCAAGAAAAGATCAACACTTAGTTGTCATTTTATAATACAGGCCTTAGTTTTTCGTTCAGAATTGAAGAAAGCTGGTTAGGTTCATGCTGCAGCTCACAATCGCTTCGCTCAGCTCTCTCATTGACCAATAGTATTATTTAAATAGCAATATATGATCCATAATTCATAGGTTCATCATATTCACTTTCAAATCTTCTTCTTTCCTTTGGGTAGTGAATAATTTCTTTAATTCAACACTACATAACTGTTTAAGAAAAGCGCGAGTGTTGCAATGCAATCGAATTCGTGATTTCATCGTGAATATCTTTATATATATAATTCTTCTGTGAGTGTGTATGTCACTGAACTTCTCTTAAACGACTGGACCGATTTTGATGAAATTTTTTGTGTGTGTTCAAGGGGATCTGAGAATGGTTTAGATTCACAATTTTGTCCGCTGGACAACCCCTATTTTTTTAGGGCAGTACGAAGTTCGCTGGGTCAGCTAGTAGTATATATAAATTTTTTTGTCTGTCCGTTCCGGGAATAAATAATTTTAGCCTGTTAGTTTATCATACTGACTTCCTCGGAGCGCCGATTTCACTATCCTTCTAGTCGTTCAAAATTCACGTGTCCTTTTTTTCATAGTACAATATTTCGGTGATTTTTTCCATTATGATTAACGTTGATGCTGTATGTACTGCCATTCTTATGAAATACGGAACGATGCCTTTCCATAGGTAGAGTATCCCTTTTCTTTGAACAATGTCTTTGAATATTGCACTCTGTGTCATATTGTCTCGCCTGACTTGGTATCTGGAATTAAAAAGATTTATATCAAAAGCATACCTACTACATGGTAAAAAGTCTTGGCCAAAGATACCTAACTTGAGTTCCGTTGATTCATTGAGTTAAAAACTTATTAATTCGATTGAAGATATGTGTCCAACTTATCATATCCTTTATTAATTTATTTCAAATAAGATTCATATTTCAATTATATAATAGTATTTTATTCATTAAATTAATCATCATCATCAGCCTATTAATATCCCTACTGCAGGGGCACAGGTCTTCCCTATGGATGGTGTACGAGCCAGTGTGACCACGTACACCCTTTAGATGTTGATAGATGATAGTTGTTTTTAGTATGCAGGTAAAGAAGTCATCAAAGTTAGATATGTATATTTATTGTAGCCGAACGTAAATACAGATAAAAATGTTAGTAGGTGATTCTTTGCTTGAATGTTTCGAATGCGCGCTCTTAACGTACTCGTGTATTTAATATATAATATCAATAAAATTAACTATTGCGACCAAAAGTAGGTCGCTATGTCAGCTCAGTATGTGCGGTGATGAGACTGTACAGATGGAATAGCGAGACTGCGCTGTGACGACTGCACATGCAGCCGGGACCAACGGTTTAACGTGCCTTTTGAAACACGGAGGAGCTCAAGATAATCTGTTGTAATGCCCCAATAGGGTCTGTGTTGTGAACCATTTTAACTACACATAACACCTATTTTAAAAATGGCATAATGCAATACTGAAATGAATTACGAATAGGTAATAAGTTTTTGGTCACCCATGACCGTCCATTGCAAAAGTTGCTCAGCTTTTACGATCGCAGGCCGAATGCGCTAACCACCTGCAAGCTCCTCCTTCATTTATTAACATCATAAAATTGAGGAGCATCTGTTCGAAAGGGGCTATTTCCATGCTAAGTGAAAGTAAATGTTGATAAAATTAAAAAAAAACGTATGCTGATTTGATGATGTATGTGAAGTGTTTTTTTTTTTAATTCAGGTAATTCATGAGGAGACCACTTATTTTCCGGATAAATTTATTTATAATTGTTATTATTAAAAAGCACAAAATTAGGTAATTGAAAATGGAAATAGCACTTTTTGGTCGGATATTCAGAAAACAGCATCTTTTGATCAGGAATGATAATAAATAGCGTCAACAAATAAACTTTTTTAAGTTGTTTTTTTTTTAATTGGAAGCTACATTTATGCCAAAATATATAAAATAACTTGGCATTGACTACTTGTCATTACTTTTTAACATAAAAAAATTTGATAGAGTTTGCCATAATGCATGTTTTTTTTATCTTAAAAAAGTAATGACAATTAATCAATGACAAGTTGTTTTATATATTTGGCATAAATGTAGCTTCCAATTAAAAAAAACTTCAAAAAGTTTGACAAAAAATATTATGTGTCGAACATAAAGTTTTATATGAGCTAAAATAGCACCGTTTGAATAGAACCGCGAATTTAAGTTCAAATTTGAAGGAGAAATAATCAATTTCTATCAAGAAGACTAAACACGGGCTGTGATAGGATCTTAGAATACCATTAGAATTCACGTAATAAAACTATAAGTCAGTAAATACGGAAATAGCCCCCTTTGAACAGACGCTCCTCAATTAATATATATTTATTGCTTTTAGCGATAAAACCAACCTTGTTTTAATAAGGTCTATTGGAAGCGAGAGAACCGTAGAGACAAAACTCGACACGATTGACGTAAACACGTGTAGAGTAGAATCTTTTAGTATTTTCCGTTTCCCCACCCTTGTATTCACCTGATGATTAAACAAACAAATTAAAAAATATATTAAAAACAAAGTTTTGATCGCGCGAAGGTTCGTGACACGCTGAAACTGCGAGTTCATTTTACGACGGTATTGTATTTTGAAGAAAACTGTGCGACCAGTCGCAATATCTTATTCAAAACACACAGAACTTAAAATGTAAGGAGTTAGAGAGAAGGAGAACGATCGCTGTAGAAAATAGTGTCCCAAAATTAACGACAAAATAAGTGAGGCGCTGCGATCGCTAAGTTGTCTCAATAAAAGCGGGCTGTTGTGCGCTAATTTGAAATGACCAATGCCGCGAAGAAAATTTCAACTAACTTCATCTACTTGTACTCGTAAACAGCTAACTTCACAGATACTACTTACCGTCGGCAGCGCGGCTGGTGGCTGAAAAATTAACTATAAATTCTACAAATTTTCAGCGATCGTTCTCCTTCTCTCTAACCTCCATGATAGAAAGAGTAATGTCTGATGTATCATACCTCTTTCTATGGTCTGTGGTCATATTATTCAAATTACTGTAAATTGATTTACTTTCTAGTAATAGAGAAAGCGATATCAGGCGACGAACAAACAGGAAAGTGGGAAAGGGAAGAGGCGATCAAGTGACCAGAAGTAATACGCTAACAGCTGGCTAAGGAATCATCGTCTTAGTTAGACTATTAATGTCCCCTCTCCTGAGACACAATCCCTTCCTATGGTTGAAATAGGTTGATTGGGCCCAGAGGCGTCTTAACCATATGCGGCGCCCGGGTGCGAAAGTCAACAATGCGCCCCCTTTTTCATAAATGTCAAATTTATTTTTCATTGTATTATACTGTTATAAAAATATAGAAGAAATAAATCACATAAATAAGAAAGTATTGGGCCTCGACCCACCAGTCCCCCACGAAGGTAGAGTGCGTATTGTTGGGTGCTAACGACTGCAATGCATCCGAAACGAACGGATTAACGTGCCTTACAAAGCACGGAGGATCTCCAGATAAAAGAAAATGGTCCCCCATTTGATGACCAGCCATTGCGAAAGTTGCTTCACTTCCACGATCGTAGACCGAATGCACTTACCACTTGCGCCATCGAGCTTTTCTAAACTAAAGAATACCCAGTCCATAATCTTTATCCTCCTTATTAATAAACGAAGCTTGGATTATTTACACTATGTTTTGTATCCGTTCATACAATGACAAAATGGCACTTGAGAGAGATGAACAAATCACGGTGTAACTAGTCTAAGCTTATTCCTCGTATATTAATAAGGGGGCAGTGGCGGCGCTAGGCGTCGGCGACGTCGGCCACCGCCGACGGCCTCGCGCCTGAAGGGATCTCGAAAAAAAATTTTACTAGTTACTTATTTATTTTCGTTTCTCCTGGCCCGGCTTAGGTAGCCGACCTCGAACAATTAGGGGAAAAAGCTAAGCAGATGATAATGACTTTTATTATTTTAGCGAAGCGAATAGTACTTTACGGGTATTCAGAATCGTCTGTCTGGCAACACTATTTTTGTAATTAAATTTCTATGTTTGTAATTATTCTTTGTCATCATTTGATTATCAACAAAAAAACTCGTTTACTCATACGATATTTTATAATTTGGCTCACTTAATTTAACGGTTTTTTACTGCGAAGTAAAATAGGCCTCGCGAACTTGATGTCGCCGACGTCCACATGTGGTCTAGCCCCGCCACTGTAAGGGGGTATATGTCTGGGTATGCAAAAGTAAGAATGAAACAGTTCAATAAACTGCTTGAACAATGAACGGTTCGAATTAACGATGACAAGTACCCTTAGTACGAGTTTTACAATAACGAAAACTATGATAGTTTTCTTGAGCTCGCACTCGTACTAAGGGTACTTATTTTATAATTTTCGTTTCAATACAAATAAACAGTGTTTAAATTCTAACATTAAATCATTTGCGTCTTCTTAATTTTAAGTATAGGTATTTGATTAGTTTTCATCAAAATGGACATAGAAACCTAATTTACAATTACGAAAACTATGATAGTTTTCGTGAGCTCAAACTCGTATCTAGGGTACATAACCTATCTGGTAAGCTTGATCTTTATTTTCTTTCGCATTTGACTCGGGCAGTGATCAGAGAAATTGTTCGGATTAATCGCAGCTGCTGCTTATCGCTACCGTAAATCGCGACAAAAATTTCATCCCTACCATCTTGATGCGTGGCTAGGTATTTATTTTTCCACAACCTTTGATTTTCATGTTACATTGATTTTCCTTGGAGTCTCACTAGTACAAAAGACATATAGGCCAAAATTCATGAAGATTTTAGAATATTTGGAGGTTGCACAAATTGGCCACTTTTTCTAGTTTTTTATTAGGGCCTAATGGCTTTCCACAACCTTGCGATTTAGTCTATATAATTTTACCACGAACGACATAACTGTGAAATACCCTGTCACCAGACCCCTCTTTCCCAGTGGGCACTTTGGGCAAGTGCCCAGGGCCCCGCGATGGATAGAGGCCCCCCCTCAGATCACAAACAAAGTCCCTAGTTCCGGTTAGATCACCAAACGGGGGTCATAGGGGCCCCATTATCCTAACATGCCCAGGGCCTCCAATAGGTCAAAGACGGCACTGCCTGTCACAGTGGTGATACCGGACCAAGACGATCAGAAAATCGTAAAAAAAGAGCGTTCTCCTTCCTTGTCGCATTTGTGATGCTCCTGGAGCTGTAGGTATATGTAGGTGTGTGTTGACGACCTCCGTGGCCGAGTGGTTTGTACGCCGGGTTTCATGGTGTCGCCGACTCGAGAGGTACCGGGTTCGAATCCCGGTGGGGGCAGATGTTTGTGTGATGAATACGAGCATTTGTACTCCAGTCATGGATGTTTAATATGTATTTCTATATAAATATAGTTATATATGTTCAGTATATGTATTCTATCCGTTACCCTAGCATCCCAGAACACAAACCTTATAGTGCTTACTTTGGGGCTAGGCCTTAGAGCATTTATACTAATTTATAATAAATGCTCTAAGGGCTAGGCTAATTGGTGTGAGTGTTGGTAATATTTATTTATTTATATGGGCGATGGTGATACCATCAGGTGAGCCGTCAACTCGTATGCTGTAATATAAAAATATGAAACCTCCGTACTTCAGCGTAAACTCCTATCTGGGCGATGCTCAGGACCACGGACCGCCCCATAGTCAACGCTCCACCGCGCCACAGAGTACACAAACCATCGTCTCTAGCTATCCTGTAAAAAAACCGTGAGTGTAGTGGAACACTCGGTTGGAACGAAGTTAAAAATATTTTTATACTTATCCACCAATTCACAATCTCTCTATTCAATTCAAAAAAGGGTCCTTCCTACCCAGCATCCGCACTGCCCAGTGCGAAATGGTCCCAGTGCCGAACAGAATCACAACGATGACAAAACTTAGTGTTCTTCTTTCACTGGTCTTCCGTAAGGGGAAGATTAGTTTCCCAGACCAGACGAGTGCCTCAATTTCAGCGGGTAATCCGCTATGCTCTATACATATTTTTAAAATTTTGATCATCTACCTACCTACCTATGACTTATAATAACGCAGACCGGGCGCATTAAAACCACTGAATATCTCCCTTAACACGGACCAGTATCGAAAATTGGGGCGAACGAAAAAACATTTTCAATCTTAAAATACTCCATATTACAAGTTCGTTCCTTAGAAACTTTGACGATGGCGAATGGCGATATGAATACTTTGTCGCTAGTTATTCGTGCTTAGGATACTGAACCATTGAGTTGCTTAAAAAAAAATCAGCTCTATACTAACTTGTAGAGGGCATGCATCACGCCTCGGTAGGGGCTTTTCGCGATACAGGGGCCACAGGGCTCCATCTTACCCTCTGCCATCATACGGACCAACGCGACTTCCGAAGGGTTGCCTACGAAAGCGCCTGCTAACCCTGCGCACAGTCCTATCAACACCTTCTCCTGTGTGGGCAAAGTCGTCGTATTCGGCAGACCATGTAATCTAAAATAAAGGTATTATATTTAACTCTTTATTTTCAAGAGATCAAGGTCTTGACAGACATACAGATGGATGAACAGACGGACAATAAAGTGATCCTATAAGGGTTATGGTTTTCCTTTTTAGGTACGGAACCCTGAAAAGAGGAGGTCTATTATATTGATTGTATGTATATACCTTATATTATATATATATATATATTGATGATATTTTGGTGAATTTTGAAACGATTTTCAAAAAGCAATCCAGGGGCTGATCTCATATTCACCTAGTCAGAATCTGCTGATCTAAAATCCGGAATCCTGGAGAAGTCAAAGGAAACTCTTCAGAATATATACCTAGGCCTATCTTCAGTACATTATGTGTTTATAAAGGAACTCGTAATTTTTAACCCCCTACGGAAAAAGAGGGTGTTTTATAAGCTTGACATACCTGTGTGTTTGTGGTGGCATCGAAGCTTCTAATCTAAAGGAATGGACCGTTGGAGGAACTAGGATGTGATTTTTTTGTTGTGTATCCTAACCTTTTCAGGTGATCGTTCAACAGATTGTAAACCAAGAGCCTGGTAGTGGTGGCAGTGGCTTGTCGCATGAGGCCGGCAGTCAGACCTCTGTACAGTGCCGAGGCCCCCTCGCACTTGAGCATCAGCCACGCCATCTGCCGAGTGTTGTACGACTTCTCGTGCACTTGGAGACGCACTTTGATCACGTCTAATGGGTGCACTAGGACGGTCGCTACTATGCTGAAAAAATCCTCAGGTACTTGTCGATTTAATACTAACCTTTGAGTAGGCGTCCATTAAGCCTCGATGACACGGGGCGAATTTACAAGGCTTGTAAATTCGCCCCGTGTCATCGAGGCTTTAGATGCATGTTGACTAATGAATGTTTAAAAATAGATGGCGCTTAAAAAGTCACTTTAGGAGTACCTAGTAACAGTAGTCAGGTGGTAAGAATTAACCTACCTAAGCAGTGGCAGGGCAAGACCTAAATTTGATATGGGCAAGACAGATTTCGCGAGGCCCTGTTCTGTGGCGACCTGAAGACGGATTTTATAAAATAATAAAAAAAAATTCGCATTTAAGCAATGCATAAAAATTTTTGAGGCGCGAGGCCCCTTGTACCGCGAGGCCGTAGGCGGTGGCCCACGTCGCCCAAGCCTTACGCCGCCTCTGTACCTAAGCGCAGGGTCTGATTTAGAGGTGTCCTAAATCTAGGCCGGGCCACAATTTGCACCTCCCATCCTCACTAGATGACAGGTTAATCATTGGTCACAAGTATAACCATGGAGTAAATATAAAGTTTGTTTTTGTTCCATGGTCACAACCTTCACTGCTAGCAAACTGACAGCAAATCCTTTAGGCGCAGACGACTTAGAAAGGTTGATACTTTCCATTGACGACCTCCGTGACCGAGTGGTTTGTAAACCGGGTTTCAGGGTGTCGCCGACTCGAGAGGTTCCGGGTTCGAATCCCGGTGGGGGCAGGTGTTTGTGTGATAAATACGAGCATTTGTACTCCAGTCATAGATTTTTAATATGAATTTCTAAATAAATATACTTATATATGTATTCTATCCGCTACCCTAGTATCCCATAACACAAGCCTTACAGTGCTTACTTTGGGGCTAGGCTAATTGGTGTGAGTGTTGAAAATATTTATTTATTGTTTATTTTACTTATGTTACAACTATGACGGTACTTCTAAAGTTCTCTTCAGCATCATCAGCCTATAAATTTCCCACTGCCGGGGCACAAGCCATGAATGGAATAGGGAGATTGGGCCATGACCCAAAACGAGGGCACAGTGCGGATTGGTGGGTGCTAACAACTACAGATGCAGCCAGGACCAACAGCTTTAAGTGCCTTCTGAAGCACGGAGGAGCTCGAGATAGTAATTTTTTGGCCACCAATCCAATGACCGACCACTGCGAAAGTCAAGTTATCTTATCGCGATCCTTTTAATTTCGATGATGAAGAGGAATGAAGCACTAATTTATATCCATATTAAATATCGCGCACATCCTGGTAAGTTTGCTGTGAAAAATCTCCTTAATTGTGAGATAATATTGTGTGGTGCATTCAGCCTACAGGAGTGTTCGGGAAAACAAGTGGAGCAAGGGTGTGCGTGCGCCTGTGCGGTGGTATGGGTTGGTCGCCCGATCCCTTATTAAGGGGCTACCTTTGATTATATACACTCGTAGATACCATATTAATCGCACGGAAGCACCGAAAAAATATCTACTATTTTACTTAAAGATACGTTTGTCGCTACACATGAACATATTGAATGGTTAAAAACATTCAGACATTACAGTCACGCACACATTGCGCCGTTTTCTTTGCTTGGTGTATTCGAAAGGTATATCTATCTACGCGTGTATATGACTAAAGGGGGCTTAGTTTTTAATGTCATAAAATAAGATACAGTACCACGAATAGGTACATTGATTATAATACACGCACCTAAACCGTTTATATTTGGTTGAAATAAATTGCGAAAACCTATAGTTGTAACATATTACCTAGAAAATGTTCCAAACAAAACCTTTTCAGTTTTGGACAGCCGCCTCACAAGCTGTTGTATTTCCGATTTCTTAGTCATTTCTACGATTCGTAGAAGATCAAAACTGAGCTCGATGATTGTTCAAATAGACTACTTATCTAATTTATTTTATAAACTTAGTCATAAAATATTGTTTCTCTTTTTGCTTATATTTTGATTTCATTTTGACTGACAGAGATCATTCAATGTTCCTTCTACGAGAGACTGACATTTTTGACAGATTATAATAGAAGAATCATGAGAAAAAGAATACATTTTATCTCTGAAAAAGGAATAATATGGAAAAGACACGAAATTTACACACATTTACATTTACGACACGACATTGTAATTTGTTATAGAAATTACAAAAATAGTGTTGTCTCCTTTCTACATTCCTATTGATGCATAAGAAAAAGACACCCGCACTCTATTTCGCAATATCCGCTACAGTAGTGACAATCTATATCTAATAAACAATCGTGCTCGTGTCGCCATTTTACCTTCCCATAAGTAGTCTGCGGTTCCCTAGTTTGTTTACAAATAAACTCAAAGTTGTCGACGTCATTCTTATTGGAGGAATTTAAAACCGAGAAATAATTAAATTAAGCTTTCATGGTCACTAACATTATAGTAATATAAGATATTTTCGGGATTGTTACCATGTACCTTGTTTTTAGCGAGTTTCCGATATTTCGGCACTGTTGCAAGCGCCATGATCACGGAGTAACTGAAGTAATTGCGGGTAGGCTGTTATTGGCAGACATATCGGTCTACCCTTCGACGAAGTCTTTTATTGCGTTCGATACCCGTACCACTGTTCACATTCTCACTATTGGGATCTGACATGGAGGCGTGGCCTATTCAATATGGCGCCGACGGGGGTGCATTTGCCTAGTCAAACCGTGATGAAATACCGTAAAATAGTTAAATATCAATATTAGTGGTAGATAATGATAGTCTTAACAATTAATGATATTTGTGAATGGTCCGGTTCAACGCCCAGTAATCGCAATTTTCGAGAGGGTGAACGACTGGTAGCTGCGAAACATTTATTGAATTGTGGTATACACAAACATTTATTGAATTGTGGTAACTAAACCAAGGAAACTCTTTCATTTTAATGTTGTTGCCGTCCCATTCTTTTCTTAGTGGAATAATAATGAGATCTTGTAAAATGCTACTTCACACATGCTTAACCTCAAAAAACGAATTTGACTCACCTGGTAATATATAGTCGTCTTTCAGAAAATGCAATGAACACACTTTCATGTGAGGATTTATTTTACAGTCAATCTTCAAAGCGTTCTTCCATGCTGTGAATTGGTCCACTTTTTCCATTTGACCAAAATAATTTTTGATGTAAACACAACGCGCATTTTTTTAGGAAACTTATGAAACGTTAATTCACGGTTTTTTTGAAAACTGCTTCCACATCCATACACACAACACTTTATTCTTTTTTTAGAAATCTTGCGAGGGTTAAATATTCCTAATTCTTCCGTCATTTTTTGTTTAATTTCTCAAAAGTACTAATGACACTAATGATAACTTATGTGTTTTGATGAGCGATGCACCCCGGTATTAGTTCCAAAATTGAACACCAGGTGTCTCACGAATTTTGTCAGATCCCAATTCACTAAAAACAAGGTACATTGGTAACAATCGCGAAAATAACTTATATTACTATAATTAAATTAAGGATTTAAACATAAATGTGAAGTGTTCTGAAATTGATTTTGCCTGTGTCAAAACAAAAATAGACCTAACCTAAGTTTTTACCGGTAAGTAACCAATTTTTACTAGAAATTGCTATTTTTACAAGAAGTTGATCATGAAAGTATACTAAAAATACAGTTTAAGAAACCAAAGGCTACAGGAACCAAAGCCTGTTGCCTTTCAACGAATTTTCATGTACTTAGTTTACAATAGTAATCTAGCAGCGCTAGTGTTGTACCCCCTCATAGATCGTGGTCTTATCGATATTTTATTTCCCTTTTATTTTTAGTTTGCCGCGAACGGTACTAATAACTCGCAACAGTGTATTAGCCCTACGAATTATGTAATTCAATTTATGAAAAACAATAAACTAACATAACTAACTAAACTTTAGCTTTCCTTAACTAAAATCTAATGGAAAAGCGATAACAAATTTGTTACTCTAAGATATTCCGAATGAAAATTATGATAAAATCTTACTTGTCTGTGCGGAAAGAGAATGGGCGTGGCGAAAAACGGAACTAATATTAAGATTTTTATTTGGCAATCAAACCCAGCAATCTGTAAAACGTCAAAGTTTTGTATGGATACGGATTTGTTTTTTGTTGAGATTTCTTGCGGTTTTTTGTATTTAATCATTTCTAAAAGGGGTAAAACCTTACAAATATGGTAGAAAAGCACTACAGTGCCCTCCAATCTAAATCCTATTCTCTCTCCGCACAGACTATCTAAATTACTTCGTTTTTTTTCAGTCCACTACAGCCAAATTAAGTAACTTAAGCACAAGACCTGTACTAATGGATACAGATAATATTCTTGAAATGGTAAGTAAAGTATTCTATTTATATTTCGGTTGTCGCATGTGTATATGTAATAATTTTGTAAAAACTAAAATATAAAACTTAGCATCTAGTGAATGTACCATAGTATAGATTTCTGGGTTTCAAAAAACCGCTTATTCACTAGATAGTTTTAATATTTTATAGTTTTTACAAAATGATGAAATTTACACATGCAATTACCAAAATATAAATAGAATAAATAGGTTTAAAAAATTGTATGAAGTGATACCATAGCTCTTTAGCGGACTGGGCCTGCACCCGAAATACCTTATTACATTTTCCATACATCCTGAAAAGGATGCGAAGCGTCAAAAACACAGTGACAAAGTATTAAAAACGCATTTATACTCGTTCAAAACTTGTTTCATTTAATGAGTGGTGTGCGTGAAAACTTAGAAACAAATATATTTTGTTTTGTTTTTTGTTTCAGGCCTGTCAACCATCCTGCTCAAATAAATGTCATACATCCGTATATACTTAGACTGACCTAGAAATGGTTAGGCTGTTTAGTCATTATTATTATTATAATACACACACAAAAACTACCTCACGAGCGATAAAACCGCCTGGCCGAAATTATTACCTTTAGCAAATTTTCGAAGTTATATTAAACTTGTCTCCTCAAAAGGAGTATTGAAGTGAACCTTGGACATTGTCTTTTATATACTTGCTCACTTATTTTGAAAATTGTTTACTGGTGTCAGCTTTCAATTTAACGACACTGTATGAAATAAGACAGGGAGAAAAAAAGCAGCCTATATTTCTTGCTGGTTCTTCTCAGTATACAAGGTCTCCCGCCGTAGATTTGCGAACCGACGGCGTAACTTTTAACTTTATACTTTGTGGTATCGAGTACTTTTCCTTTCGATACCGATACTTTTGTACTCGATACTTTGTATTTGATACTTTTACTAAGCGAGTACTTTTTGGCAAGTATCGGTACCTTTAAAAATTTGGATAAGCGCCTCATATTGATGGCAACGCCATCTTGTTAAATCATAGCAAACCTTCTAAAACGTTCCATAGGGTATTTGACAAGTTTTAGGCAACGATCTCACGTTATTGACTAATATTTATGGAGTCCGTAAAAAGTGGATATTCATCATTCTGATGTGTATTTCAGTAAAAATAACCAAATCAAAAACTCCATTTTCAAGTTGCCACGAAAACGTTTCTCTGGACAATATGGCGTCTTACTAGTGTGTGACGTCACACAACTGTTATTAAAACGTCAAACGATACAATGTAATGTCACTTTGACCGGAAGTTTACTTGCGTGTGACGTCATTTTAGGCTTCGCCAATCCCAAGCGTTTTGGATCACGTGACAATAGAAAAGAAAACTAATATCTTTTTCGTTATTTTGGCACTTTATTTTTAATACTGTCAAATGCCCTATCATTTGACAGTATTAAAAATAAAGTAAGTAAAAAATAAAGTTATAAAGTCAGTAACTGACATATTCAAATTCTTTCCAATCTGTGACTGTGTTAATTTTGCGCTTTGTTTTGTTTCATCGTTATTTATTTAGCGACCATATTGTTAGCAACTGTAATTCGCCGTTTATTGTGCTTTTCACTTGACTGTATTTGATTTATTCAAGTGTAACACTATTATTCTGTCTGTGCAGTGTATACCTATTTGAAACCACCTAAAAAAAAGGATGTAACCTCTTCTATAATTATAATCTTGAGTGAAGCATGCCAATGGCATACAATAAGCATAAACAGCCGTTAACTACGTGTCAGATTCAAGTTAACATAAGTGGGTATAATGTTTTTTAATGATTGAAATTCAAGAAAAGTAAATTTAATTTGAAACAGATCTAAAAAGTTTCATACTTTTAAATTGTGTAAGATTTCGATCTTTTTAATTAACATTTTAATTATGAATTAATGAACACTTTTTTAGTGTCAGAAATCACAGCTGTTTTCTTTTCATTATATAATATAGCAATTTGTGAATTTACTTTAATGTCCTTTTTTGTTTTTGATTATACGTACTATAATAAAATTCGATTGTTTTTCTTTCAATTATAACACCGGGGGGGGGGGGGGGGAGCGTTGCTCATCAGGCCACAGAGGCTCCGATAAGGCCCTATGAAATGTACTCGATACTTTGAAGTATCGATACTTTTACGAGTACGATACTTTTTTACCGATACTACTCATGAGTACAGTATCGATACTTTCTATTCGATATCGTGTCCCTACCTAAACGGAATAAATGAATATTGAATTTTAACATCTGAAATAAATGTTTACAATTAAAACTTAAATTTTATTTTAAATAATATATCATCGATATGAACTTGAGTTAGGTACTTTTAGTTTAATATTGTAATAATGATTTATTAAAGTTAATAAACACCAGCCTTTATCATAATGTGTACATGCAGAGGAATAACGAAAAGGTTTGTGAAATTTACTAAGCCATTTCTTATTGCTGTCCTTGATTTAATAACAGTGGTAGAATTTAATTTACGTTGAATAAAATTATCTCCGATTGTTTCCGAAATTCAAATAGATTCTTCTCTCCCTTCAACTCTTATTTCTCCAGTATATATAATATATGTGACCCTATATACTTTGACCACAGCAAATAAAACATAACATCGATAAAAAATATCGACTAAAGACATCCTACGCCGCCATGTTTGCTCCCCGATTTGTTTTTAAAGGTAAACACGCGAAGTACATGCTTGTGTCAGTTCCGTATTATTCCTTTTACAGAGCATTCTATGCATTTTTTTATGAGAGACCCACCCCGCGTCTCGATTTTGAGCGCGGCCTGGAGCGTGGAAACGTGACTTAATCAGGACGTCAGGACTGACTCGATCAGGCCACGTGTCCTGAGTTTAACAGCTTTTAACCATTACAAAAAAAGTGTACATCGCGGCAACACCGCTAAAGAAATTTTCACTTCAAAAACATCACGTGATAAATGGATGCCGCCTTACAACAATGTTGATCTAACAGCGCATATAAAATTGAATTTATGTATCTTCGATAATTTTGATCAGTCTTCACGCTTAGATTTTTATGGAGCTGACTGTACATGGTAACAATCCCGTTAACAATAATACGGCTTTCAAATGTTAACTTCATGGTATCTTTGACGCGCCTCTCCTGGTATGCGCTGCGTCTAAGGTCCAATTACAGCAATATTCCTAAATCTCGATTCAACCAAAACTAGACATTTTAACCCATAGAAAAATGTCCAAACGTCAATTTGAAATTTTTTATGGATTAAATCTAGTTTTAGTGAAATTTTGGGTTTTTTGTTCTCTGTGTACATACGTATAGGCGCTTAGAAACTCCGAACTATTATTTTAAAAATAATACAAATTATTTGTGTTACTGAATTCTGTATTTTATTATGTACCAGTTAACTGCTTCTTACATTTATAATATAAAAATAAATATAGTTATCATATTACTGTTTCAATCTTGTTGTTTTAAATTTCTTTTTAATTTTCTTTTGTAAAATATTGCATTAACAAAAATTGGGTAATTTTTTAAATAGGTACATTTTACTCATCACAATATTCAACAAATCATATTTTGCATTGTGTAAAAAGAATATTCCAAAAATGCAAAAAAGTATTTAACAATTTGGGCCACCACAAGTCACTGAAACTAATTTTTACTTTAAAAATGACCGATCATTTTGAGAAAATTAATTTCACAATCACAACCATAATGTCTCTCACATTGTGGTTGTGATTGTGAATGAATCTTAACTTAAAAAAAAATATAAAAAAATCTTGTGAGATTACTTAAATTTTTTCTTATTCAAAAATAGTTTTGTTTATTGCCAACTTTCACTGGTATTTTAATGAATTTGCCTTAATGTTATATAAATAGTTAGATAGTCATTCTATCTATCCAGCTGCTATGAAATAAATTTTAACTCAGTACATAAATTCAGACTTTTAACTTTAATTCGTGGCGAAATTAACCATAATATGGCCACCTTATTCTATAAAAACAAAAAATGTCATAGATATTTGCTACACAATCACTTAATTCTACATACGAATTGAACTTCATTTTTAATAGGAAATTATAGGGTTTTCATGATATAGTGTGGTTTCAGTATGGTAACGGAATCGGTTTGTAAAAAGGTGCTACCTAAATAAAGAAAAAAGAAATATAAAAAACATTTTAGTTTGAACGAATCTGTTAAGTATTATAATTAAACTTTCTTTACTAAAATAACGGAAAATATTTTCTTTTTAAATTTATATATCGAGCTGGCACATTGCTATTCAACTTTAGCGCAAAATTCGTTTGAAGCCGGTGCCTAAATTTTAAGCTAGCGTAACTTACGTCATGTTTTTGCTAACTTATGTAAAACCAGCTTACATAAAGTATGACCAAGAAGAATATATCATGTACCTTACCAAATTATTAAAATTGTTTTTTTCTTTTCTATCAAACTTTCTTTTTTCTTATAAAAGTTCCTTTCTCACAAACAAAATTATCTTCTTTATGTTGGTAAGAAAATGTCATCTTATCTATTTTGCCAGTTTTGCATAGACTTTCAGGGGAGAGCTGTAAGGGTTATTAACTTTTGTTCCACAATCTACAGGGTAACTACGATCAGTGGTTATTAATATCATCGGCATATTTTGTGCTACTTGATATGGCCCGTGTCAAACTTTCGAGGAAATCCGTTAAGGTAACTATGAGGTACGAGAATCAAGGTTAAATCAAGATTAAATATTAGTAAAAGGAACCCATTATCAAAGCGTATAAATGGTATCGATTCTGACATGATTCTCTAAACCTAAACTTAAATTTGACAATAGTGCATCCTTGTCATTCTCTATACAGAGTGAAAAGGAAAGACTGATGTTAAATTTAGTTTCAAGTTTAGAGAATCACGCCAGAATCGGCACCAATATCAAATTAGTCGAGTAGGCATTATCATTATTGGTCAAGTAGTGTGGTTCACTGACTATTGGCATATCTTAAATAAGCAGCATTGAACTGCTCAAGGAATATGAATATGAGGACGGTGTGCGGGCCTAGTCGCGCGTAGTAAGGCACAAAACCTTTCCATAGTGACAGAACGCCTTCATTCCTCAAAAGATTGGTGACCACGGACAATTGACTTTGACCTTTCGCCGCGTTTTGAATCCTGTAAAAATGCAGAGGTTAATATAAAGCCATGGAAACTACTACTAGTTTAGTTACATGTCACGGCAGCATTATGCTGAGGCAGGGTCCTGATTGATTAATATGTTAACTATTAGGTTTATCAATGTTTGTAATGCTAACTTTCTATATATGTTTTTTTTTTGCAGTTTATAATTATATGTTTGTGTTTTATTGGTCAATAAAATGGTTTTCTCTCTCTCTCTCTCTCTCTGTACTAGTAGGTTAAAGCAACGTTAGCAATCCTGCCTCCTGAGGCCCAAGTCACCATTTCTATGAAAAGTAGGCAGCGCCCCAGCCGGACGTAAGAGCCTCCTGAGGCCCAAGTCACCATTTCTATGAAAAGTAGGCAGCGCCCCAGCCGGACGTAAGAACAAACTGACTCCTTCCATACAAAATTGAACGATGACGATACGATTACGGATCTTTTGAGTTAGTGCTTGAGTCTCTGTTGCTAAAGTCCTGTCTTTGCAAGGTACAATAATGGAATTACCCAGTGAATTTATTCGAGTGTCGAGGAAGCAGATATGTTTGGTCAGGCATGCAAGTCAAAAATCAGTGGACTACGGTGAGGGGAGAAGCTGCCCCATTTCATCATTCCCACAATGCCCTGCCTATTCCCGATTTATTTGGGGGCCGCGCTGTTTGTTTTCCTCTTTCAATATATGCGATCAGACCTCATCTTAATGATCTAATCTAGGAAAAAATAACAAATTCGACGACCAGTGCAGTGCTTTGGGTCCTGCCAGGCAGCCCACTTAAGACAAGAATACTGGAAGCAAATTTCTGATGTTTGAAAGAGAAGAAAGTCACATAAAGATTGCTTACTTGGTTTTGATGATGTCGACGGGCATGGAGGCAATGGTGGTGACCAAGCCAGACATCATAGCAGCACAGAAGTGGAGGGCTATTCCGTCGGGCACGTAGGGTATGAACATCTCACGGGCCTGGGAGCAAAATACTTAAAATAAAATGATATAATTAATGATAACCACAAAGCGACACGAACTCAAAACCGCGTAGCAAGCAGTGTTCGAGTGACTTTTACAAATCCCTGTTGTAGGCAACATTATAATTATATTTTTTTTGTTACTTAGTGTAGCAACACCAGTTCGTTCATTCTTTCATTCTTCCTTTATATTGCATTGTCAGTGTGTCAATATGTAACAAATTTAAAAAGCACAAGAAGCCTTCTTCATTTCTGCTACCCTCAACACCCAAACTAGCATAGTCTACCGACTCCACCAAAAATCTATTTTGGTTCAGATCTGGCTCGAAGGAGCATGGATTCATACCGAACGAGCCAGTGTTGTTATTACTCAAGAACATACAATAATCCACCAACTCAATATTATTTACTTAGGAAGAGACTTGCGAGAGGCTAGGTATGAGGTCCGTTCGTTGGTGTGCCGCTTAAGGGCGCCAACGTCTGTAAGTAGAAGTCTTGCCTGCGAAAAAAAAAAGTTGCGCTTATAAAAAATATTGTTGTCCCTCGCGTCGCGTCATGTAAAAAAATGCTGGAAGAAACAGAAGGGGTGTGTAATCGCCTGTTTGCAGCATTACCGCTTGCGTTCTTTTTGCATGGCGCAGCATGTACCTGAGAATAGGTCGCCAGCTGTACAGCAGTCACCACCATAGCGCGGGCCACTGTAGGGGTGGCGCCGCGCCATAGCTTCAGAACTCCTTCCTCCTTTACAACCCTGCAGGCAAAGAGAACGAAAACCGTGTACAATTCTGGATATTAAAATATCATCATCAGCCTTTTCATGTCCCCACTGCTGGAGCACAGGCCTGCTCTATGGATGGAATATAGGGAATATAATAGGGAGATTGGGCCATGACGCACCACGCGGACCCAGTGCGAATTGGTATGCCATCACAGCTGGGACACAGGCCTTCCCTAGAATAGGTAGATTGGGCTAAAACTCACCACGCGGACCCAATGCGGGTCGATGCGTGTTAACGACTGCAGATGCAGCCGGGACCAATGACTTAACATGCCTTCCGAAGCACGGAGGAATCGAGATAGTATTTTTTTAAAATACCCATCCATTGACCGTCCACTGCGAAAGATGCATAACTTCAACGATCGCAGCCGAACACGCTAACCACTCGCATTATCGAGATCCAAGAATTAAAACTTACCGACTTATAATTTAGGTAAGTAAGTAATAACATATTTTGAAGCTTCTTATTTAGGTAGTAAGATACTTTGAAGCGTTTAGAATTATCCGCAGCTTGGTCCAGACTTTGAACATTGAATAAATCTTTAGGGTGAACTTTTTTTTGGTATAAGAATTCCAAATTTACTTGTTTTCGTGAAACAATACGACCACATTTCGGACATCACTTTTTAGACCACCTTTGATCTTTAAAGGCGTGTCTGCTGCGCAATTTTTTGAACAAACATTGTTCTTGAAACTTGTTCAAAATATTTCCGTCTGCTGCGACTTTAGCAATGTTCAATAAACAAAGTTTTTTAACAAAACTTCACATTTGAAAAAATGTGCAGATGAGGAAAACGTGAACATTGTTTTGGGTGTAGTGGATTAAGTCGTCTTTTTTCTCTCGATTGAATTGTGATCTTAGGCTTATCCATTCTGCGATCGCAGAGTTCACAGAAGTACCCATAACTTCCGCGAAGGCATCTGATTTTTTTGTATTATTTTTATTTTCATTTGAAGTTAGCATCCTAAATTACGGATTTTTCACGTATCACCATGATTATGTGATGTGTCTCTGGATTCTCTCATCATGATAGTCACATCAAAACACGTCTTCCTACGATTCCCACCGCCCGCAGACGAACACGGGGGATGTTTTCTACAAACTCCGGCAAACATGTTCCAGTGTATTTGCTCGACAAAAAATTTAGGCCACACCCCTTGTTTATGTTTTCGAACAATGTTTTGTTCAAAACATGGCGCAGCGGACACGCCATAAGAATGTGCGTGACAGTTCAGGGAGGGCGCCAATGGTGTCAATTTTGGCATGATTCTCCAAACTTAAACTTAAATTTGACAGCAGTGTATCCCTGTCATTCTCTATACACAATGAAAAGGAGAGAATGATGTTAAATTTAGTTTAGAGAATCACACCAGAATCGATACCAATGTCTATGTAAATGACTGGAAATGGCATACAAAATAAGATGTTTTCAAATACAGAGCATTAGTTCCAATTCTCGTATCACGGTGTGCGTAATTGAACTACTCCGAAAAGGCTCGACCGATTTTCCTGAAATTTTATATGCATATTCAGTAGGGCTGAGAATCGGACAACATCTATTTTTCAGCCCCCTGAATGTTAAGGGTGATCCAACCTTAATTTTTTTTTTGGATAAAAATTTTTCCCTATTTTTTTATGATACATCATACAAAAATACATACATAGGGTGCGGCCAGAGTGCACTCAGATTCAGACTCAGATTCAGATTTCGAAAACAAGCGCGAGAAATAAACAGTGTAGTCTAAGCAGGTTGCTTGCTTTTTCTCGCGCTTTGTTTTCTGAGTCTGAATCTGAATCTGAATCAGGAGTGCAATCTGGCCGTACCCTTCGACTACACTGTTTATTTCTCGCGCTTGTTTTCAGAATCTGAATCTGACTCTGAATCTGAGTGCACTCTGGCCGCACCCATACAACCCACCCCTATTTTTTTATGGCGGTACGAAGTTCGCTGGGACAAATAGTATTAGTATATAGACTTCACCTCATGAGCGCGTCGAAGACGTTCTTGTACCTCCTCCTCTTCTCTGGTGGCAGCCGGCCGTCAGCCGTCATCCGGATGAGCGCCACCTCGGACGGAGTGCAACACATAGCGGCCACGCTGCCCGCGAACACACCCATCAACATCTTTATCAAATAGTTGGGAGGTACGTTGTTATTGCTTCTGAAATAAAAATATTTAATAATTGTTTAACTCGTTAAGCTTTGAACGACACTATACAACAGTTGTTAGTTAGGCGCAAGTAGTGGTGCAGTACTTATATAAATTCTGTCACATGTTTAATATAAAATAATTGAAATAAGTTTATTCATTATGTAACCATTTATATACCAAAATGAACTTAACAAAACATAGATTCTTATGACAATAAAGTTTATTCAAAATGACCTCCGTAATTTTTAAAACAGGCCTTCAATCTGCGCGGCCAGTCGTCTTTCGCAGCACGAACGAAGTCCATGTCAATATCGGCGGCTGCCTTAATCAAGGTTGCCTTGACCTTGAGTGACTCCAAATTGGGTTGAGGCTTTGAGCACGCTTTTTCCTCCAAGTATTGCCATATCTTGTAATCTAACGGACTCAAATCTGGACTGGAGGAGGGCCAGTCTTGTGCCGGATGAAGTCGATTTCACGCGCCGCCAGCCAGTCTTGTGTGCTCTTCGCTGCATGAGCTGGCGCCGAATCTTGTTGGAATACCCAGTGCCTGTTATTGAACATGGTATGAGAAACATGTTCCACAAGGTTCGTCAGGACTGTATTTTGATACATAACTGCATTCTGTTAGGCCCCAATAAATAATAATAATAAATGAGTGAAATTCTAAAAAGTATACATTTTTATTTTCATGAACAATTCGAAATTCGAATTCTATAAACTTTTTTGTGGCCAGCATTCTAAAAGAATACTTTTTACTGTGTGACAATACTTATGACTTGACTGTGTATACGCGCAAGGTTTCACCACAAAATAGGTTTCACTGACTGAATCCTGCGCATAGTTGGGCTCGTTGCTAACTTCTCTCTCAAAACTGCCTTATAGTTTGAGTAGCATCCGATCTACTACATCCTTATAGGTATTATTTTAAAATTCAATTTTGTAACTTACCGAAATAAGTGTTGTTACTTGATAAATATATAAATAAATAGGTACATATAAATAAATTTAGGTAATTAAGACAAAAACATTATAACACTAACTTTTTGTAATACTCGAAGAGATTGTCGTATATGCCAAATCGTGAAGTGGAGTAAAGGGCCTGCCTGAGCACAGCTGCTGAGAGGCCATTGTAGAGGCCCAGGACGCCCTCTTTCCTCACAATCTCGCTGGCCATACTAAACGTAGTCCTGCCGCCGCCGCTTAGCTGCATCCGCGTCTTAAGCAAATCCATCGGCTGGACTACGCAGATTGAGACCATCCTACAACCAAAACATTGTCATTTTAAAAGAGGTAGGGCACAGCGGAGTAATTTGCTGTGCCACTTATAAAAAAAAAGTGCTTGCCCTACTGTAATGCTAGCACTTCACATGGCTATTCGTTTCAGTATTTGCTCGGTATTTGTCTGTGCCATAGACTCTGGAACGAGGATATTCATGGGAGAACTTATTATAAGTACCCGACATCGCTCGAAGGTTTACTGTGCTGAAGTTGTAGTGCGCAGAGGGCGGAACACATAGCGGACAAGAACCGATGACCGCGGGGCGAAAATATACTTACTTAAATAGAGACCGTACAGTGGGTATCCCAACAGAACACGACCCCACCCGAGCGACGTGACGATCAAGCGAAAGACACGGGAAGCCGCTGGATGCAAAAAGCGCCCGGCCGATCGGTTTGAAGATCCTTGGGGACGTCTATGCTATAATTGTAAATTTAGTAGGCCAAATCGATGGGAGCAAGGGCCTTTGATCTTTTCTTTATTCCTTTATTACCTTTCGAAAGCCATCCATTTAACCACGTCTAGTAATTTTATTTTTCTTTTCCGTGTCTGCCAATGGCATCGGAAGAACAATTTACATTATGGTTAATTGCCTTTACCACTAATACCTTGGATAAAAGGTAATAGGAAGGAATAATTACAGTACGTCCCTAAATCACTTTTATACAGGCTCATGAAAAAAAGGCACGACTCTAGGCTACTGAAACAAGAGTTAAGTAACGATGACGCCTATCGAGAAATGTTTCCACTATTTTCTTAGAAGTCCACGGTCAGGTCTACGCTATCCGGTCCATCACCGCCATTATCTGTAATCTTTGATTATTTATACTAGAGCAATCCAAATAAATCACGCAAAAAAAAACTACTTATATTACGCGCAATGTGTGCGTGAGTCTAATGTCAGATTATTTAAAAGCAGTCAGTGTGCGTGCGCAGCGACGAGCGTATCTACCATCCATAAACATAGTAGATATTTTAGGGCGCTTCCGTGCAGTTAATACGCTATCTAGGCATTTAGGGATACAAACAAAAGGACGAAGCATAAATAAATCGTACATACCCAGCAAGCCCACCGAATGCAAATTTAAGGCCATCTGGAATTTTATCTATTTTTGTCTTTTGAGGTGCCTTTTCTGCCATGATTAATTTGTGATTTGGTTAATATTGAGTTATTTTTTTGGGTTGGGTTTGTTTAAAACTGCATCACTATTGTTTCCGGGGTGTAACACGTTTGGGATTTTAACCTTCCGTTCAAACCGACATCTTAATGATAGCTGTCAATAACAAAATGTCAAGCCACTTTAAATAAAGAATTCTAAAATACTTTGATTTATTTGGCTAAAACCTCATCATTATTTATTCATAAATACATATTCCTAATGGCCTGCACCGAAAAGGGACTCTTGTCCGCGGACTTTTTTGTCCGACAAAATAGATCGCACAACTGCGCACATCAGGGATTATAGTACTGCATACAAAAAATCCCCCGAACAACTGAAGACGCCAAGAGACCAGACAGGACAAGTGGACGCGGGAGTCCCCGAAAAAAATTTAACTCGTATAACTAGGCGCAGCAACGTAAACAGCGAACTTTATTCTGCATTGTGCGCTCGATCTGATTTAAAAAGATGGATCCAGTTACCCAGTATTCTTTTTTTTTTTTTTATGCTAGATAGGCAATGCGTTTGACCACGATCTCACCTGATGGAAAGCGATGATGAGGCCTAGGATGGTACACGCCTGCCTAGAAGATGCCTGTTCACTCTGGCCTTGAAGATGTCCAGGTTATATTGGTCCGGGAAAACAGACCTCGGCAAGGAGTTCCACTCCCTAGCCGTTCGTATAATGAAGGCCGAAGCAAATCGCTTCGTGCGAATGGGAGGAACTTCGACAACATAAGGGTGGAAGCCCTCGCCGCGCCTGGTCGTCCGGTGGTGGAAAGGGGAAGGGGGAATTCTCTTTTAAAATGTCTTCTCTTTTTCATGGGTGAAGCCCAACAGTTTTAATTGCAACACAACGTAATCAGAGAATATTTATTTGCATAGCGTGCGCATTTCTAAATTTTAGGGCGACAAATGTTAGCATATCGCCACCCCTAAACCCCTGTCGCCATAAGAGGTAATAGTCAATAAAATATAGAGTATTTCAATATGCGTGTTCACCTGTTATTTTTATTTTATTTTCTGAATATTCTATAATTTTTATTGAAGTTATACTTCTTTAGGCGCGTTATGAAAAAATGATGAGAGTGAATTTTTAAGATGCGCGCGCATCACTGTAACACAAAATTTTAACAGCATTTAACGACCAACTTCATGCGTTACTTTTGTGTTTACCGCACATTAAGAAAATCTACCAACAAGATAGAAATAGAATCTCTATTTAGTGGGTGCTAACGACTGCATTGTGAAGGCCTATCAAAAGTATTTATTAATCTGGAACAACCAACCAAACCAAAGCGCGATTCAGGAGACTACAGCGCCATCTCTTGACCATTGGTGTAGTAGAACCAAAAACCACATCTTTATTTTTTGTAATAAAGTAACAGTTATAGGTATTCATATTTATAATATTTATCCCCATGTTTCTAGTTTGTATATTCGGAATACGTGTTTGAGTTTCATACAAGTGCAAATCACATATGTTCTAATAAATTATATTCAGTAGCGATTTTAATTGAATATTTTGATTATTTATTTATTTTTTCAAATTAAAACTGAATTTTATTGACTGTGTCCTTTTCCAGACTTTTTATTAATTTATTGTAATTAATTATTTGCATGCAATTAAAAACTAATTTTAAACGATGCCAAAGAAGGATAACTTCTCACGCGCCTACATAAGTACACGCACCCATTTTTTTTTTAACTAGAAGCAATTTCACGCGGACCAGGCAGCAGACGGGAATCGAACCCGCACCCTTCGCTTTCCGGGCGAATGCACTGACCAATTATGCTACCGCGGCCTTGACTGCCGTGTTGAATTCTTTCTAGCCTTTCTTAAGCTGCAAGGCAGCGCCCCGTCTCTTCGCATTGTAGGTAACCCACAATGTCAAATGAATACCTTCTACAAGTATTAAACATTTGAAAGAAGAAATAGCAATGACTTGCCCATGTTGACACTGAAGTTCACCTAACAATCATACTGAAGGCCGAAGTGTGAGTTGCGTGCGCCTAGATTTAACTTTACTATTGCGTTTCCATCTCAGTGGATGCTGAAAGCGCACACAACAGTGGACGTCCATCGGCTAATTCATTATTGCGTTTGCATTGAAATTAGTGTGGAAAAATGTATAACGCCGTCTAGTAGTACGGAATTGAAGTTATTTCTTCATACCCAGTTAAGTCGAGGCGCAACACACCTATGCCTCCGTGTGTATTAAACTAGGCTTTGCTTTGCGTTTTTCGTTTGCCATGTAGACTACAGGTATGTCGACGTGTTATGGTACCTTAACAAAAACGCGACTATGTCAGTCCGATTACAGAATCAGAGCTCTAATCCGATCCGACTGCAACGAGGCGTGAGACAGGGAGATGTCATATCTCCGGATACCGACACCGAAATCGCTCAAAGGATTGCTCAGCTGAAGTGGCAGTGAGCGAGACACATAAAGGTTCTCGAATGGCAACCACGCATCGGACGACCTCCTTCCCCATATTATTTGAATAAAGAGTACTCAACTCAGCCCTTCTCATTGCTGTAAATATGAAAAATAATAAATTGTCATTTTGACTTTGACACAGAACAGATTGAGTTTTTGGCATGATTTTATCGAGTGCGGTTGGCGTCATATTTTAATTATTCTCTGATTCATTCATAGTGGATATTGTGACGTAAACGTGGTATGATTTTATGTACAACCATCTGCACAACTGAAAGATTAGTGGAATCTTTAAAATATACGCAATTTCGGTCAAGTCGATGTGATAACTTTATCGTAGTGCGAACTACTTCACAGAAGCTTACCGAGAAAGCTGACTCGATACATGTCGTGCCAAATACTCCAAAAAACTTTGGGATGCGTCACACCCGCATTCCAATGTAAAAAAAAATGAAAACGTAAAAATATTTGAGATTAGCCTGTATGGACATAGTGTCCTTTGTCCTCCCAAAAACGTTACTTTGACAGCTGTCTAAACCAGCTGGTCATGAGCGAAACTTTGAAATTGCCTACTTCAAATTAAAATCTTATTACTCTCCGGAGTAATAGTGTTGCATTTTTACACAAGTATAGAATATATTAAAGATTCTATATTAAAGTATATATTCATAATGGCTGCACCTCCTGCAAAAGAACGAACTATTCCAAATGCATTGAAATTTGCCTTCGGTGGCCTTGCTGGGTATGTACGACTTCTGGTTTTATTTTAAGATTAGTACTTGTCCTTAAAATAAATGAATGTCACGGGCACTATCGCATGCATCTATGTTTCTGAGAATATTTTAATTTAATATGATTATGATTTTCTTGTTAATAGCAAATGCTCTCAAGAGCATAATCTTGTAACCATAGGATTTTTATAAAAATGGTCATCTAACACACCTGATAGTATCGTTACCGCACCAGTGTAGTTAGACAATGACCTTCAATATTCTTAAAGTTCTAATTGGGTAAACAAAAACAGGTATTAATGATTATGTAATTTTAATGTCTAATTTTTTTAAACTTATTGTTTTAAAAATACTAAGGTCAAGATAAGCCTGTATCAGAAAAGTATTAGAAAATTTTGTTGTATACTGAAGTTTTATAATTTAATTCCTTTTGAGCATTGCAATTAAGTTAAGTATCAGCTTAAGTTACTATTTTAAACTTCACCCGCAATGTGAAATTTCTTCATCAACTCCTGGCTGCATCTGCTGTCTGCATCCATAGAAAAGGCCTGTGCCCCAGCAGTGGGGGAGACATTAATAGGCTGACGATGATGTTTTTTGAGTAAATGATATCTGAGAAAGTTCATAATGATGTAGAGAGAATATTCGTTTAAACTATTATAAGTTGTTTATCCTTTGTTACAGTATGGGGGCAACGTGTGTAGTTCAGCCTTTAGATTTAATTAAGACACGGATGCAACTGAGTGGTGGAGGAAAGTCATCGTTCACTGTGGCCAGTGAGATTGCCGCTAGGGAAGGGTTCAGTGGCCTCTACACAGGACTCTCAGCGGGGCTACTCCGGCAGGCCACTTACACCACTGCACGACTTGGCATATACAACTATGTCTTTGAAGCATACAAAAAGTAAGTTTATTTTTTTATGTGGCAAAAAAGCATGTGGCTGGCCGGACCTTTGTCAATAGATGCTTATGACATCAAAAATGTCAACTGCACCCTTGCCTACCCTATCCTATGGAGCCCTGGAATCCTATTACCTATCCTACCGAAAGGTCGTGTTATTTTACTGTGATCGTCTTTAAGGTGAAGGTTACTTCCACTACAGGTGCTCTAATTAGAGAAGTAAAACCGCTATACTCTACCTCTCTTTATAATTAAGAAGAAAATAGAAATACACATTCTGTGAAAACTTCGAATAACTACCTGCCACATGACAGATCATCCTGCTGATCGACAGCCATTTGATCCAGTTTTACGTATATAAATATTGTAATTTCAATACTATTCAGTTAGAAGAGCTTGACACCACGACCCTAAGAGAACAAGCCATTGTGTGTTAATCCTATCTACCACTCAATCTTGTTAGTATACCAAGAACTATACAGTAGTCAGTCTTTGTGTCATAGGTATTTTCCAGCTTATAATAGTAGCAGCAGTTATTTATTACCTTTATGGTAATACATAGTATTGTGTTGAGCAAACCTTTTGTGGTTTGTATATTTTTCTTATTTTGTCATTAGAGGTGACCTTTACACCCGCAGTTACTGCTTGGCCATGGGCATAGCTAGGGTTGCGAGGCGAGGAAGCACTGTTGGGTTTTTAGTGGGTTCCCCCCCCCCCCCCCCCCCAAGTAGTAGGTAGTAGGGGTTATGGGGTACTTCTTCCCCCCCCCCCCCCCCAAGTCCCGAGTAGCCGCTGAGTCAGTGTGGCTGAGCGGGTGGGCGGGATATGGGGGTGAGGAGGAGTCCCACATAACCCCGCCTCTCACTCAGGAGCGGGGTATGCGTCAAGCTATTTCCCAAAAAAAAAACAGGGTTGCCAGGTCCTGGAAACTCTAGCTACTGCCTAGCTATTTAGCCGGACAGATTAGCCATTTGGGTAAAAAGACAGGACACCCGACATTATTAAGGATTTTGTTGCTCAGTAATATAGGTACGACAAAAAACTGTATGTAGGGAGCGACCGGCAGTCAACTCGCTTGTGCTCGGCGCTCGCTCGTTCGATAATTGTAAAAAGCCTAACAAAAGTCGGACACCGTTTATTTTGGCCGGACATGCAACCAAAAAGCCTAACTATGTCCGGCTTCATGCGGACACCTTGCAACGTTAGGATAGGAGCTAGGCCTTTGCAGTTCATAAATTAATTTAACAATAAAGTTAGTTCAACTGGCCAGTTGCCCCTCCTAGAAAAATTCTCTGACTACGCACTGCTTAACGTTTTCTCGTTCTGCGATTACTTTTTCTCCTCCCGCGTACGTTGATGTTAAGCTGTGGAATGAGCTGGGGTAGCCAACCAGTCAATCGCGGTTAGTGTTACCATTAAGGAATTTCAAAAGTCCTGACAAAAATCCTGATATTTCGAAAAAAGTCCGAACTTTTAGTCACAAAATGGTAACATTACTCACTTAGTTACAATAGTATAGTATTTAAATCAATATGTACTTTTATTACTCTACTACTATCCAATGTAATTTAAACAATCCGGACAAAGTCCGGACTATAGTCTAAAAGTCCAGACATGTCCGGACTAATCCGGACGGATGGTAACCCTAATCACGATCGACCAGTCGATCACGACTATTTAGTTCAGTCGATCGTGGCAAAGCAAAAAATATAAATAAAATAATTGTTTAAATTACATTGGATACTGTAAGGAAAGCGAGCGTTGGCTTGCCAACAACCTGATGTTTACAGGTTGGCAAGGTATTAAAATATGAAAAAAATATGTATCAATGATGAAATAAATAAATAAAAAAAAAATAGAACAGACTACGCATCGTAATCCATATCGTCAGCAATAGATGCACGCATCTTTATCCTCTCTTCTATAGTGATATCTATGAAATGGCTACAAAATTTGCTAATATATTTTAAATGGAGCACATGTAATAATGACTCTGCGCTCTGCACTCTACTCACTTATATAAATAAATAGTCGCTAAGGCTAATATTCAGTTTTATGTTTGTCCTCTTAATAAAATAACAATATTACATGATTGTGTACTGAACTGTGCAAGATTCAAGAAGTAGGTATGTAATTAGTAGATCGATAGGGTTTCGATAGCAAACAGTAGATCTTGGGTCTAATCAAGTCGGCCACCCCTGCTCTAAAGGTTATCCCAAAGGCTTACATCATAGGATTTAGTGAAAGAGGCGTTAAGAAGTTTTTAATGGGTTGGCGACCCATTAAAAACGCTCTCATGATAATCTTGCTCACGTCCATAAGCCACGTCACGGTGACCGCTTACCATCGTTTTGCTCAAATTTGCCTTGGGAAGTACTTTTTTTTTCCTCACGGAAGACACTATTGAATGTGACCTAAATACGAATTTTGTCTAATGACTGTAACGACGTAACTACTCTTTAAATACTTGTTAATTACGTTGAGTAATTAGCTGTTATGGATTTAGGAAATATGCCAGTTATCATGGGGAAGGAGGTGTGAAACAAAAAACGGGGAGCGGTGCGAAAAAGGCGAAAAACTTAGCGACCACCTGAGCAGCTGAAACCCACGCTACGTCCACTTCTCTGCTATATATAGGATTTAGTTCACACATAAGTGTCAATTATTAAGTTCATGTAACATAATACAATCAGTTTGTTAGAATATTTACAGCTTCTCGTGACGGCGGCTTCATGGATAACTTGGTTTCAGATCTAATAACAATGTGACTCCCAATTTTGTGGTGAAAATGGGCATGGGTGTGTTCGCGGGTGGATGCGCCGCGTTGTTTGGCACCCCAGCTGAAGTGGCCCTCATACGAATGACTGCAGACGGCCGGCTGCCTGCTGAACAGAGGAGGAACTACAAGAATGTCGTCGACGCCCTAGTGAGGTTATATATTTGCTTTTTTTTCATTACATAGAGTGCTATTCAAACTTTGTAGTTTACGGTCGTGAAATTAGTAGCGTGTGCTATAATGCGCAGGTTTCAGTCCAGTGACATCCCGCGCGCCCTCGTCATCCTACATTTAGTTTAGAGGTGCGACTTGCGCCAACTTCACAGTTGTGCCATTCAGGAATCGCATATAAACAGACAAGAAATTCAATCAAACACAATCATTTAAAAAAAATCCTCACCGGGTCACCGGTATAATCGTCTACCGAAAATTCTTTACCGTGTGCATAAAATTTAATGAGATGTTCCTCACTGACTAATTTCGGTAGAATACTACCTACAGAATCTTTATAGAGCGGATACACAGCTCACTGTATCGAATGCTACCGGAATGCTTCCGAATGCTACCAAACCATTCGACTCACCCGTCCCACTTCCACAAACAAAACGAAACGATACCACACCCGAACCGAACCAGGCAAGAAGAGGTTCTCGGTAAAGAGTCTGTACAGATTCGGTACAGAAACGAAAACGAAAAAACGAAGTGAATAAATCTAAAATCCCTTACAATTCAATCAACGTTCTAGTAAAAGAAAAGTAATACGCAACACAAATATTACGTAAAGTAATAACAACCATTGTCGTTGTATGTATGATGTTTAACAACGATAAGTACTAATGAATGTGACATTCGACTATTACTGAAACAATTTTAACTAATGTTTGCATGTTGACCTGAACCAAGGTTAACCGATAGATCTTTCAACGTTTAGAGACTATATTCATTTAAAACAACATCCAAATATTATTAGGTATCCGTCTTTGTTGGATGTTGTTGATGTTGTTGCTAAAAATTGTATTGCAATAGGCGTGACGACGGGGTAAAGTAAACGAAATTCTATTTAGTCCGTCAGTTCGATGATCAAAAAATAATGGACACGTATTTTTTCTTTGGGCAATCAACCAAAAAATTACACAAGATAAAGCGCGTCAAAGTTTGGGAGTAGAGGCTCGTGACGTCACTTTTAAGTGAACATTGTACCAAAACGTGACGTCATGCGACTTTTCAAATCAATATATCTCTGTAATGTTTATATTATGTGAAAAAAGAAAAAAATACTTAATGATAATCTACCTAATATAAGAAGAAAAAAAATAGTCGTCATCCCAATTGTTGTGTAGGTAGCATGTCAATGCTTTGCATACTGTAATAAATTATAACCACTAAATATTACCCCATTAGGGTGACAATAAATCTATCCGGCCAGCAATTGTCGGTAATTAAAATGACCTCATTCACTTCGTCTCTGTAGTAAATTCAGCGTGAAGGGGAAAAGTTCAGCTAACATTGTACTCCAACTGCCTTTTTATTTATGAAGAAGTTTATATAGTATACCTATGTAGGTATTTTAAATAATTATAATAAAAATACGTGAAGAAAAACTTTCATATTCCTTTTTAAGTTGTTTTAAAGTACACACTTCGTACACTCAGGAGTGTGAGATTTTTGCATCGCAACTCTTTGCGATTTTTTGACGAATTGTCACATAGGACTTAGGAGTGTTTGAGATGACTTATTTGTATCTACAAACCGACACGAACTTATTAAATAAAAAGCAGAAACAAATAAAAAAAGGTTATTTTCCAAAATGCAGATTGTATATCTTTGTATGTGTGTGTACGGCATGCAGCAGTACAAAATAATCGCAGCTCAGTAGAATATTTGCCCACTGGAGCATAATGACGACCTCCGTGGCCGAGTGGTTTGAACGCCGGGTTTCATGGTGTCGCCGACTCGAGAGGTCCCGGGTTCGAATCCCGGTGGGGACAGATGTTTGTATGATGAATACGAGCATTTGTACTCTAGTCATGGATGTTTAACATCTATTTCTATATAAATATACTTATATATGTACAGTATATATATTCTATCCGTTACCCTAGTATCCCATAACACAAGCCTTATAGTGCTTAGTTTCAGGTTAGGCTAATTGGTGGAGTGTTGGAAATATTTATTTATTAATATTTATTTAATGCTGATTTGGTACATCTACAACCATTTAGAGGGAGTGGCGGCAAAATGCAATTAAATATATTATTTCCAGTTAAAAGGATGTCAATGTCTTCGTCATTTGCCTCTTGTAAAATCTTGGCTGGCTAGAAAAGATCTCTAATAGAGGAGCCTTCCTTTACTCACGTTTTTTTATTGTGCCATAAAGACTACCTATCTATAGCTTACAGATATTTAGATTTTTTTTCTTATTTAGATGTTTCTGTTTGCGAATAGGATAGTAAAGGAGGAGGGAGTTTTGAAGTTATGGCGCGGCGCCACGCCCACAGTAGGTCGCGCCATGGTGGTGAATGCAGCTCAGCTGGGGACCTATTCTCAGGTATGTTCCTTTTACTACTTTGTTTACACAACAACGATATTATAGTATAACTACTTATTATTCTCTGTGTAAAATTTCTTTTACATATACTTACTTGTTGTGGGCCCCAGTTTCCGCACGTAGACTCCGTACTTGGTCCATTGTGCGTTTACATATACTTATATCTAATTTTACGACAGCAATAGTTTTTTCAAATACCTATTTTATTTCTCAAAGGTCTCACAGCTTGCGTCCGCTCTTATCCGCTTCATTCATGAACTCCTTCAGTGTAACTTCTTTAATAACCTAATTATTAAAGAAGGTGAATGCATCTTAACTAATAAAAAAAACGTACAAATACTTTTTTGAAGTTATACTTCTTTAGGCGCGTTATGAAAAAATGATGAGAGTGAAATTTTAAGATGCGCACGCATCACTGTAACACAAAAAATTAACAGCATGAAGTTGGTCGCTTTAGCGACCAACTTCATGCTGTTACTTTTGTGTTTACCGCACATTAAGAAAATCTACCAACAAAATAGAAATAGAATCTCTATTTTGTGGGTGCTAACGACTGCATTGTGAAGGCCTATCAAAAGTATTTATTAATCTGGAACAACGGAACCAAAGCGCGATTCAGGAGACTACAGCGCCATCTCTTGACCATTGGTGTAGTAGAACCAAAAACCACATCTTTATTTTTTGTAATAAAGTAACAGTTATAGGTATTCATATTTATAATATTTATCCACATGTTTCTAGTTTGTATATTCGGAATACGTGTTTGAGTTTCATACAAGTGCAAATCACATATGTTCTAATAAATTATATTCAGTAGCGATTTTAATTGAATATTTTGATTATTTATTTATTTTTTCAAATTAAAACTGAACTTTATTGACTGTGTCCTTTTCCAGACTTTTTATTAATTTATTGTAATTAATTATTTGCATGCAATTAAAAACTAATTTTAAACGATGCCAAAGAAGGATAACTTCTCACGCACCTACATAAGTACACGCACCCATTTTTTTTTGTTAAGGAACAAATTCGAATAATGGAAGAATTCTATATTTTATAAGTACTAAAAATATAAAATATTTGCAAGTTTATTCAAAATAATAATCCTATAATTTTCATAACTAAACTTTCATTATGATATTATTGCACTATCGTATTTATATCTCTTTTAAAAAAAACTTCAATGTGTTCCTTATTGAAAGACAACAAAAATATTCAGATCCACCGGAATAAATTTTATAGGCGCAGTTTAATAATCCATTGAAGCAACTAGCTTAAAATATAGTTTTATATTTTTTTCTATGAACCAAACACAAGTTTGTTGCCTTGTGATACTTTAAATCATAGATAACAAGCAAGTCACGCAATATCAATACAGTATGCCGTCGATATGACCTCAATGTGAACAAACTTGAAATTTATTTGCCTTGATAGCTACGGTATAAATATATTCGACGTTTAATAGCGGACGCGAGCTAAGAGACGTTCGAGATGTAGGTATTTGAAAAAACACGTTGTCGCGTTAAGCTTGCCAGATGACCGCTTATTCCGGGATTGTCCTGGAATTTTGCGTCTTGTCCCATGGCCAGTAATTAGACCATATTGGCCCGGATTCCGATAATGTGCTAGTTTCGTAACGAAATAAACTTATAACGAATGACACCGCTGGCCTGCTTGATGTTTTAATTATGGGGGGTGATGGGGGGTTTGATTTGATACTTTATTTTCTTGGGGGGGGGGGGGGGGGGGTCATGCTTTGGGGCAACAGCGTTAATGCCGAGCAGCTGTTTATACTCCAAAAGAAATGTGTGCGAATCATTGCTCAAATTGACAATATTATGTAGAGTTGCAGACCTTATTTTTCACAATACCAACCACTAACTTTACCATTGCTTTATAATTTTTTACATTTTTAAACATCGCAATAAGTTTATTCGTGTACAAGACACAGATAATATTAGCAATCGAAACAAAAACAGGCTGTATACAGGGCGTCCCACGGCCACCTTACACGGAGGGAAAGTATATTAAATATTGAAGATAGGACATTTTACTGAAAGAAGACATCAGTTTATTTTTAATAATAACTAGAACTGCATTCACAGACTTTTAAAAAATCGCCTGCTACAACTGAGAATCAAACTTGTGAAATTTCGAAAAAAATAACTCAGCATATTTTCGATTTTCGATTCGAAAATGGAACACATAAATAGTCTGTGTTCTTTTGTTTTTCGTGGGTTTCATTTTCGTTTATTTGTAATTTTTTGTCAATTTACTTACCATGGCTTATCAAAAATCTTTCTCTTTCTCTATCTTTCTTCATTATTTAAACACATATCGAGAAGGTTTGTCTCTATCAGGATATCTTTTGCGGTACCACCGCTAAGCTAATGATATGTCTTTGTGGTTCATAAAGTAAGCTTACATTAAATTTATTTTATTTTGATGCGCCTTGGTAAGTAAATTAACAAAAAAACTAGCAAACCAGTGTACCAAATGTTCACCAAAACCTGATTTCTCGAAAACCGGAAGTGCTACGTTACTCAAATCCGGTTTGTAGTCTTATCAGACTATTCTTAACTTATAACTTAAATATTCTCTTTTTTTTTTTTTTCTCTTTATCTATCTCTTACGGTTTGGCCGCTGAAACAGCACCACAGACGGACGGCCTTGTCTAATAGATAAGAGATGCAAATAAACGAAAATGAAACCCACGAAAAACAAAAGAACACAGACTATTTATGTGTTCCATTTTCGAATTATTATTATAAATTTCAGCCAATCGCATTGTAACTGAATTCAAAAAGATATGCATACGTACTACAATTTGTATACCACTTTATTATTTTTATCACGTAATAAGTCATTCCTTTCATTTAAAATGCTATGTTATTTAGCAAAACATAATCCTTATGATTAACCCTTTCGATGGTTATCATAAAATATGACGTGTTTTTTTTCGAAATTTCACGAGTTTGATTCCTAGTTGGCAGGCGATAGACAAGGCGATTTTAAAAAAAACTGTGAATGCAGTTTTAGTTATTATTAAAAATAAAATGATGTCTTCTTTCAGTAAAATAGCCTATCTTCAATATTTAATATACTTTCCCTCCGTGTGAGGTAGCCGTGGGACGCCCTGTATACCTCCTTCACGTAAAAAATGCTAAAACACCAGCCCCTTATCACATAGCTATAAAGATATTTAATAAATTACAAATACGGGTGAGCAAAAACTGCATACATTTCATAGGAAATTAAAAAAAATATTTAACTGACGAATGCTTCTATTCTGTCGAAGAATACCTTAATAAATGTAATTAATTTTTCCTTTTCTTTTCTTAAATGATGATTAAATGATTGAATCTTCCAAACCAAATTAAGTATAATACAATTTTATAATTTCATTCTAATAAATGTTTAATTATCTATTATTTGTTATACCTGTACAAGGTGTCCAAGTCATAAGATGCTATGTATCATGTTTAAGAACCATATGTAACACTTAGGCTCGTATTAGAGAATGACAACTAAGTGTTGATTTTACTTGAGTACAGTTAGAAAGGGATATCGCTATATGCTATATATAGCGACACCCCCTTCTAACTATGCTCAAGACTAGCTCAATCACTGAGAATCTTTCTATAATACGGGCCTTAGTTTGCAAATAAAGCGTTTGAGTTTGAATTGTACAGTTTCGTCACAAAAAAAAACCAATTTCCAGGCGCGAGAGATGTTCGTAGGTTACGTGCCCGACGGCATCCCGCTCCACTTCTGCGCGTCCATGGTGTCTGGCTTGGTCACCACCATTGCCTCCATGCCCGTCGACATCATCAAAACCAAGTAAGAATAGTTGTCGTCACAGAATGCAGAAAAAGGTTAAAACGGTTTTCCGTTTGTACGGGAACCGATCTCGCCGGCTCGCCCCCACCACACTTCAACCTGATAGAAAATAGCCAATCAAACGACGCGACATCAAAAAATCGACCCAATCAGAGCTCACACCCGGGAGCAACGACGCAATCAGAACCAAGTTTTGTGCAAGTTATGAGCATTTGCTCACACAACACAAGGCCCTTCTAACCTCTTTCTGTGTTCTGTGGTAGGTAGTCGTCTAGGTTTGTTTTGTTAGAATAGGTAAACGTGGAATGAATGACACATTGTATAAAACACGTAAAATAATTTAATGCAGTGGTTCTCAAACTTTTTAAATGACGGAACCCTTTTGGGAAGCAAAATACTTGATGGAACCCTACAATAAAACAATTATTTTTATAAGTGTATTCTATATTAATCAGCATAATAAAAGTACAATGTATCCGTTACTAATTATTATTTACTTCACCACTTGGTAAGGACAATAATAGAAAACATTAAAAAAGAAAAAATCTAACTAGTGGGAGGTATGAAACTGTTTTTTATTTTTCATCAATTGCTTGATATCAGGTTTGATGGAAGAAAGTTGGAGTCTCATATCAGCTTCGGCGTCCAGTCTATTGCGATATTTTGTTTTCGTGGCTGCGTAGGTAGAGAATCCTGTTTCGCACAAATATGTAGTTGGGAACGGGAGAAGAATATCCAGAGCCATTTGGCCAAGCATTGCATATTCATCTTGGATTCTGCACCAAAAATCATTAAGAGGCGTCGTTTTGAACAATGACTCCATACTTGTGTCTGATGACATTTCTAAAAGAGATTCATATATCTCATTTGACATGTTTTCAGGCTTTTCCAAGTTGGGTAAAAAAGGATTATGAATCCAGGAGTTCACTTTAATTTTTGTATTGTGTTCTTCGGGAAAATACTTTTCAAAAGATGCGCGCATCGAACTGAGATATTGGACCAATTCTTCAAACACATTATCTTCAAACATTTCTGAGTCGTTTTCGCTAACAAACTCAGTGAGTAACGTAAAACTTTCTATTTCTTTCTTACCAATGCAAATGATCCAAAAATCTAATTTTCTTTTAAAAGTAGTTATTTTATTATAGGCCTGAAACACTGTTGTCTGTTTACCTTGCAATGATAAATTTAATTCGTTAAGTTTTTGAAAGATATCCGCCATAAAAGACAATCGGAACAACCAAGTTTTATCATACAAACGGTCCTTCAAATTAAAAGAAGTATCTGCTGAAAGAAACATTTGTAACTCGGCTCTAAGTTCAAATAGCCTTGTTAAAGTTTTTCCCCGAGACAGCCATCGCACTTCTGTATGGAGCAGCAGTGTTTTATGTTTGCTGCCATAATCTTCACACAATAATGAGAACAATCGGGATTGTAGTGGTCGTGATTTGATAAAATTAATTATTTTTACCGCTTCATCCATAACTAATTTTAGATTAGACGGCATTTGCTTCATCGCAAGTGCTTGTCTATGCAGAATACAATGACTGGAACTACAATTAGGCGCTTTATTTTTCATTCGTGACACTGCTCCTGCTGTTTTACCTGTCATCGCCTTGGCCCCATCTGTACAAATGTCAATGCAATTGTTCCAACTGAGATTATGTTCTTCAAAAAATATATTTATTTTATTAAAAATTTCTTCCCCGGTAGTGTTTGTAAGCAGCGATGAACACATAAGCATGTCTTCTTCAAAAGAACTTTTATATGGATATCTCACAATAACCAGCAGGATAGCCAAACCAGCGACATCAGTCGACTCGTCCATTTGCAAAGCGAATCGTGTATTTTGTAGACGTGTAACTAGTTCTTGTTTGACGTAGCTTGCCAGATCATGGATTCGTCGTGAAACAGTATCGTTTGATAGCGGAACAGTAGAAAGATGCTTTGCAGATTTTTCATCAAGCATACATTTTGTTATGTCTAATACACATGGTTTTATTAATTTCTCAGCGATAGTGTGCGCTTCACCTGCTTGTGCAATGCGATAGCTAACTAAGTATGATGCCTCCGTGGCCTTTTCGTTGGTAGTTTGTGTTACATGCATCATATTTTTTTGACTTTCTAATAACTGATCTTTTTTGCGAACAAAAAATTCTTTATTCTTGTCTTTAGTCTCGGGGTGTACGGTTTCTAAATGTCGACGCAATTTGGCAGGTGCCATGGAACTATTAGGAAGCAGTTTACTACAGAGCATGCAGAGAGGTGAGCCGTTGGAATCAACAAATCCGAAACTGATATAAGATTCATCATACTTCCTTTTTTTCGTCTTTGAAACCGTCGAGCTTGACGTCGTGGCACTCGTGGCATCATCTTCTGGATCGGTGATTGCTAAATTCTCCGCGCGCATTGCTTTTGAACATTCAGCGTCATTAGAAGATGTTGTTGGAACACGTTTAACACCTTTAAGCCAACGTTCCATTCTTCTTTATTTATAATGTTACAAGTCAGGATAGTGGGGTTTAAATAATGCACAATCGTTACTGCGTATAAGAGACTAAATTTAGAACCTACAGGGAAGAAATGTATAAAACTGAGACAACAGAATACAGCAGGCAGTAAAACAATGAACACCAGTTTCTCGCTAGCGAGCTTGTAAGTAGGTAGTAACTTATCGCTCCGAACGCTAATCATCAACTGACGACGCCAACGCGCGATCGCCGCTTTTATACTTAGTCCTAGACTCGATCTCAAATATTCTCGAAAATACTCGAGTCGGCACCTTTGATAAACAAAAAGCAAAAATAAAAACAGAAATTTAAAAATAGCGTTGTAAACAATATCGACTTTATCCTTTGAAGTTAGAGACGAAAGTCGCTAGTTGACAACTATAGCGTCTAATTCAGAGGCGGCTTTTATCAAAGAGACTGAGCGCTTACAAGTATACTACCCGCTCGTTTTAAGTTTGCCGCTGGCGATAGGTATGAGTGTATGACGTTCGAAATTTTTTATTTAATTGTAACAATAAAAATTGTGTACGTTAGATATTTGGGTAAAACTATGACACATTATAAGTTTTGTTGTCACGTGGGGGAGGGTACGCGCATTCCACAGACCGGCAAACTTAGAGCGAACGCGTTGTACAAGTATAAAATTGTTGAGACCAAACTTATGAGATATTGTACCAGCTAATGTAACACAAGCTTATACAAATACAAATAAATAAATAAATAACATTCATAGCGTTTTGTCTCCGCGCGGCCGCGGAGTCCGCACAGCCGCGGAGCGACCAGAGAGAGGTGTTTTGATTTTTTTATTTCTAAATTCTTGCGGAACCCCGACAGAGGTATCACGGAACCCTAGGGTTCCGCGGAACACACTTAGAGTATAGCTGATTTAATGTAACACAAAAAAGGTACGGACCAAGAGTCTGTGGAATTTAAGAAATATAAATAAAAAAAGATAGAATAGTTTTTGTTACATATTATAGAGTGAGAGAGAGATTAGAGAGGAGCTCGATGGCACAAGTGGTTGTTGAAGTTAAGCATTTTTTGCAGTGGTCGGTCATTGGATGGGTGACCAAAACTTTATTATCTCTTCCTTTATCCCGTCATCACCCTATAGGAACGCACTTACCAAAACACACCTCCACAAAATAACAAAAGCGAAGATGGATTTGTTGCTAAAATTGAACCTGTGGGTATCTTTTACCTTCACTTTACAGAAGACAAGAGACCTTTTGGTGATGTTGTATACCTGTTGTGAGTTAGGTTCTAAAACAGATTTTGGTTAAAACGCTGCATTTATCTAGATAAGAGATGACGCCGCGTTGCATCAAAAGAGTAAAATTTCAACATAACTATTAATTATGATCCTGCCTAGCATAATCGGTAGTAATTTCGCCCGTATAGCTAAAGTGACTGGTTCGAATCCTGGGTAAAAATTATTTTTTCTTGGTCTAATCTTTAAATATTTATTTAATTACATTGTCTAAAAAAAAGTTTTGCTAGAAAAAATCCACGCGGACTTTTAGCTTAAGGCTAGGAAAATTTCGACGCGGCCATCAGGGCTGTGGTAGCATAATTGGTCAGTGCATTCGCCCGGATTGCGAGGGGTGCGGGTTCGAGTCCCGTCCACTGCCTGGTCCGCGTGGATTTTTTCTAGTAAAACTTTTCTTTAGATTTAAACATCTATCAGTTAAATGCTTAAAACAGATAAAAACTTAATTACATTATACCTGAACTGAAATTGAAAAAAGTGCTAAAAGCACTCTTTGAATCATTCATTAATTTAATCTTTATTACTTTCGATTTGGGTGTAATCTTAATTGACAAGCAGGCGAGTTGTTTTATTATGTGCGCTTGTTATCAATCTGTTTATGTGCAATCATTATTAATGCCAGGTTATCGGTCTTATCACGTCGACCGCCGAATATTTCATAACAGGGTATTTGCCAAATTTTAGAAAACGATCACACGTTATTAACTAATGTTTATAGAGTCCATAAAAAGATGGATATTCATCATTATGTTGTGTATTTCGGTAAAAAAACCAAATGAAAAACTCTATTTTCAAGTTGCCGCGAAAAACGTATCTCTGGACAATATGGCGTCGAACTGGTGTGTGACGTCACACGACTGTCATTAAAACGTCAAACCATACAATCAAATGTCACTTTAACCGGAAGTTTACTTGCGTGTGACGTCATTTTAGGCTCCACCAATCCCAAGCGTTTTGGGTCACTTGACAATAGACAAGAAAACTATTATCTTTATCGCGGGTTTTTAGTAAAATTATGAATATTTTTTCTGTGAAAACTCCTGCCAATATTCATTCTAAATACAGATGCTAACAATTGGCACTTTATTTTTAATACTGTCAAATACCCTTTGTGTACTAATTGTGCTTTATTGTAAGGTTAACTGTAGTATTTATGCTGCCATCTAGCCAAATGAGTCCGGTGTTTTCAACTTTCGGTGGGCTTTTCGGTCTGTGTGTTTAGTTCTCAATAGGATTTTTTTTTGAAGCGAAACTTCTTTACGTACGCTTGACTTGGGTGGTAAGCTGGCGAATGCGTTACGCGTCACGAAAAGTGTGTTCGGGCGAGGCGAACGCGACTTGAGTGGGGGATATAAGCAAGAGAAAGAAGAGCGCGCAATGTGCGCTCTTCTTCGATTGCGATTCTTTCTCTCTTTCTCTTATAACTAGTAAATGAAATTGTGTATATGTACATACATGTATATATTGTACACACACACATATATATATATATACATACAGACGGAGCTAAAGAAGTTCCCACACTGGAATCTTACTCACTGATAGAAACACAATACCAGAACATTCGCCACTTACACCCTTAAGGTGGGCTTTCATAACGAGCGTCAGCGACGCCGCGACAGAGCGTCAGATATAATTTCTATGCAAATGTCAATGTCAGCGTCGGTCAAAGCGGCACTGACAATGTCATTTGCATAGAAATTCTATCTGACGCTCTGTCACGGCTGCACTGACGCTCGCTTCGAAAGCCCACATTTACTGCTTGCCTGGCAGAGAATGCCTATAGCATTAAGTCCGCCATTTACTGTATTTTGGTAAAAAAGAATGAAATGAATAAATAATGCCATTAAAAGGTTGTGTTATTTTATAGTGGCATCTGTAAGGTAAAGATTATTTTCACAGACGGGCACTCCTATTCGGGAGGAAAATCCGCTATGCACTACCTCTCTTCATAGAAGATAACAAACGCGTTGTTGGAACAAGTATGGAATTCTCTGGCACTTGATTTTTTTTTATTACATTAATCGTTGGTTTTAAAATGGCAATCCCATATTTAGTGTTAGTGTTGACATCATTCAAATGAAATTTTGCAAATTGATGATCAAAGACCAAACACTGTTAAACTAGTTCCAAATGTTTTCTGACACATTTCTTTTGAATCTTCAGTCAAAAGAAATGTGTCAGAAAACATCAGTTCAGATAAATACTCGTATAGATGCTATGTGAAATAAATATTGGTATATGATGATTACTAGAAAATGATAGTATTTTTCTTACTCAATATATTAAGAAGGAATATCAAGTTTATCCGTGTATCTTCTGATGCAAAAGCTCTAGACAATTATATTATTGCCCATAGAAAAAGTGATTAAATTTATTTGTTTGTTTAAACACACATTATCTGGGTGAACGGTATTCTAAAAATAAAAATGCTTCTTTTTTATAGTAGATAGATACGCTATCAATTGTGCAAAGATCAAGAGGCAGAGCAATTGTTTATTAAATAAAGTAGATTGATTTCACTGGAAAACAATTATGTGATATTTTAAATTTCCCCTGGGCCTCCTGGGTAATCTTCGCAGGTCGCCTACTTCTGTATTGCACTGCATAATACACAGCGAAGCAACACTGTTATACAATGCATTGCTAAAAATAAAAATGCTTCTTTTTTATAGTAGATAGATACGTTATCAATTGTGCAAAGATCAAGAGGCAGAGCAATTGTTTATTAAATAAAGTAGATTGATTTCACTGGAAAACAATTATGTGATATTTTGAATTTCCCCTGGGCCTCCTGGGTAATCTTCGCAGGTCGCCTACTTCTGTATTGCACTGCATAATACACAGCGAAGCAACACTGTTATACAATACATTGCTAAAAATAAAAATGCTTCTTTTTTATAGTAGATAAATACGCTATCAATTGTGCAAAGATAAGGGGCAGAGCAATTGTTTATTAAATAAAGTAGATTGATTTCACTGAAAAACAATTATATGTGATATTTTGAATTTCCCCTGGGCCTCCTGGGTAATCTTCGCAGGTCGCCTACTTCTGTATTGCACTGCATAATACACAGCGAAGTAACACTGTTCAGTAATGCATTGCATAATAGTGTTACTTCGCTGTAAGGCTGCGACCTGCGAAGTAGAAGATTATCCAGGAGGCCCAGGAGAGATTCCTGCAGTAGCAGGAAGTAAGCTTTTCAGAGTTCAACAACAATACCGGCTATTTAATTAGCTAATAGGGGTGACGACGGGGTACAGTAAACGAAATTCTATTTAGTCCGTCAGTTAGATGATCAAAAAATAATGGACACATATTTTTTCTTTGGGCAATCAACCAAAAAATTATAAAGTTATAGCGCGTCAAAGTTTGGGAGTAGGGGCTCGTGGCGTCACTTTTAAGTGAAAATTGTACCAAAACGAGACGTCATGCAACTTTCCAAATCAATATATCTCTGCAATGTTTATATTATGTGAAAAAAAAAATGTGTCCAATCCTTTTTGATAAAATCTACCTGATAAACGAAGAAAAAAAAATCATCATCCCTATTAAAGAGTTATTTTTTAAACCTTTTTAAAAGCACATACCTACACCACAGATTACTTATTAGTTACTACGTCTACACGACGGATATAGAACGCCATAAGAGAAGAACTTCTTGTGTGTATGTATGTGTGTGAATCTTATATAATAATATTTTTATTAAATTAATATTACTATAATATTACTTAATCACACTTACACAATTATCCTCTTCTGTGTCTTTATTTTGGACAAGACAGAGGTTTCATTTCTACGCAAGATTTTAAATCGCTTCATTTAAACTGTGCTCCTTTGCAGGATCCAAAACGCTGCAAAAGGTGAGAGTCAGTTGTCCGTAGTCTCGAATCTTCTAAGGACTGAAGGTGTCTTGTCCCTGTGGAAAGGCTTCTTGCCATACTACGCGCGTCTCGGACCTCACACCGTCCTCACGTTCATATTGCTGGAACAACTCAACTCTGCTTACTTGAGGTACACGTAAGTCTGCAACAACTTTGCCTAACTCTATAATGCCTTAATGACCAATCTGACTGACGATTTTCTAATACGACCTAGTTATCTTTGTATAAAACTATTTACATTTACACGATCAATCAACAATCATTATGAATTCGCCAGATGTTTTTTGAGTGAAATGGAAGTCAGACGTGCGTTACTGTTATTGTCTTTAAGAGTTAACTTTGTTTTTTTTAAGTTGGGTATTTTTATATTTTTCAAAGTGGGGTTATCTTGAGAGCTGGCGCTATTTTGTAATTCACATTTATTTTATCAGTCGGTAGAATATTCATAAGGAGTTAAAATAATGTCCCTGGAAACTTACGTGGCGCCACTATATATGCAAAATAATCAAAATACAACATTTTACCCACGACAGGGATGATAGTTCAAAATTTCGCCATATTCATTATGATCCATGTAGAAAATCACTAAAGGACAATGTCCAAGCTTAGCCTGGAGAAAGTGCTTGTTGAATGACAATTTTACAGCGTTTTTATAGGTTTTAAAAGAATTTCTAAAACTGTAGGTATCGAGTTACAATAATAAAAAAAACGAAAAAAAAAACTGATCAACGCAACGGGACGATATATTACTCAAATAAACCTTTATGTAGCATTTCAAAAAAATAGTTTTAATGTAATTAGTATAATTTTATGGATAAATATATATATCAGGATAATGTAAATAATTTAAAAAGGCTTATACTTTCTATTTCGTGCTCTAATATGATGCCAAATTTACACTAAAAATAATTAAAACAAAACTTAATAAGCTTCCCAAATTATGAAATTTTACATGTAAAAATATCTGTGTTGGTCCAAATCGTCCATACTAATTGGGCATTGTCCTTGATCTAATATTTTATTGCTTGTAGAATAAATTAAATGTGATATCTTGACTTAGTCTTGGATAAACATAACATTTGGCCTTGTATATCTTCTTAAATGTGTGAAATTAAGAATTTATTATAGAAAATGGTGCGTATCAAAGCTATGATAGCATATCATAGGATAAAATTTTGGTTAAATATTCCAGTTAATCAAACAATATTATGGGATTATTGATATTATTAAATATCAAACATAGTGTTTATAGCTAAATGCAAGAAAGTATGCGCGCGCATACAAGTAAAAGTCTGAGCATGACTAAAATATTAATGAGTTTATTATAATCTGCCATTAAAATGAACCGAAAGCCGCTCAAAGAAATTAGAAATATATTGAATTTTTATGTAAAATGATTTAATTTTAATCATGATATTACAGATCTTATGATCGTTACACAGCTTAATGTCCTTTCACTTCGAATCATGAATACTTATTTACCTAAAATATTAAGAGTAACTTTTCGGTTGAAAAAAATATAATGGAAAAAAATATGATTTTGACGTTACATGATATATTTTTATATATTTATTTTTTGTTTTTAAGTGCAAATTAGGTTTTAAGAAAGATAGTGTGTAAGTGTTTTATTTTTATTTTTGTAGTTATGTCGGCAAACTAAACGGAAATTTTATCAAAATTATTAAGTAACTTTTCGGTTGAAAAAAATCTGTTTCTATATATTGAAGCTTAATATTTGTTCTATTTTTTCTCCTTAAAACTGTTAATGTATTTTTATTTTTATTCTTAAAGCTATATAAGGATAGTGCTAAATCAGGAAGGGATTTAAAGCGATAAATAAGTATTTGCCTTCTACTAAGAAAAGTTCAGTTTATTTTTGTTTTATACTGCCACACAATAAATAAACACAATAAGATCGTAGCGCTGCCTGTAACTACTCTGGCAAATCATCATAGATTAAATCAGGAAGTTACCAATATGTTACTTGATACTTTCCAACTTTATTTATCGTTTTTTCTAATGCTAATTATTATAAAGGTAAAACCTATATTTAAAAATGTAATATCCAACGTATCTCGCTCCAGCATTCTGTTTTTAAAATTATATATATATGTGTGTTTATTTTATAAAATAATCTAGTAGTAGTAATACTCTGACTTATTCTTGTGTGTATATAAATTATATTATATTCATATTTAAAGTAAATGTTGGTTATACTTAAGGGTGACTTAAAAATATATAATGCTAGCTTAAAATTTATGTTCTGCCTGCTTAAAAATACTTTTCGCTTAAATCGAAGAGTAGGTGCCAAAGGTAGATATATCTTCAGATACTTTTTACTCTCAATTATTATAAAAAAATACTTGCTATAATAAGGCGAACTTTTTACTGGTAACTAGACATTGTTATTTATTTGCAATTTTGTTTTTCATTTAAATGCTTTTTTTATCAAAAATCTCGTGTACATTCATATACCTACCTTTCTATTAATAATAATTGATTAATACCGGTTTTGTACAAGTATTTATAACATTTTGGATGTTTTTACAAAGTTACTAAGTACTAATAATTACTTATTAATTAGTCATTGTACACTGTAAGGGCGCGATGCTAAAATTTCAAATAATTCACTATTTAAATAAAATAAATGCATATTTTATTTTGTTAAAATTCATTTGACGATCGCAAGTTATAAAACCTATTATTATTTGGTGTTAATAATGTTTTTGTCTTTATTATCAAAATCTAATTACTTCATTTATAGAATTATAAACAAAAACCATTGGTTTATCGATCCTGAATTCAATTATTTTCATTTATTTCATGTTGTTAACGCAAATTGTAAATAGAAATAAGTAGCAAGACATAATTAATTTCTTAAGCATTAATGTATTTTTATTAATTTATTTTTTTATTGATTGTTTATATGTTACCAATATCCAAAGACTAAGGCATCTATGTTCGATAAACATCAATTAAAAAACATTTTCGGAAGAAAATATTTTGTTTATAAAAAAAGCAAGGAGTGAAAAAATCACTCGAGCGTTGAAGTCGACAGATTTTTCTTTAATCTCTTAGGAAATGTTAGTTAAAATGGGAGGTTTTTTTAAGGATAAGTATATTGAAAAAAATGTATTGCTGTGATTGAACATAATTAGGTAGATAAAACTAGTTTTTACGGGTTAATGCACGAAACTTTATTTATTTAGACGTTTCGCAGCCTTTTCAGGTCTGCATCGTCAGAATAATGATTTTTTTGCTAAAAATCTAAATAAATAAAGTTTCGTGCATTAACCCGTAAAAACTAGTTTTATTTAATGAGTGATGTGCGTGAAAACCTAAGAAACAAATATAATTAGGTAGGTCTGATTTACATGAAGCGATTAGATATTATATGAAGTGTGGAAGATCGTTAAATGAATTTTAACTAAATTTAAATAATGGCATTATTAAAATAGGGAATAATTTTATTGTTAGTGTCTTTCGATAACCATTTTCTGAATCAAAGCTGATTTACACAAATTTTATATTCAAGTAGATACTAAATTAGTGAAATGGTATTGGTAGTACCCACCAGACTGAATATTAGACCTAGAGAAAATCCTTAGATAATAAAATATGGATTTGCGTGCTTAAATCAAAATAAATACTAGAATACAAACATCTAATATTGACTGACTATTTAGCTCGCGTGGTACACAAATATAAATATTTACTTGAATATAAGATTTGCGTAAATCACCATTTAATAAATACCAAAATTAGTTGATAGAAACACAACGGCACAATTTAATAAATTATAATGTAAGTAATTAATTAGTTTGCATTTTTGAAATGTATTTCTATGTTGTATGGCGCATACGATGAATGGTAGAAATATTGAAGATGAGCATGGCAAAAATGTGGACGAGTATATCGATAAAAATAAAGTACTTGCTCCACTTGTTCCTTAAAAATTTTGCTAAAAACGAGATATTCCATGTGATACGGTGTGTTTATAACAATTTATTATTATTGATATATATTTTTAGACGCTGTTTATTGAAACTTGTGACTAACTTGTGAATGTTTCGGAATTATTGTTACATAATAAAAATGTTTTTTTTTTCAAAATGCATTTTTCTTTAATTATGCCTATTTATATAGTCACCTAGCGAGTGGTACTAAAACTGAATAATTTCAATGTTTGTAGTTGTGGTTTATTGGAATTTATTGAGATAGTCTCTTGTTTTTATTATTAACAAATTTGGGAATAAAACCACTCAAGGATTAATAAAACATAAGGCGATTCTCCCACTGGCAACGCATCCCGCCGCGTTGCGTGGGGCGGCAGATTACGCGCGCAGCGACGACTTACGGATTTGTGTCACTGCGCAGTTTGCTCCGTGGCTTGAAAACGATACTACGTGAGTGTGGTGCGAGGTTGACTATCGGGTCTGTTCAAGTTCAACATTGATGATCCCTTAATGAGAAAAAAATCCTAGGTAAAAAAGAAAGTACTCGTGAGCCAGGGGACAAGCCAGGGTTTTATCCGGAAACAAAATCTCAACAAAAGCAATACTTAATGTAGGAGATCGGAATCAGTCGTCAATAGATAGCGTTGTAGTTTTCTGAATCGCACTATGGTTTCGTTTTGTAATTTCTACTTACTATTTGTGTACCTGATCCCGTTCGCCACTGCAAAGGAATAATTCCTTTTTACAGGAGCTATTTTTGGATGTAGCTTAGTGATGAATTATATTAGAAAACATCAAACCAACGGCATCGATGTTCGATAAACATCAATTGAAAACATTTTCAGGAGAGAATATTTTTTTTATTGGGAGGGTTCCCAACCCCCTTAGGGAATAGTTTAGGAAAACTAAAAATGATAAACTTTATAATTCATTTAAATCAGTACCTTTAGCACGAACCAATATCAAATTCGTAACGTTTGCAACTACGAAATGTCAATGTCAAATGTGTAGGTACTGAGTTTTAGTTCTTCGTTCGTGACGTCCGTTATGGCGCTGCTGTTCAAGTTTCCATACAAAATTTGACAATGACATTTCGCACTTGCAAACTATTCGAATTCGATATTGGTTCGTGCTAAGGGTACTGGTGCCAATTCTAGCGTGATTCTCTAAACTTAAATCTAAATTTAACATCAGTCTCTCCTTTTTATTCTGTATAGCGAATGACAAGGATATACTGCTGTCGAATTTAAGTTAAGGTTTAGAGAATCGTGCTAGAATCGACACCAATGTATTACTATTTTTACACTCAATTTTCAATTTGAAAACGGTGTCGGTAATTTCTTAATATTTGTTTTGTTTTTGCTAGTCCAAGTAATTTAGAAACTATACTTCTGAATTATCATAAAACCTTGCACAAAATTATAAGCGAAATTGTTAACATTGAAACCTGTAATTGACTTTGCGCTATGTAACTTACCTTTAATTAACAATTGATTGTAATAAGCTATTGGTTTCACTAAATAAATAAATTCGTGCCAAGTGTCAAGTCTATTAACTCAAGGAATAAAAAAAATATACAAACTTTCATCCCTATTTTAAACTACCCGTACGAGACATACATCATCTTTCTTTTTCGCCATTCCTACATGTCACACAAACTATACACAAAAGTCAGTTGTTTTTCGATCGCAAAGTACCTACATACAATAAAAAAATCACGGCTGTTGACATATTTACTTGCAAAAGTAAAGCATCTTTTAAAAAACAACTTTTAGGGCTGTTGGCTGATTGGTAATATACAAACAAAAATGAAACACACATGGATACATATATACACACACACATACACATGCATACACACACACACACACATACATATACAGTGGCGCGCGCGCATTGCACACATCTCGCCCTTGTTTGGTAGAGGGTTTTCTAAACTATTATGCAATAACTAAAAAATGAAAATCCGTAATTGGCATTAAGATAAACTATATTGTAAAACCTGTATTATATTAAGAAAATGCTGTGGATTTTGGTCTAGTATTAAATATATAAACACTTCGGGGGTGAATTTTGAAAAATCCTTTCTTAGTGCACCCCTACACATCAAAAGAAACCTACGTGCCAAATTTGGTGGCTCTAGACCAGGGGTTCCCAACGTTTTATTGGTCAGGGACCACTTTTACATTCTTTTTTTTTTGCACGGACCACTATTTAGTCACTAAATAACTAAATCTTAGTGTAATAAAAATAAACTGTAATAATCAAACTGAAACTTTAATTAAAAATCTAATATGAAATTAAATAGAAAGAAATAATAACATTTTTAGCGAGCGCGCCCGCTAAATTAAAATTCATTCGCGGACCATATTTTGGCTTCTGCGGACCACTGTTTGGGAACCATTGCTCTAGACCCAGCGTTTTGGGCTGTGCGTTGATATGTCAGTCAGATATTGCATTCCTTCCTGTAACTACAATGTTGTTCTCGAGCAGTGTAGCCAACCCTACAGTTTTCACTGAAGATCTACAGACAGATTTTTTTGGAAATTCTCTCAGTTTGAGCCTCGAAATCCAGTTTTTAAAGATGCTAGAGCCATCCATAGTATATGTTGGGTAGCCGTACACTAATCGGATCATCAAAAAATAACATTTTATGAAAAAAATTGTGAAAATTATATTTTAAACCTACATTCGTCTACTCGTTGGTAATGACTAACTTACCGCACTAATATCGTAAATAACTACAAACTATTTAATACTATCACATTACTATCATAACATAATACGAAAAAGGAAAAAGATGTAGATTTACAGTCTTTTAATTTGATATTTACAGTTTTCTACAGTTTTTTTGAAGCATAATATCTACAGTTTTACTCTATGATGGGGTTGGCAACACTGGCTCTGAAGTTTGGGCTCCTTTGATCGGTCTTGAGTCTGATGAGTAAGTTAAGGCCTAAATAAAATTCATCCACACTCAATACTAATATTATAAATTTGAAAGTATGTTTGTCTGTCTGTTACCTCTCTTCATGCTTAAAACTAGTAGGCTTGGACGAACCCTTAGGTAAAAGCCTCTAGCTAGCAAAATCGAACTAACTCAATCCAAGGACATAGGTATTCAAGAAGTCCAATGTTCATACTTATATGATTAAAAATATCGGAAATTTTAAACACGATGATAACAATAAATATTATGGAATTCTGATAGTAGGTAAGTTGCTTTCGTCTGCAACCTTGTATTTGTCTTGTCCAACTATAGTAATAGTCTCATATGTCCACTTAATGTTTCCAAGTGTTCCTCTATACAACGCCATACGTAGTTAGGATTAATGTAGGTTAATGCAAGTATTTGTATTGGATTAAATACATAAAAGTCATACATTGATCGGCCGTATGTGAACAGCAAGCTAGGTAGTATTCATACCGCCGCTAATACTACACTTGCGGGTCTTCAATTAGTCACTATTGACATAGTTTAGTGGGAGGCAGGCAATTTCTGAGCGTTTTACATACGCTCCCTATTTCTAAACAATTACTTACCTGGGAAATTGCGAAAATTTCCAAAAAGGTTTTCCGAAATTCAACCCAACATCTTGGTGAAGCGATAGGATTTCATGAAATATCGTTTGAAGAAGTTAAGGTCGTATTTGGTGAAGAAATCGGCGAAGATGTTCAACTTGTACCAGCATATGAAGGCAAATAACGAGGGCAAGGAGACGAAGGAGCCCGAGACGACAGGACACGATAGGTTTTACCAGGAAAGACCCAGGACCAGTTATAGGAAAAAGAAACGCCGCGGTGCATGCCGCAGGGCGCAGTCTGCTGCCGAGCTAAACCCTGACTCCATCGCCGCTGCCAACAGGAGGAATGCCTTCCGTATACGCTCCGTTTCAACTGACAGGGATGAAAGCGAAGGTAAACATCTCCAATTTTAATATTTAACATCACAATTTGCCGTAATTATAGTAAATTTTACTGTAGGGAAACATTGGTTATAAGCACTGCTAAAATTTGTTTTACAAAATTATATGCTTCTTATAAAATTATTTTCCAAAATCCTTACGTATCCACAGCACAGGATTTTGTATTGAAATATATCGTTGATTGAAATGTTTAATAAACCTAATTTCAGCTTAGCTTATAGATTGGTATAAGGTTACAGCTTGTGAGTGCGATTAATCGGGATTAATCACACTCAGCAAGCAATGTGAAACTACTAGAATAATGCATTTAATTTTAAATAAAACCATATTTTTCACTAATGAGGATCTTAAACCAAGAATATACAGCAAGCAAATAATATTGGAACTTTTCTTTACCTATAAAATTGCCGTTTTTCATGAAATAAGTTAACACCCTGTTCTTTACTATATTTTCTTTTTATTAATAAAAGTAATTACTCATGCAATCAATGCATTTTTGCCAACGAATTGGTAGCTTATTGATGCCCTTTTTGAAAGAGGTCTGCTGGACGGGAGGCAACACATTTTTCAAAGGCATATTGAATGAACTGCCTCGGTTATTGATTTTTTTTCCCCGCTAAGAAGTTATCCAAATTCTGGAAAATGTAGTAGTCTGTAGGGGCAAAGTCTGGTGAGTACGGTGGATGACGAAGAACTTCCAACTACAGCTCTTGTGACTCGGAGACCGTCTGCTATGCAGTATGAAGTCGCGCGCTGTCGTGCAGTAGCAGCGGAGCCGAACGATTGACCAAAGCTTGTTGGAGATATGGGAGCTTCTCCATCATTGTGTTCAGTTCTTCACAGTACACATGTGCAGTATAACTCATCCCGTTTAGTAAGAAGCCGTGATGAATGCACCGGCGCTAGAGCACTAAACAGTGATCATCAATTTTTAGGGGTCAGTTTTCGTTTGGGGCATTGCTTAGGTGCTGAACCAGGATCTAACCAACTTGCTGAGCGGTTGCTATATTTGACAATAAATAGAATCCATTTTTTTCATCCCAAGTAACAATGCGATTGAATATGACTTCGTTTGCGTGCCTGTTTAGCAGTGCAAGGCTCGACTCGACGCGTACTTCGCCAATTTGACGCAAATGGACCCAAATTGTTTTGATGGAAAGCTGTTGCTAATTCAGCTGTAGATTGAGAATCATCAGCTTCCACAGTCTCCTTTAATTCGTCATTGTTGACTAAAGTTTTTGATCGCGCATGGGATTCATTTCTTACGTCGAAATTTCCAGAACGGATGCGGGCAAACCAATAACGGGTGGTGCGATCGTTAGTAGTGTTCGCTCCGTATACGTCGTTGATGTTGCGTGCCGCTTCTGCAGCGTTGCTGCCACGAAGATACTCATACTCCATAATCACTCGAATTTTTAACGTATCTAACTACAACATTATTAATTTGTAAATTTTTAAAATAAAAATTTCTGGGATTAAAAATTCTTAGTGAAATTAATAAAATGGACTACAAATATCCAGTAGAACGACAATTTCATAGGTAAAGACCTATTATGAAACTTCTTTAAAAATCCATTGAAGTTTTGGATTTAAATCTTTCTTTTTTAGTACATTGGTGATAAGACAAACATTTTCAATTTCATAATCCTGTTGGTGGAACTGTACTGTAGTTTTAATTGTTTTCCCGCAGTTATTCAGATTGCCACATCTGCGGATATGGTTCAGGATAGGCGTCGCGCGAGTGAAACCCCCTGGTATATCGAGCATATGCTGGATATCAGGCGGGTCACACGCATGTTTGCCACCCTTTTCACATACAAAAAAGGTACCTTATGCTTAAAGGTACTACGATCTATCTATCAAAGGGTTCCATATTCTTCGCTCTGTAAACAATATCTCTCTATCAGTCATAGAAACAAATAAAGTTAGTTAAAAATAAGTCTTTAATATTGCCTTATCACCTCTACTATCAAATGAGGCAAATGCACATAAGTATTATTCTTCTCTAGGTACCTATAATTTTGAATTCGTGTCAAATCCAGTTAGTTAACAACACTTATTCTCTTCTATTCCTTTCTTTAATACTTATTACAAACGTATTGTAGCGTACGATAATCTTTACGCAGAAATCTCGTGATTTCTGGGATAGAACGAAGGCTATATTTTTTATATTTTTCCACATTATATTTTTGTGTTTTTGCCTTCTCAAGATGGTGGGAAACAAGATGAAGCTGATGGATCATCGTGCGCTTGTAGTTCAAGTATCTGTATCTTTATCTATATTTCTATCTCTTTTACCTGTTTCTTTTATTCTAGCTAGCAAGCTCAGATCTCCTTAGGCAGCCATTGCTTAATTTGTGTCGATTATGTAGAATATAACTGGAGACTTGTGATTGTGAAGCATACTAGACCTGTTGACTTTTGCCATACCTTCGATATTGCTGGCTCCTATTTTAATAAGCCTATTAAAATTTAGCACAGCCAACCATATTCCGTACAATAACTATGCATTCATATTTAATAGTACATCTGCTATATTGGTCTTCACTGAACCCGTAGCTGCCTGAACTTAACAATTCCCTTCTTAAGAGAAGCATTTAACTAGGCATGCGAATCTTTTGTTGTATTTCCAAGCTAACTGCATTTCAAGTCTATTTAAAATATTAAAATTCGTTTTAAGAAAATTTTATACTTTACATTATAAAAATCTCATTTGCTGTTTCCCTATTGTGTTAAGCATTAGTATTTATTTACTTATTATCATAAGTAACGTCATGAACGACGATGATAGGTGGTAAAAAAAAATAATGGACTATTTTTTTTTATAGATAGACAAATGACTCCACCCCACCTGATGTTAAGTGAAGTCCAGACGTGAAGATAGCTGTTACAGCAGTTTTACCTGCCACACCAGCCATCCTCACCGGTCTGCATGTTGCTTCTTCGCGCCTCTTTTAAAGGATCCCAGGTTGTAAGAGGGAGGGAACACGTGAGCGGGCAGAGCATTCCATTAACGGATAGTGCGACAAAGAAATGAGTCACCAAATTTCTTTGTACGCGTTGGAATTGAAAAAAATGACTATTCATAAACGTCGGTTTTCTACTTTTTTTTTACATAATAAAACAGTAAGCGCTTACGATAAATGCTAAAAATTACGTCTTCTACCAGAATTTCTTTTTAAAGCCTTTGTAACATTACATGTTCTTTGTAATAGAGGAGAATTCTGAGCGTGCACCGCTGGTGGCGCAGAAAATTGACTCGTTAGCCAAGCTGTTGTTCAACAAGTCGCTGATAGGCACCGGATCTGGCAAGTCTTCGCCTTCGGAGCCACCGGCATCGCCCAGGTCAGTACAGCATAGGTACTTAATACCAACATCATCATCAATCCACTGCTGGAAGTAGGCTTCTCCCATGGCAAGCCATTGAACTTGGTATTCGGTTCCTCTTATCTAGTTATTGCACTTATTATATACAGGTTAAAATTCAAATTCTGTTGTAAAAACAGAAAGATAAGATAATAAAGAGATGACAAAAGATTTACTATCTCGAGCTCCTCCGTGCTTCGGATGGCATGTTAAGCCGTTGGTTGTTCCCGGCCACATCTGCCTGCAATCGGTAGCACCCACCAATCTGCATTGGACCAGTGTGGTGGATCATAGCCAAATCTACATCAATGCTTGGCCCTGCCAGAATACCAGCGCTGTTATGGTGGGAATATTCGTTCCCACGATATCAGCATTAAGCTGAGGCAGGGTCCTGATTGGCCATTCTTCTTCCTCTTTTGTATTTCTCTGTATTGTTTAATTTTATTGTTTTTTTTTGCTCATTGTTTTTTTTCTACATATGTCTTTGCGTGTTGGCCAATAAATACTTTTTCTTTCTTTCTTCTTTCGTTCTTACATTAGGGAAGGTATCCCAGCAGTGGTAATGATGATGATGAAAAAAGTTTTGATGTAAAAAGCAACGGTGCAGTTGTTTAGCGAATTAAATTATGAGTATTGTCTCTTTGGCTTTATAGGGTTGAACGTTCCATGGAGAGTTCGGCAGCGCTGGCTATTTGCACAGAATATTTATCGCAGACATCAAGGTCAGTAACTACCATTTGCCTTGAGGTTCGAAAGCGATTTTTCTGGAAGGTGACTTCAGAAGTATCTCTGAAGTCATTTTTCAATTTGACGACTCTGTATATAACAATACAGGGAGAAAAAAACAGACCTTGCTGAGTTTCTTGCCGGTTCTTCTCAGTACAAGGTCTCCCGCCGTAGTTTTGCGAACCGATGGCGTAACTTGTTGACCTTCACAAATGCTTGTAACCGCCTAGACTGAATAAATGATTATTGATTTTGATTTTTTGATTTTGTACATATCCCGTCGGTGAAGAAGTTAAAGGCATCGTGTTTCAAATGCTGCTTAAGAAACGTATTAATAAGGTTGATAGTACTAACTTTACTTGTATAAGTGATTTAGTTGACAAACTCAGCACCTTTCTTATTTAAATGGTGAAGTTGAAAGCCGTAGAGTACGACATGATACGATTTTAAGAGTACAGCCAGCAGAGCCCCAGTTGAAAATCTGAATTCACACCTTCTGATTGCGATGCGGGTGGGTGACTTTCGAAATATTGTTAATTCATAAATACTAAGATTTGTACAACCCAAATTAATTAGATATTAAAAAGACATTGTTTCTTTTTGAATAAACAATACTTATAAATGTCTCACTCTGTATCTTCTTTACGACTGACTTTAGCGTCTATTATGTAATTCCTGTGTTTTCAGATATGACTTGATATCTCAGCTCGGCGCCATCGGATCGCGTCCCAATAAGCACTGGTTTGCAATACACGACAATTCCATCAAAACTGATAGACTCCTCACTTTGGTAAGCAGACAAAACAATCTATTATCAAAAAGATGATCACAGAATTCACACCCTTACATTGGGGCCACAGTAACCAAGCAATAGCCGCATTTGTGACGGTGTTTTGTGTAATAAATAAATAAATATTTCCAACAATCACACCAATTAGCCTAACCCCAAAGTAAGCACTATAAGGCTTGTGTTATGGGATACTAGGGTAACGGATAGAATACATATACTTTACATATATAAGTATATTTATATAGAAATACATATTAAACATCCATGACTGAAGTACAAATATGCTCGTGTTCATCACACAAACATCTGCCCCCACCGGGTTTCGAACCCGGGACCTCTCGAGTCGGCGACGCTATGAAACCCGGCGTACAAACCACTTGGCCACGAAGGTCGTCGGAGGTGTAATGTGACTATTGCTTGACCCGACTTGTCGTGAAAACGGAAAATGTTCGAGATATCACGACAGTGTAGCCAGCATTACAATTCACTAACTGAACTTAAAAGCCTTCTGCTTAGATGGTGCTAAATGGAATCCCGGTGGGTGCATTTATTTGGGCGACAAACACGAGTATTTATTCCTGAGCTCCGTTATTTTATCTCTTAATTGCTCCGAGCCGTCCGGAATTACAATAAAACAAAAATCTCTAAACCTCAACTGAAGTATAAATCACTACCTATAATTTCTTATTATAGGTAGTGAATTATACTCCATTGATTGTGAAAAAGTATTAAGACAAGTATTTACAGTTGGGCCTGTCCCTGGTGTCAGACGTGATATTACAAGAGTTCCATTTAACGAGGATTCTATCCTCAGATGCCGTTGACGAGCAAGTGTCCAGTAGAAGCGAGCGATCGCTCCCGCGGCCTCATCATGGAGCTGTTTCGAGCACTGCATCACCCATATATCTATCCTGTCTTGGACTTAGAACTGTGCAACGGACACGCCTTGACAGTTCTCCCGTTCAACGCAAGAGGAACCTTGAAAGATCTTATTTATAAGGTGAGTGGCACTCTGATAGTTGGTCCCAGCCCTACATTGCCTACAGCTACCCTGTCCTGGACTTAGAACTGTGCAACGGACGCGCTTTGACAGTTCTCCCGTTCAACGCAAGAGGGAGCTTGAAAGATCTCATTTATAAGGTGAGTAATACCCTGAGTTGGTCTACAGTTGTTCCGAGCCATGCATTACCACTGTTTATTTATTTAAACTTTTTTGCATTAACAGATGTACAACTGGCGGACTTAATGCCTTTAGGCATTCATTTCCTTATTAAATCTATCCTGTCTTTAACTAGGAACTGTGCACGAATACGCTTCGACAATTCTCCCGTTCAACGCACGAGGGAGCTTGAAAGATCTCATTTATATGGTTAACTGAGTGATAGATACAATAGTTGGTCAACTGCAAGCTCCACGTTGGGCGCCATTTTTTAAGAATAGTGAAAAACGAATTATGAAAAATTTATGTTGTTGTTCTTGTTGTTGTTGTTGTATCTTTCGTAACATAATTTTCAGTATTACCCCTAACCTCTTGTCATAACATGTATCCATCATAGAACCTTGATAGTCAACATAGCCATATGATCCGTTAGACCAAGCGAGCTGTTTAGTTATTAATTTAGGTGTGTGCAGATTACATACAAGGAACGAGCAGTATTTCCTCATCACCATGCCTTGACCCCATATTTAAGAGTTAACCAAGCCAATGATGTGGTGTGGCAAAATTTTGAATGATTTGTTCGTCGCCTAAGATAGAGTTGACCAAACAATGATATTGTGTGGCAAAATTTTGGATGACTTCCTCATTGCCACCACTGTATTTTGAAATCTGGCGCCTCTTCCCCCTCGCCCCACCCCCATAAAATCATTAACACCAACCCACCTCCGCCCCAGATTCAGTAAATCTCATCAAAATATAGGTCATTAACGAACGAATGTTTTATATGGCTTTTGATGTCCCTCGAAGCTCTTGCAGCCGCTCCCCGCAGCATGACACCTCTTGGTCCTGGGGTAAGTACATAAGCCTCTGTCGCCACCCTTATGTATTATTACGTGCGGTTTCGCGCTTCGGCCGCCAGATGCTGGAGGGGCTCATTTTCTCTAAGAGACGTGGTCCCATTTTATTATATATTATTAGGGTTTCTTCCTCACCTTGCTCTCACCCCATGGAAAGTGTCTTTATGACAGAGTTGACCAATCAAATGATCCAAAAGGACAAGTATATGATTTGGTGTCGCTAATTCTTGGATGAATTCCTCGATGCCACCCCTTATGTATTATTACGTGTGGTTTCGCGCTTCGGCCGCTAGATGCTGGAGGGGCTCATGTTCCTCAAGGAGAAGTGGTCCCAGTTTTCTAAGGGGCTATAGCTACTTATTATTAGGGTTTCTTCCTGACCTTGCTCCCATCTCATGGAAAGTGTCTTTATGATAGCGTTGACCAATCAAATGATCCAGAAGGACAGGTATATGATTTGGTGTCGCTAATTCTTGGACGAATTCCTCGACGCCGCCGCTTATGTAGTAATTACGTGTGGTTTATTCAGAGTACATGGAACATGTACATACCTCTCTAGTCGGCATCACCATGAAACCCGGCGTATAAACCACTCGGTCTCGGAGGTCGTCGATCCAGAAGGACAAGAATATGATGTGGAGTTGCTTATTTTCTTGTTGCTTGGATGAATTCATCGTAACCACCCCTTATGTAGTGATTACGTGTGGTTTATTCAGAGTACATGGAACGAGGAATACAGCCGCAAGTACGGCTCGGGCTGCGGCCAGGGGCTGCCGGCTTTAGGGGCTCATGTTCCTCAAGGAGAAGTGGTCCCAGTTTATTAGGAGCCATAGCTATATATTATTAGGGTTTCTTCCTCACCTCGCTCTCACCCCATGAAAAATGTCTTTATGATAGAGTTGACCAATCAAATGATCCAGAAGGACAAGAATGTGATATGGTGTCGCTAATTCTTGGATAAATTCCTCGCCGCCACCCCTTATGTATTATTACATGTGGTTTCGCGCTTCGGCCGCCAGATGCTGGAGGGGTTCATTTTCCTCAAGGAGAAGTGGTCCCAGTTTATAAGGGGCTATATCTACTTATTATTAGGGTTTCTTCCTTCCCTTGCTCCCACCTCATGGAAAGTGTCTTTATGATAGCGTTGACCAATCAAATGATCCAGAAGGACAGGTATATGATTTGGTATCGCTAATTCTTGGATGAATTCCTCGACGCCACCCCTTATGTATTATTACGTGTGGTTTCGCGCTTCGGCCGCCAGATGCTGGAGGGGCTCATTTTCCTCAAGGAGAAGTGGTCCCAGTTTATAAGGGGCTATAGCTACTTATTATTAGGGTTTCTTCCTGACCTTGCTCTCACCTCATGGAAAATGTCTTTATAGAGTTAACCAATCAAATGATCCAGAAGGACAAATATATGATGTGGTGTCGCAAATTCTTGGATGAATTCCTCGTTGCCGCACTTATGAATGATTACGTGTGATTTATTCAGAGTACATGGAACGAGGAATACAGCCGCAAGTACGGCTCGGGCTGCGGCCAGGGGCTGCCGGCGTGGCAGGTGGCCCGCTTCGGCCGCCAGATGCTGGAAGGACTTATGTTCCTCAAGGAGAAGGGGTTCCCGCCCTTCAGGCATCTACACTCGGGGAACGTGGTCGTGCAGAACGGAGTGGCGAGGTGAATACATCTATTAATGTGCCCCGTTATATTGTTTATGTTGATTTGTAATTTAGAAATAAATGGCCTGAGTCTGACATTATTCCTTAGACATACTTAAATTAAATTCCTTTTCATTCTTTGTGGAGTATGAAAGTGGTATAGTGAAATTAAATTTTAGGTTTAAGCAGGCATGCCTTAATCAGGCTCTAAGGCCCGTATTATAGAAAGATTCTCAGTGGCTGATCTAGTCTTGAGCATGCTCAGAAAGAGATGTCGCTATGTATAGCACAAAGCGACATCCCTTTCTAACTGTACTCAAGTAAAGATCAACACTTAGTTGTCATTCTGTAATACGGGCCTTAGTCTTTATATGCCTAGTCTAGATAACAGTTACCACTTTAGTGTTAAAAATTATGTTTTGTAAGGAGACCGACAGGCAGTCAACTGAGCCGTGGCTTGTTATTATTATAATATACTTAGATATAATTAGGATCCTTGCAAACAATATTTGGTACATGTAGGTAATTTCTACTCTAATATTTACGTAATAGGGCTGAATTTAGAAATAAAGGTTATTTTAGGATAAATGTAAATAATAAATTACTTATATTTACATACTTGCAACATCTTCGGGTGATGATTTAAATTTCTTGTCTCTTTTTATCATTCATTAAGCAAGAAATATGTAAGATCGTGAATTAATGTGTACACAATTAAAACAGTATACTATAGCTAGTCGTTGCCATATTTATACAAAGTTTGAGTGAGTCTTCTTTAAGTTCGTGAGGCCGTTATCTAGTAATGTTATTCGAATTTTCATTCTAGGTTTGACGGACAAGGATATATTATTATGCCACATATGAATCTGTTACAGTTAAAACCAGTTTTTAGATAGAACGCGGTTCCCCTAGATAAAATTAGTTTTTACTAAATGCCTTTGTTAAAACTAGAAATAACTAGTCAAAACTAGAATTTACCACCGATATATTTGATTTTCAGATAAAACTAGTTGTGACTCACAGCTTTAGTAAAACTAAAGAAAAAAAAATGTGTGCGTATACTAGTGTACACACGTAAGAAGTGAAACTTCTTTATGGCCTTATTTTTCGAAAAATGATCTACATGCAACTTTCCAGAAATTGGTTAAATAAAGTTAAATTAGATAAAGTTTAAACAAAAGGATTTTATTAATATAGACATGAATACAAATTACTGCCTATGAAGCTGTTATGATTACACGGCTCAGTAATCTAAGGCACATGTTCCACCTCCGACGATGAACGATAAGCGAGTAGAAACTAGAAACGAATTGGCAGTCCTGAGTTAAAATGCACGCGCACGGCTTTTGACAGCCAAGCCAGCTTAACCGAGCGAGTATAGCTGAGCGAGTATCGCTGAGCTAGTATCGCTGAGCGAGTATTGCTGAGCGAGAATCGCTAAGCGAGTATCGCTGGGCGAGTATCGCTGAGCGAGTATCGCTGAGCGAGTATCGCTGAGCGAGTATCGCTATGCGAGTTTGGCTGAGCGAGTCTTATCTTTAATAACTATTGTCACTCAGCTACAAACGAGTAGAGAGAGTTCTCGCCGGCGACAGCGTGATCATTCAGCTATCAACTATTAATATAAAAAAAGATGGCGCGTAACGGAAAAATGTGACGCGTAACCGAAAAATGTGACGGTAAATTTTTTTCCAACGCCGATAAAGAAGTTTCACTTCAATAAATTCTTTAGTTTTAGTTAATTTGTGGCAGGATAGTAAGTTAAAAATAAACGAGTTTTTAAGTAGGTAAAAAACAAACTGTAAATATTTTGAAAACCTTTTGTAGATTATTCAGGTGATGTGGTTATTGAGAACAATTTTGTTGAAAAACGCGTGTTGTCTAGTAAGAACTAATTTTAACTGATATTCCATTTTGAACATTAGTCAATTCTAGTTTTAACAAAGGCATTTAGTAAAAACTACTTCTAACTAGGGAAAACGCATTCTGTCTAAAAACTGGTTTTAACTGTAACAAATCTACTTTGAATTCGTGATGAGGCTTTATTTATGTATTGGTGTCGATTCTGGCATGATTCCCTAAAACTAAACTTAAATTTGACAACAGTGTATCCTTGTCATTCTCTTTAAAGAATGAAAAGGAAGGATTGAATTTTAATGTAATTTTAAGTTTAGAGAATCATGCCAGAATGGACACCATTGTAAATTGATAGATTTGTCGGGAAAAGGGGTGGTAATAAAAGATCGCGTTCCTTGCAGGATATGTGGGTTAGAGAACACTCTAGTAGGCGCCGCTCCTCGCTGGGCGGTGTCTTTGACTGCGAGCAGCGACACCGTAGAAGCAGTTACTTTAGGCGGCGTCCTTTACGAGATGTGCGCTGCCGCCCCGCTCGACCTCGCGCGCCTGCACTCGCTCGCCGCCTACCCGCACGTGAGACTTACTAACTAGCACCCGTGGACGCGGGGACTCTAGCCGGCGTCCTGTATGAGTAGGGTTGCCACCCGTGTTTTATTATAAAGTATTGTACTTTATTTCGGGTAATTGTACTATATACTTTATGCCAACAATAAAGTACGCGAAAATACTTTATTTAATGTGATTTTTGATAGGAAGAATTTTGCGTTAAACGGACAGAAAGTATGAATATGTTGCCCTTAGCTAATTCCTGCAACATTTTCGTGGCTGTATGCCTTTGTATCATGACCTGTCCCATTGCGGAAAAAAACTACAGTAGCCGCAAATTTATTTATTAAAAGTTGCTAGTAACAACGTAAAATATATTTTTAAGCTAACTAATAAAGTAGAATAAAATGTACTTTTATTTTCTACTTTTAATATCCAATGTACTTTATTTCGACAAAAAAAGGTGGCAACCCTATGTATGAGATGAAAGACCTCGCCTTCCCCCCAAAACTTACCCGAAATCCCCCCAAAATACAGGTTTTGTGAAGAAAAACCCCCCAACATGCAAAATATTTATTAAAAATACAATATTTACTACACAGTATTTATTTTTGCAACAGCATACATTTCTGGATCAACATCTTCGCACGCGTCATCTACTCCTTTGTTAATCTTCTTACATAACTTTGTTTCAAATAATGCCATTATTTTACCAAGGTGCAAACAATTAAAAGGACAAATGACCAAATTGCGACTTAGAAAAGCAAAGATGATACATAGTGTCGATTCGATTTGCAGTTTAAGCTAACTACCTTTAACGACTAACTAACTTGACTTGACTGACCGAGTGACTGTGCGAGACGGAATGAACCGAAGAATACTTTTTTAAGTGGGCTTTGGACTTAGGGGTGTGAATTGGGCTCACTGAATGAGCATCGGGAACACTAAACTGAGTTCAGTGGGCCCGAATCTGGCATGATTCTCTAAGCCTAATGAAATTAAATTTGACAACAGTCTAACTAACCTTGTGATGCTCTATACAGAACGAGAGAGACTGTTGATTGCGACTTTTTACAGATTAAAATTTATGAAGTGGTTTTATTTTTATATAAAAAAATGTAATAAAAAAACCCCGTTTCCCCCAAATCCAAATTTCTTCCCCCATTAATATTTTCCCGCATCAACTTAAAAACCCCCAAATTTTTTTTTTATATATGTCTAGGTAGGCAAATGACTCTATGATGTTAAGTGGTGATAAAGTCCAAACGCGAAGATAGCTGGTACAGCAGTACAAACTGCTACATTAACTATCCTCACCTTGCCGGCCCGCAAAAATGCTTCTTCACGCCTCTCTTATAGGACCCCAGATTATAGGAAGGAGGGAACGTTGCGTTGTCTCCGTCTGTTGAATGACAAATGACATTTGAGTTACATGAACAAAACACGGCGTAACTAGTCTAACCTTATTCCTTGTTTTGGTCGAGTTAAAAGCGTCTACTCATAACTGTGACGCTGTCCCACCCACAAGACCTTTTAGGCATTTACAAGTGTTTGTCACAGCCTTATCTGAATAAATTATTGTAGGATTTGTAAAAAAAATTAGTAATCTCTTTCTGTGAAACAGGTGGTCGAAATAATAGAGCAAATCTTCGGACCCCGAACGCCCACCTTGCACGAGCTTCTATTGTGCGAGTTGTTTCGGAAAATCGACCTACGAGAGATGAAAGGATCCTGTTTACCGGTAAGTCGTTATATAATAATTATATAACCAGCAGGCCTACTCAAATTCAACGAAAAACAAAATTTCGATCGAAACCTCGCAAATAAAACTAGTTTTTACGGGTTAATGCACGAAACTTTATTTATTTATTGACGTTTCGCAGCCTTTTCAGGTCTGCATCGTCAGAATAATGATTTTTTATTTAAAAGTAAAGTAGTTTAAATAAAAAATTATTATGACGATGCAGACCTGAAAAGGCTGCGAAACGTCAATAAATAAATAAAGTTTCGTGCATTAACCCGTAAAAACTAGTTTTATTTAATGAGTGATGTGCGTGAAAACCTAAGAAACAAATACGAAACCTCGCACTTTTCTTACTATGTTTCTGGTTCGTTTTTAATTATAATAATATTCGTCGCCGGAATATACATTGAGGTGTAGATTTTCTAAGTTACTCAAAAAAAGATTCAATTTGATAGGTTACCTTTCAAATTAAGTATAACCTTAAATTGACGAAATTAAATTTCATTTTAACTTCGCTATCGAAAGTTCGTCTCGGAGAAAGAGAGTAGATCCCTAGGGGTGTTACGAATATTCGCATCCGCATCCGAAAAAGCGAAATATGTATTCACATTTATTCAGACATGTTCTTTCGCATCCGCATGCGTGTACGCTATATTAATTGATGTGGAGCTTTTACAGATGCGGATTCATATCAACAAGTACATCTAAACAGACTCGTCTTTCCCAGTGGGCACTTTGGGCAAGTGCCCAGGGTCCCGCGATCGATGGGGCCCCCTCAGATCAAATACAAAGTCCCTAGTTCCTATTAAATCGCCAAACGGGGGTCATAGGGGCTCCATAATTCTAATATGCTCAGGGCCTCCAATAGGTCAAAGACGGCACTGCATCTGAAGAAAGTGGGCGGAACCAAAGTACCACGTCCTGAAAATGATTGAGTAAGACTGAAACTGATATATAGTTTTGTTATCAAATTAAATATAATGAAATAAACATTAAAATTAAATCGATTTACATTTATTTTTGAAGTAAAAATTTAAATACAGATATTGTATTCTGAATTAACATCCACGGATGTGAATCTTCCGCATGAATGGATGTCAAAATGTTTGTATCCACAGCAACTCCGATATGAAGGCATATTTTAAGCACTTATAGCAATACTCTCCCACTGTGGCTTCGCGATCAACTAAGCGGCTTTTGGTCTTATTATAAGCGTTTGCTGATGACTTACCCACTCACAAAGCCCTTCTTACCTTTTCTGTGTTCTGTGGTCTTGCCCTAAAGTAAGCACTATAAGGCTTTGTAGATTGATAGATTTTTAATTTTAAGCATTTTACTGCTAGATTTATAAATCTAAAGATAATTTTAACTGAAATGATTCCACGCGGTCCAGGCATCAGGCGGGATTCAAACTCGCATCTTGTTCTGCCTTGCAGTCTAAGAAATACTAGAAGAAATTCGACATGGCCATTAAAGTCTCGGTAATATTATATATATATATATATATATATATATATATATATATATATATATATATATGGTTAGTGCAGCTTGCGAAAGGTGCGGGTTGGAATCCTGTCTGACACAGCATGGAATATTTTCTAATATAACTTTTCTTTACATTTTTTTTTACATCGAGCAGTTAAATGCTTGAAAAAGTATAATGTAGTTATATTTTAAAGCATTTTACTGCTACATGTTTAAATCTAAAGAAAATTTTACTAGAAGAAAGTTCGCGGGCCAGGCAACAGACGGGTAACCCGACCCTCCGCAGTCTAGGCGGATGCACTGACCATTATGCTACCGCGGCCCTAACTGTCCGTGTCGAATTTTCTCTAGTATTTCTTAGGCTGCCTGGTCCGCGTGAAAAATTGCCTAGTAAAATTTTCTTTAGATTTAAATATAATAAAATTTTATTATTTCTTTTTTTTCTTAGTGGCTTCGCACGGTTTGCGCATTTAGCCAATGGCAAGTGTTAAAATGTTTACAAATACTATAGCACTACAAGTCAATCCCCCTTTCCCTATGTTCCAGTAAAAGTGTGGGGATTAACTGGAACCTCCCCGTGGATTTCTTGAGGGAACGTCGAAAGACACTTTCCGCTATTTCGTTTCACTTGCCAACACTTGTACATGTTCCCGAACACTAAGTGGTTAATAATCCACCATTATTAGACACTAACATCCGCCAAAACACAATTTTTAACAAGAAAAACAAAACTGCTAAAGTTACGCTTCCCGATCCCGCCAAAAAGTCCTTTCAAATGTTTGATTCTTGTAAAAGTATTCATTTGACATTGTGGGTATAGAGGAGGAAATGGCGCTGCCTTGCAGCTTAAGAATGGCTAGAGGAATTTCGTCGCGGTCCGTATGGGCCGCGGTAGCATAGTTGGTCAGTGCATTCGCCCGGATTGCGAAGGGTGCGGGTTCGAGTCCCGTCTGCTGCCTGGACCACTAACATCCGCCAAAACACAATTTTTAACAAGAAAAACAAAACTGGTAAAGTGGTGCTTCCCGATCCCGCCAAAAAGTCGCTTCTTATTTCTTTATCTATTTGTCTGGTAGAACTTCAGTCAGCGGCTGTCTCGCTCTTGCCTGTCGCTGCTGGGTGAGGTGGCGCGCCGCCAGCCCTCCTCCCCGCGACGCTCCGGGCCCGCCTCGCCCGCCACGCCGCCCGCAAGGAGGTAACTTTATTTTATTTACCGCTAAGATATTAAATACCTTGACGACGACCTCCGTGGCCGAGTGGTTTGTACGCCGGGTTTCATGGTGTCGCCGATTCGAGAGGTCCCGGGTTCGAATCCCGGTAGGGGCAAATGTTTGTGTGATGAATACGAGCATTTGTACTCCAGTCATGGATGTAAAATATTTATTTCTATATAAATATACTTATATATGTTACCCTAGCAATCCATAACACAAGCCTTACAGTGCTTACTTTGGGGCTAGGCTAATTGGTGTGAGTGTTGGAAATATTTATTCATTAAATTCAATAGCTACACCACGTGCGGTCAAACTGTGTCCCTATGAAGAAGTGCTTGAGTGCTTGAACTTCACTCAATCACTTCTTGGTTCGCAGTAGTGTTGCCGGGTCCGATTTGTTTTAAATCGGTACATGAGGTCAAAAAAAAGGTTTTTGTTAAAAAAAAGCGAAACCTTTTTAGTTTTATTTTCACGACAAAAAGTAGCCCGTAAATGTTACCAGAACCCCATCTTTTCCCCTTCTTTTACCAAATTCAGTATAATCAATTCAGTATCTTATACGTGAAAGATAAAACAAACTTACTCATCATCATCATCATCAACAGCCTATCCTAGTCCACTACTGGACATAGGCCTCTCCAATTTCACGCCACTCAGATCGATAAACTTACTCTCGCATTTATATTATTTGTTAGGATACACAAAATTTATTGCCATGCGTAAGCAAATGGCGGACTTAGCACCAAAGGCATTCTCTAGAATTAAGTTTTAGAGACACACATAGTAGCACGACCGAGCAAAGTTAGTAAAAAAAATTTAGACAATATTTAAAACCTTTCCATCGAATTACAAATGGCCTTTGAGTGACGTGAACAAACAGCTCGAAGGACCAAGAATTATCTGTAAATCTCAAATATAAAAAGTTTACAATTACTACCCTGAGTGCGACCGTAATTTAGTGATATTTGTATTTTTTTTTATTTCAGAAGGCATTTCCCGTTAGACCAAGACTACACGGAAGAATGGCAGTGGTGATAGAATAGAACATTAAACTTATTTAAAAAAAAAACAAATGCAAGGAACGACTGGCCTTGGTTCTGTTGGACATCCTCAAACAAAAAAAGTACCTTCAATACTTTATATCTATCTCTTTCCCTTCTTTGGGATTTGGAAAGGAATGGCAAATAATGTGATATAATTACGTACTAATTAAATAATAATTGAACCTGATAGATAATTAATTAACAAAGCATCTCGAATCAACAATGGTTTTTTGCCTTTTACATTTTCCTAAAAGCAATGTAGTTTATAACCTGGATTGAAACATATGATGCTCAAAATAACAGCCTCGTGCCTGTGCCTTATGACTTACACAATATAGAATGACACAAAATAGAAAAATACTCGAAAAAAAAATACCGAAACGTACGCTATTAATGAGGATGTTTTGGGAAAATTTACGTCACCAGTTGGCGCCACTGTGAAAAGAGGTCGTTTGTGAATGATGAAGTTTTTGGCGCGAATTAATCGAACGAGCGTTGATCCATAGACTTTTTTTTGTATACTTACACCCATATTCTTAGTCGCGTCCTCAAACGTTCCTCGACTCAAACTCATTCGAGGGCTCCTTAAGGAGTTCCTCCAAATAACCTCGAAAATGGTATTCTAGTTGGTATCTTGAACATACTTGAGAATTCCTCCACTGAGAATTCCTCAACATTGTGACGTCATCATTTGGAGGATTTTATTTCTATAATGCTTAGCAGAGGAAATATTACTTGTATGACTGTATCTTTTCTAAACCGAAATCTTCTTTGAAACGAATCATTGTCGTAAACCTTAAAAGGATTTGCGGCATCACGTAAATACCGTCGTCGCGCCGGATAATTAGGGTGTTTGTGAAAATTTACGTCGCCAGTTGGCGCCACTGTGACGCGAGGTCTTTTGTATGAAATTTTTGGCGCGAACTCCATAGACCAGATCCATAGTGTTTTGTTGCGCTAGATTTACGTGCCGCGACCTGTAGCTAGTTGCGAATTAATTCGGCTTAAAAGTGCCTGTGAATGAGTAATTATATAATAAGCGATTCCTATTGAGGGTGTGTCCAATGGAATCGGTAAATTGTGATGATGATAAACTGATTAGAAATAAATTATGCCTTCTATACGTACGGGTTTTGTTTGATTTAATAATTCCTTTTAACTCACATTACAAAGTAGTTACTTACGTGACATAAATTACATCCACAATTTCATGTGTAGACGTCAAGAAGTGTAAGAGACAACCCACACTGGCGTCTTTCGAGCGTCAACGTCGTGTCAGCGAAAACGTTGACACCGAGAGTGCTGGACGGCTTGCATTGTGCTTGTTCGTAAAAATCACGACGAGACGGGCATTGGCACTCCGACGATGTGCCGAAGCTGGCAACGACGCTCGAAAGATGCTATTATGGGGGTCTCTTGTTGAAGTAAACGCATCGCTCCTGCTATGCTGTCTCACTCTCCAATTATCTGTGGTCTTTTACCGACCGACCGTACCGCGCATCTTTCAAGATGTTAAGTAATCTTGTGTAATCAAATAAAAAAGGTTGTTTTTTTAATAATACTGTGCTTTATTTAATTACATCATCTCTAAACGTCACTCGTAAAATTGTTGATGATATTTATGTCATGGAATTGTCACAGAGAAAAGAATAGCCCTTGCTGAGTTTCACGTCGGTTCTTCTCAGTACAAGGTATCGGACGTCAACTAGATAGTTGCCGTCCACAAGAGCTTGTAACAACCTACACTGAATAAATAATTTTGATGTTTTTGGAGTTTACTCCTTAAGAATCGATTTGCATATATAAGGGGCCCGGTATGAGAAAAATGTGAGGAGTAAAATCTATCGATGAATGACCTCGTTACGTTTTTGGTGCGCATCCTATGTCGCGCAACTTTGACAAACAAAGATGACGAATTGACATTAATAAAATTTTTAAAATCTGAACTGAATTTAGATATTGTTTCTAATAGAGCAATGGGGACAACGAGGTATGGTACAACCATTGATGCGGTATTTTCAAGATTCGTGAACCACGTATCCACGAACGTCCATGTATCTTATTTTAGTTACCATAAACCACTTGTCACTGAAATTAATAATGCAGACAATATTGATTAATATTTAAAAAAATGATTATAGTCTGATAATAATAATTACATAATTTATCAACATTTTAATGATATATTTATGCACATCTGAAATTGACTATTGTAAAAAGTTTAATGTAAAATATTTCGTCGATTAGTTATAATAAATGTATATGAAATGAATAAATATATATTTATATATGTATATTATTTTCATTAATTTGTTAATTTACCCTTTCATACAGTATCAATCTTTTTTAAGTTAAATAAACTCTTTTTGCATCTGGTTAGACTATCGAACTTAAGGAGTAAACTCCAGTCGTGCGTCGGAGCTGACACACACAATTTTTTTTTTATTTCACTTTCATGTCATTAATTTCGTAATGTAAATTCGGGTTAAATATTAAATATTCTAAATGTTCAAGCAAACATAGGAAACCACATGCGCCTCCATGGGCTTAGAGCTAGATAAATCAGTATTTGTCCCTAAAATGTGGTTAAGCAAGCTTGTTTCATACGTCATGCTCGTGAACGGATTTTGATGCTGTGTTAGATAGAGCGGGTATTCTAGAAAGAGTTATGCTGCAGTTTCAATTTGAATATTTTTATCTATACTAATATTCTAAAGCTGCAGAGTTTGTTTGTTTGTTTGAACGCGCTAATCTCTGGAACTACTTGGTCCGATTTGATTGATTCTTTCAGTGTTGGGTAGTCCATTTATCGAGGATGGCTATAAGTTATATTTCCTTTTTCAAAATTAGGGATCCGTAATAAAATTGCTATTTTGTAACACAAGGTGTAAAATATCTGACTGACATAGTGATCTCTCGACGCACAGCCCAAACCACTGGACGGATCGGGCTGAAATTTGGCATGCAGGTAGATGTTATGACGCAGGCATCCGCTAAGAAAGGATTTTGATCAATTCTACCCCCAAGGGGATAAAATATGGGATGAAAGTTTGTATGAAAGTTTGTATGAAACTTTGTCAATTTTAAACCGATCGGGCTGCATGCAGGTATAAGAGGAATCATAGATGAATGTGTATAATACAAGCCTGAGGACAAAAACTGTAGTCTACACTTCAGCTCTACACCGAAGCGAAGCGAGGGCGGGGCGGTAGTTTTGTAATAAATATGCAAAGGAAAATTAGTTAGGGAATGGTACATAGATACAAATAAAAATCGACTGCTGTGTAGACCTCATTTTTAGACGACCATACAAACACCACTCTCATTGAAAGCTAAACCTATTATAAACATTTTGGTGAAATTCAAGCAAGGGTTTAGATATTGCCCGAAATAAAACAGGTTCTTAGTTTATATCTTTAATTTATTAACTAAATTAATACACAGCCCGATTTACAATAAACAATTAGGTACAATCATTATCATTATGGACTATTCAGAGTAGACGGAGTTTTGCTCGCGATTTCTGTAACAATTTAATTCACCTATATACAGAGCTCATCTATTTATCATATCATAATATTATGTTACAATACGATTAAGTGCAGCGCAAACTGTAGGGCAGGGCAGTTTTTTTTATCTGTGAAGCTATAATACGTTTCCATAGATATAAATATATGGACTAAGCGATACTGCTATTAACGGGATTCTTACCATGTACCTTGTTTTTTACGAGTTTTCGATATTTCAGCACTGTTGCAAGCGCCATGATCACGGAGTGAAAACAAGGTACATGGTAACAATCCCGTTAATAAGCTGTAATGTTGGTGACCATGAAAGTTTAAAACAATATAAGCGATACTGCCCTTAAATTGACGACTCCCAAGAGAGAAAGCGACGGTGCAGCCAATACTTATACTATTAATAGAACTATTGGCCACGCAATCACTTCGTTTCATGCTTGTTCTACAGGTTGGTCAATATTGTGGCGAATGGATATGGCCATTACCTATGGCACGCGTGTAAAACAGTTGGTATGTATGTTATGTCAGTATAAGTCGCGGCACAATGTTTGCAAGTTTGATGTCAACATTCAATTTGACGACACTGTATGCAATAAAACAGGTCTCCCGCCGTAGGGGGTCATCCATAAATTACGTCACACGAATTTCATGATTTTTTTCCCCTCCCCCATGCCCATTTTTGAGACTAGTGTGATGTCACATATTTTGCAAATTTATATTTTGAAATTATTATTGAACTGAAAACAGCGATACCGTAATCAGTTTTATTTCCATTTAAAATAACAATTAATAATATTAACATCCAACCAAACAGCGATTCATTATAATATTAATTATAGTTCTCGTTTGGGTTGTTAATGTTTTAGTAAAGTAAAAGTTTAAAGTTAGTGTTTCAACACTTTAGATTATGATAGATTTTGAAATGTGACGTCACGAAATCTAGGACCCCTCCCACCACCTTGTCACACGATGTCACACCTCGTCGACCCCCTCCCTCCCCCTTAACGTGTGACGTAATTTATGGATGGCCCGGGAGTTTTACGAACCGATGGCGTGGTTTTCTTCTTTTACATGTGCTTGTAAAAGCCTAAACTGAATAAATGATTTTTGTATTTTTGAATGTGGTTTGCGGTGAAACTTATCCTGTCCACTTTACCCAACCGTTTGCGCCGCATCTTACAATGCATATTAGGTACCAAATGAAGCAAATGTAGGTACATATTTTTTAACACTAAATAACCTAACTCACCATCTCCTATTGCGATACATTTAATATAAAGGATATTCACAATTTCAAATTCATCATACATCAATAGTGGTTAAAGTTGGTAAATATATTTCAAATTTGTAATTACATCACAATTATTCACGATAGGATTTAAACAACAAAGGAACCCATAACAATAAAAAGCAATTATCTAAATAATTACATCGCACTAGCTTATGTTCTCGCATATTTATTATTAAATGAACTGAAGTGGCATACATTTTTTAATTTTATTATATACCTACAGATTAT